GGTAGCGGGAACTGAAAGTGGCTTTATATCAGTGCTCAATGGTACATGCATAGAGATGTCGCTATGTTTGCTAGAAATGACGACATTATGATACGCGTACGTCATGCTAATCCAATATAATTAATATAGTCACATGCTGTCCACTCACGTGGTGAACATTATTTAGATATATTATATACATGAGCAATACCACACGAGTAGCAGTGCGATGTGGCTGTATATCAGCACTGGTGGGAGGTTTGAGTTGCGCCTTAGCGTCCCACCAGTGCTGATATACAGCCACATCGCACTGCTACGAGTGTGATATTGCGTTTATACAACAGTTTGACGGCATAATCGTGTATATAAATAAGAAAATAAAACACGGAGAGAATAAAAATCCTTTTGTATTAGGAACTACTTTCTTCCGCCATTCAATCACAGCTGACGTCAGAACAGCAGAAAACGTTACTACTTCACCAACGTCACTTTAGAGCTTATGCTTGAAGTGAATAATTAATCTGTGCAAGTTAATTTGCTTAATAACAATTTGTTTTGGTAATCTTTAATCAAAGTCTGCTCATTTGTGTACACATTTAAAGAGGCGGTCCTTGTGTCGACATCAAAATAGCAATATTAATACCCTCTCTTTTACCGTTAGTTTGCTATGAGTGAATTACGCGTAAAGAGAAAGCCCCGCCCCCTACTTAATATTCAGTTTCAATAGTAAGACAGCCAAAAATATGTACAGTGGCTCTTTAAGTTCATATGTTCAAGACAAAATGTCCAAAAATACGTTACTTTTCAGACATAATTTGAGTTATTATTTAAAGCTGCTTCATTAAAGTCCGCTCGAAATCAAATTACGCTTCTTTAGCTAGCTCACGTTGTTATTCTTAAATTGAATAATTAATTTGTGCACGTTAATATGCTTAAAAACTATTTGTTTTGGTAATCTTTAATCAAAGTCTGCTCATTCGTGTACACATTTGAAGAGGCGGTCCTTGTGTTTGATGTCAACCTGATGGTTTCCATAGCAACATAGTTATAATACCCTCTCTTCTATCGTTAGTTTGCTGTTAGTGAATGACGCGCAAAGAAAAAGCCCCGCCCTCTACTCAATATTCAGTTTCAATAGGAGGACAGCCAAAAATACGTATAGCGGGTCTTTAAGTTGATATTTTCAAGACAAAATGTCCACAAATACATTACTTTTTAGACATAATTTGAGTTATTATTTAAAACTGCTTCATTAAAGTCCGCTCGAAATCAAATTACGCTTATTTAGCTAGCTCACATTGTTATTCTTAAAGTGAATATTTAATCTGTGCACAATAATATGCTTAAAAGCAGTTTGTTTTGGTAATCTTTAATCACAGCATGCTCAATCGCGTACACATTTAAAGAGGCGGTCCTTGTGTTGACGACAACCTGAAGATTTCCAGTACAAATGCATATTCATACCCTCTCTTTTATCATTGGTTTGCTGAAAGTAAATGATATGCAAAGAGAAAGCCCCGCGCCTGTTCAACATTCAGTTCCAGTAGAAAGTACATCAACATACCAAAATAAAAGTCTCAGCAACTTCCGGTTCATGCTGACTATAACACTTTTTGTGTTTATAAAAAATAGAATAAGGTTTATCAATAAGACAACGCTAAAATCAACCATATATACGCTTTTTCTGGTGCACTTGCATAAATGTTCTCCAACTGCCAGACACAAACTAAGCTCACAATCCTCCAAATTTAATTTCACTTGTGCTTTCAGCCATTAATGTGCTCTTTTGCTATTGATTGATTGTCCAGACGGATTTAAAACACAAGATATTATTATTACTGGCCATCATTGTGATGTTACTGGTTGCGCACAGCATTAAGGATCCAAAAATAAACCTTCATGATGCATAATAACTTTAATTGACTCCACAGTGTAAAACAAGCATCATGCAAATATTTCAATTTCAATGCTTTAAAGGGACAGTACACATAAAAGAAAAACTGACACTCAAGCGGTTGTAAATCTTTATGACTTTCTTCCTTTTGTCGAACATAAAAGAAGATATTTTGAAGAATGTTGGAAACCAGTAACCATTAAATTCCACAGTATTTATTTTCTCCAACTATGGAAGTCAATGGTTACAGGTTTCCAACATTCTTCAAAATATCTCCAGAAGGAAGAAACACTTGAGGATGAGTAAATTAATATGTATATTATATGTAGTCAGATAAGTGTGTGTGTGTGTGTGTGTGTGTGTGTGTGTGTGTGTGTGTGTGTGTGTGTGTGTGTGTGTATGTTCAAATAATTATTCATACGTCCACTACACAATTTATGTTTACAAAATCCAATTCGTAAATTCAAAACATGATTTGTAAATACACTAATCCAATTCGTAACTTCATAACACGATTCGTAAATACACAAATACAACTCATAAATTCAAAACACGATTTAAAAAAAATTCAAAAATCCAATTTGTAAATTCAAAACACGATTTAAAAACGCACAAATCCAATTCATAAATTTTAAACATGGCTCGGAAATCCACAATGCCAATTTGTAAATTCTAAACCTGATTCGTAAATACACAAATCCAATTAATATATCCAAAACACGATTTAAAAACGCACAAATGCAATTCGTAAATTTAAAACATGATTCAGAAATACACAATTCCAATTTGTAAATTCAAAACATAATTCAAAAATACACAAATTCAATTCGTAAATTCAAAACATAATTCAAAAATACACAATTCCAATTCGTAAATTCTAAACATAATTCAAAAATACACAAATTCAATTCGTAAATTCAAAACATAATTCAAAAATACACAATTCCAATTTGTAAATTCAAAACATAATTCAAAAATACACAAATCCAATTTGTAAATTCTAAACACGATTCGTAAATCCACTAATCTAATTCGTAGATTCAAAACACGATTTGTAAATCCACAAATCTAATTTGTAGATTCAAAACACGATTTGTAAATGCACAAATCTAATTCGTAGATTCAAAACACGATTCGTAAATCCACAAACCTAATTTGTAAATTCAAAACATGATTTGAAAATACACAAATCCAATTCATAAATTTTAAACATGATTCGGAAATCCACAATGCCAATTTGTAAATTCTAAACCTGATTCGGAAATACACAAATCCAATTAATATATCCAAAACACGATTTAAAAACGCACAAATCCAATTCGTAAATTTAAAACATGATTCAGAAATACACAATTCCAATTTGTAAATTCAAAACACGATTAAAAAATAAACAAATCCAATTCGTAAATTCTAAACCCGATTCAAAAATACACAATTCCAATTCGTAAATTCAAAGTACGATTCGTAAATACAAAATCCAATTCATAGATTCAAAACACGATTCGTAGATGCATAAATCCAATTTGTAAATTCAAAACACGATTCGTAAATACACAATTCCAATTTGTAAATTCAAAACATAATTCAAAAATACACAAATTCAATTCGTAAATTCAAAACATAATTCAAAAATACACAAATTCAATTCGTAAATTCAAAACATAATTCAAAAATACACAAATCCAATTTGTAAATTCTAAACGCGATTCGTAAATACACAAATCCAAATCAGATATCCAAAACACGATTTAAAAATACACAAATCCATTTCGTAAATTCAAAGCACGACTCGTAAATACAAAATCCAATTCGTAGATTCAAAATACGATTCGTAAATCCACAAATCTAATTCGTAAATTCAAAACATGATTTGAAAATACACAAATCCAATTGAAAAATTCTAAATAATACACTAATTGAATTTATGAATTCGTAAATACACATGATTCGTAGATACACAAATCCAATTCGGAAATTCAAAACACGATTTGTAAATCCACAAGCATAATTCGGAAATTACACAAAAGTACACAAATTCAATTCATAAATTCTAAACCATATTTGTAAATACACAAAGCCAATTCGGAAATTCAAAACAATTCACAAAATACACAAAACCATATAATTTGGTGAAAATATTTAGGATTTTTACTTGTGAATTCACAAATTGTGTGTTGTATACATGAATTGTGTTTTGAATTAACAAACTGGATTTTGTAAATGTGAATTGTGATGCGCATTTTTGAATTTTATTTTTGTATTTTATATTTTTGTATTGCTTCTGAGACCGATCTAGCCCCATAGAACTATCCCTTTAATGAACAAACACTGGAGGGGATGAATAGAAAGTTCCACAGCACCACCAAGAGGATTTACACATGAGCTTTTACACTAAATCTCCAAAAAAAAAAAAAAAAAAAAAAAAGGGGGTGGAAAAGTTACACAAACTATGACATAACATGAATTCAACCAAACACACCATATGGAGTTTTTGGTAAAGCTCTCTGGGATAAACACGCCAACTAATACACTCTGATATACCCTGATATATACACACTGTTGAAGGCGAAATTATGAGCAATTCTGTTAAATATGTATTATTTACTCCCCAAATATTTCCCAAATGGTGTTTAACGGAGCACGGAAATTTCCACAGTATTTCCTATAATATTTTTTCTTCTGGAGAAAGTCTTATTTCTTTTAGTTTGACTGTAACAAAAGCGGTTTTAATTTATTTAAGACTATTTTAAGGTCAATTTTGAAAGAGATTATTAATTAATTAATTAATTATCCTAATTAACCTAGTTAAGACTTTAAATCACACTTTAAGCTGAATAACAGCATCTCCCAAAGTAATAACTCGTCAAATACTACTACAATAATATACTACTAATGCATTAAGACTAAATGAATAAGCTGTTATTATAGAAGTTATTAAAATTAGCATATATTAATTAAAATGTGTCTCTCCGTTAAACAGCATCGGAAAATATACTGTTTTTAATTAATTAAATGTAACAGGAGGTCGAATAATTATGACTTCCACCAGGTGTGCGTATTTATATCAAGAATATGAAATAAAAATACATTAAAATACGATCTTAAACAGTAAACTCCAGCAACTCACCTCCTCCACGGTCAGCGGCATGCATATCCGGTATTCCTTCATCAACATTGTCCTCTCCCGGTGATTTCCACGTTAAATCGGTGGCCAGTGATCATCCAAAAGCATTCAGCCGTCGGGTGATGCGTGTAATCACGAGTTGTCACATGAAAAGACGAGAAAAGATCAACGCAGTCCTGCAGAAAGGCTCCTGTGTTCGCGCCTTTATTATTGTTGTTATTAATGTGCAGAAATGACTCCTGGAATCCGCCGATGCCCATGCGTTTTTACGCACGGAGAAGCAAAAAAAAGCACGCCAAGTGTCGCGGTTTCTATGTTAAACTTTATAATGAAGCTGTGATTCTCTCAGTAATGATGTTGGTAATTATATTAATGAATCCTCTCTTGCACCTGTCCTTCTCCGCACGCGCGCGTTAAATAGCGATGATTGTGATTCGGGAAGGCGGCATTGCGTTGCGTTGTGGTCAGATGAAGGTTTTGTCCTGCTGTCGTGTGCTCCGGGATGGGAAGTTTGCGAGGAAACACACACATATACACACACTCTCTCTCACACACACACACACACTCGCTGGCGGAGTGGCGCGACGCATCGCTGACTGTTTTCATCGCGCAGTGACGCGCGCGGCCGAGCGGCGGCGCTACTGACGCAAACATCACACACACACACACACACACACACACACACACACAGACGCAGAGAAAGATTGATTGATTGACTATAAGTTTGTAAATCACTAAGAAAATCACAGCCGTGTCATATATTAGGTAAGTTAATATTTAGTGAATAAATAATTTATTTATGTGTTTGTTTGTGTTTATTTATTTTTATTGTGTATTTTATTATGTGCTTTTATTATTATTTATTTTGATTAGAGTGATTATTGTTATTATTATTATGTTTTTATTGTTATGATTGTATCATAAAGCATATATCTTATAGCAAGATTTTTGACAGTGTAAGATAATGTTGATATCATTGGCTACGGATGGATGGATGGATGGATGGATGGATGGATGGATGGATGGATGGATGGATGGATGGGTAAACAGATGGGTGGATGGATGGATTGATGGGTGGATAAATAAAAGAATGGATGAATAATTAAATGAATGAATATATAAATAAACTGATGAATGGGTGGATACATAAACAGATTCATGGGTTGATGGATGAATTGATGGATAAATAAACCCGGATGGATTGGTGGATGGATAGATAAATAAACAGATTGATGGATAGGTGGATGGATGGATAGATGGATAAATAAACAGATGAACAGATGGGTGGATAGATAAATAAATAAATAAATAAATAAACAGATGGATGGATGGATGGATGGATGGATGGATGGATGGATGGATGGATGAATGGATAATAAAGAGATGAATGGATGGGAAGATAGATGAATAAATAAATAAATAAACAGATTGTTTGATGGATAGATGGATGGATGGATGGATGGATGGATGGATGGATGGATGGATGGATGGATGGATGGATGGATGGATTGATGGATGGATGGATGGATGGATGGATAGATGGATGTATGGATGGATGGATGGATAGATGGATAAACGGATGGATGTTGGATGGATGGATGGATGTTGGATGGATAAACAGATAAAACGATAGGTTGATGGTTGATTAAATAAACAGATGGATGGATGAGTGGATAGATGGGTGGTTGAAAGAATAAATAAGCAGATGGGAGGGTGGATGGATTGATAAACAGATTGATGGATGGATTGATAAACAACTGGATTGATGGTTGGAGAGATGGATAAATAAACAGATGGAGGAATGGGTGGATGGATGGATAAACTGATGGATGGACTGATGAATGGATGGACAGAGACATATAGCTCTAATAATGCTATAGTAATAATAATATATTTTTGAGCTGGAAGTAAATTAATTGTTTTGGCTTTTGTAAACTGGATTTTCTCTGAAACTCGGTAAACCGCCTAAACACAGATGCTTTATAATTTAGGAAGAGAGTCTCTCTTAATCAAAATTGCTGTGTGGGTATCAAAAGAGTGTCAAAGCCCCGGAGAGTCTCCTGCAGTGTGTGTGTGTGTGTGTGTGCGCAATGTGTATGTGTGTGTGTTGAGTGTGTGGTGGCAGGAAGCAGTGCGCAGAAATATTTGACCCACAATGCACCGCGACGGCTGACAAGTGGATCCAAGATGGCGTAGAAAGTAAAGCTAGGTAAGTGCAGACTTCCTCCAACACCTTCCTCCCGTGCGCCGCTCGCCCTGCGCGCTCCTTTGCGCCGTCGACCCAGCAATAAAGATGCGGTTCTACACTCGGTATTGACGGGCTCCGGGACGCAAAGGGCCGCGGTTATCCTTCGTACGGTTAACGTGACGGCGAGCAGGCCTGGTCGCGGCGGCGCTACTCTTGACTAGCGGCTAAATGTGTCCGCGTCCGCCTGCGATCCGAGCCCCGGGGCCAGCCGCGTCATCACCCCGCGGAAAGATGCTCGAATGCGGGATGGAAATACGCGAAAATTAGCACCGATTGCAATCTGGATGCTGCAGGAATATATTGTAAATATGTGTGTCCGGGGGCGGCTCGAGCTCAAGGCCATGAGAGCAGCGATCATCGCAACATACGTGTGTTAAAGTATTCCACTATTATTTAAACGCGGCTAGTGATGATTGCTAACACATTTGCTAGTCATACATTGCTCACAACTCATTGTAAATGCAGGTTATCATCGCTTTTTGCGTTGATGTTAACGGCGCACACGCAGTTGATGTTGTTTCTGAACGGACACTCGGGGTTGTTTCAAAACCTAGCGCGCTGCCTTGCTAGTCATCACGTTCTGGAGTTGTACATTCGTGTTCTGGACGTTCACACGCACATTTTTAGTCAAACCTGACAAGGGAACAACCGAATGTTGGATTGGAGTGTCCTGAAGGTGTCTAGGTGGATGGTTGTTGTTGTCTGGCTAGGCTGCTCGCTAGGTTTTTGAGACGCGGCCACACACTCGCACTCAGACGGGACATCTATTATTAACTGACCCGGAATCCAAATATAGAGTGTTTATATATTTTACTGAGGCTCTGTTGCCTTGTTTGGTGTGCAGGAGGTTAATTAGATGTTGGTTTGGTAAGACTGTGTGTTATTGTGTGTGTGTGTGTGTGTAGTATATCCGACGCTCTCCGTGTGTATGTGAGAAAGTGGGAGACTCTGCACAGGGTGTGTGTTTTGTAGCATACGTGAAATTATGCAAATATTAGTAACAGAACGGTTATTTTAATCATGTGGTGTTATATTTATTAATATTTCTTTTTAAGTTTTGCATTAAGGGACTTGCTGCAGACTTTTAACTAAGGTTAATGTATTTTATATTGTGTAAATAAATGTGTAATAGATCAGGTATTTTGTGAAAATGAAATGTATCATATGGGCCAAAGATTTAATAACCATCTAAACAAATGATAAACAATTTTTCCCCCTCATACAGTTAGTATCATGCCAATGTTTCCACGATTTACCATGTGGTAGACGCTCAGTAAAATGTCAGTGTGTGTATATATCAGAAAACTTTAATATTTTCAGTCATATTTGGATCAAGAATCATTTGATGACATTAAAAGCCTAATAATAAATAATTTTGACCCTAATATGCTCTTAAATGATCATTTTTAGTCTTCAAACTATTGTCACTGTTCTTTAAAACACTACATTTTGTTTATTTGTCATCAAAAATGTATTTTAATAATTAAGATATCATCTAATTTCATATAATCACCTTACTAGTTTCAATGTTTTTATAAGCTCCAGTGTATTTTGATAAAGATTTAATTAGTTTATATTGTGCAAGTAATTCATAAACTCGATATATTAAATATATTCCGGCTAAATATGGGGGAAAACGTTTATTTTTAACCATTAATCAAATAAAAGTTTAATGATGGATGAATTTTTCCTGCAAATAATAAAATGCAGGCAGTCTTTATCATACAGTCTTTACCACAGTTTACCATGTGAAAGAATGTCGTTCACTGTATATGTCTGCAAAAATAATATTTTCAGTCAAATTTGGATTATAAATCGTTTTATGACATTAAAAGGTCACAGTTTGACCCTAAAATGCTCCTAAATTGTGATTTTTAATCCTCATACTGTCGTCACCGTCGTTTAAAACAATAAATTGTGCTCATTTGCCATCAGAAATGTTTCTAAATCCTTAAGATATCATCTAATTTCATGTAATCACTACTCGTTTCTATATTTTATACAGTCCAGTGGATTTCATTAAAGGTTTAATTAGTTTTGTACTATGCAAGTAATTCATAAATCAACATATCAAATGTATACGGGCCAAAAATAGTGTGAAAACGTTTATTTTTAACCATCTAAACAAATAAAAGTGTGATGATGGATGAATTACTCCTGAAGAAAATAAAATACATGCAGTATCATACAGTTTTTACCACGATTTACCATGAGGCAGAAACATTTTCAGTTATTTTTAGCTTAATAACCCTTTGATGACATTAAAAGGCAAATCAAAGATCAGAGTTTGACCCCAAAATGCTCCCAAATTGTCATTTTTAATCCTCATACTGTCGTCACTGTCCTTCATAACACTACATTTGCCATCAAAAATTGTTTAATCATTAAGATATCCAATTTCATTTAATTGCTCATTCATTCATTTTCTTGTCAGCTTAGTCCCTTTATTAATCCGGGGTCGCCACAGCGGAATGAACCGCCAACTCATCCAGCAAGTTTTTACACAGCGGATACCCTTCCAGCCGCAACCCATCTCTGGGAAACATCAGCCAATCAGATCGCTGTATGCAAATACACCAGCTAGACAGTGGCCTGGTGCTGACTGAATTTCATTGGCTGAGGCTGCTATGATGATCGGGTTAGCCCCAACTTCAGACACGCCTTCAGTCAAGCGGTGACGCTGAAGCTCCATGTGAATGGGGCGTAAATAGTAAATCCATCGATGCGCAGCTCTACAGTTCCCGAACCATGCAAGCTAGTGGCAACAGCGGCGAGGAAAAAACTTCACCAATTGGCGAAAGTGAAGAATTAAAAAACCTCGAGAGAAACCAGACTCGAGGCCAAACGTCTTCTGCAGAGCTGCAGTCTAGGCGCCGGAGGCTGAAAGAGACTTGCTTTGTTTTACCAAAGAGTTAAATCTAATAGAGGTGTGAACCTATACTGGTCTTACGGTTCGGTTTGGTTACGATTATCATGCCATCGATTCGGTTCAATTCGATATCTCGGTGCATTGACGATGCTTTCCATATACAGTGTTATATTTTAGGGGGGAGGCTATAACATGCTGTCTGTATAAACACTCAGCACCACACTGTCTCTCATTCAAACACATTCACAAACATAGACAGCATCAAACAAACAAATACACTTAAGCCCTTGCAACAGGGAGAGCTCGCGCTGAGCGGAGCAGAAAAACGAAAAAAAATAAGCACTTTTCCGACGGTCCCTTACAGAGAGCTCCTCTCAGCGCGAGCTCTGCCGGCTAAAGTAAACGCAGACTGCGAGGGCTTAAACGGAGCAGTGCTCGTAATGTCGAGCGGAAAAAAAGAAAGACAGCTGTGAAACATAACCAGCTTTGTCTTTCTGTAGGAAACACACTTTAGATCTTTTTAGGGTAAGAGGTTTTTGAGTTATTGCCGTCTATAACTGAATGTGTGTCAGGAAAATCGAAAACGAAACTGCTACAGGGTTCGTTTCAATCGAGCCGAGACCACCTCACTCAAGTGATCTCGGAGCGATTACTTTGGCGCAGAACAGAGCGCGATTGCCCTGTTCACATATGCCAAACGAACCGCGCTAACGAGATACGTTCCGAAACAAAAGTGTAGGTGTGAAAGCACCCTAATATGTTTTATTCAAATCTTCTGCAACGCTATTTAACTCGTGCATTTGTTTTACATTTATTTACACGTTGTTGACCAGTTTATGTATGGCATGGCCATTAAAAATACAAAATTCCTTATTACTTATAAAGAGAATGTTACTTCAGTAATGTTGTTGTAATGTTTTAAGTTGACTAGTTAAACAATAATAATAATAATAATAAAATAATCGAAATCGTGAATCGGTCTAACTTTATAAAAAACCTAGATTTTTTTTTTTTGACAAATCGCCCAGCCCTTGTTGGAGATGAACACAAAGCGTCTTGATGAACTCTGGGAGTCCCGCAGGAACGCTTTCTTCTTCATTCCAGATGACTTTATTAATCAGTGATTTGGGTCATTGCAGAGATGTATGGATGCAGTCCTTCTGATACCAAATGATCAACTAGAAGTCCATTTAATATCTGCTTTTCCTAAAACTTAGATAGGCGACAAGACTTCAGTCAGGTTAATGTTTGCTTTTAAAGCCTGGTTTATACTTCTGCGTCAAGTGACCGTCGTAACCCACGGCGCATGCAACGCGCGCAGCTGTGCATTTATACTTCTGCGCGCTGTCTCTGTTGGTCTGCATTAACACTTCCGAAACGCTAGTTGGCAGTGAGGTGTAAATGTTCCTCTGTGTCGAGTTTCTTCGCTTCTGTTTTGCTTTTCCTGAACACTTCCTGGATGTACAAGTGATTCAAACTCGCTCATTTTAAGCAGGAACCGGCGGACGTGCAACAACCTTAACTATGAGGTAAACACAAAACAAAACTTTCCATTCGGAGCTCCTTCACGGGACTCCACACTTGTAAACAATCGCTCCATCAGGCTCGCACCATTCACGCGGCTCTCAGTCCCGCCCAGACTCGTCAGCGCTACCAAGCCGACCAATCACAGAGCTTGCGCTACGCGTTGTTGCGACGTGTAGTTACATTTTTTGAGAGGTGCACGTCAGTGACGCCGATGGCCACGGCGAAGGGCTATGCGTCAGCGCTGTAGCATACGCCGACGTTTGACGCAGAAGTATAAATCAGCCTTAATACAGTGGTTTTTAGGCTACGTTTATATTTCCAAGCTAACTTCATACTTAATGCGAAACCTTTTATACAATATAAATGAAAAACATTTGACTTAAAAGCACTGGACAGCCTGCACCTTGAGACGTTTAACCCTTTGCATCTCTCCTAACAGACACTCTGTCCCAGAGTCATGGAGGACAGGAGGCCACAGAAGTCATGTGACGAGGCCATTGGATCATTAGTGAGGCAGGAGTATGAGGCGGCGGTGGCCCACAGCACAGAGGCCCTGCTGGCCATGGGGCCCCGGACCCCGACCCCCAGCACTGCCCTCCTGCGCACGCGAGCCCTGCTTTACCGCATAGCAGCACGACTACAGCTGGTGAGAAGCAGAGCTGCGTTCCTGAGCGTAGCTTGTTTGTGTTTTGAGTGTACGCTGTAAAAACGGCAAAGTTCCACACGATTCCTTCATGTTTGTCGTCTCAACACAAATCGACCAGGTTTACTTAAATGTTTTTTACAAATTTAAATGGACTGAACATAAAACAATTGAGTTGTCCCCAAAAACCTCAAGAATTATTTTGATTCAGCTCATAAAATAATAATATTTGACTAGATGTACTTCCAGGGGCCTGTTTCAGTAAGGAGGTTCAAACAACTCGGAGTTTAAACTTGAACTCTGAGTTGATTTACCGAGAGATTAAAAACTCTGAGTTTTCGGTTTCAGAACAGCTGATCTGAGTTGGGTCAATCAACTTCGAGTAGACCAACTCAGAGTTAAGCGCGCACACTGTGACTATAAAAAGGCATTATCAATAGAGCGCAGATATTACGAGTGACCATGGCAACATCTTATAAAAGAGATCAGCATTTCTTTCTCCGGCTGAACTTGATCTGCTCATGCAAAGTTATAGCAAATATGAGTGTATATATTTAAAAAGAAGCAACCATCAGTGAAACAGAGACAGTTAGCATTGGAAAACAGCTGCTCAAGATAATGCATAATTTTTAATTTTAAGTATTTAAACATTTAAGTATAATAAAATAAGTAATGTAATGTGTGACGTTTATACTTTTTTTCTAAACTTTTATACACGTTTATCAGTTTTAATAGATTTAACAGTGCACTTGTGTGTCTGCCTTTTTATTGATCAAATAATAGAGGTTGATATAACATTAAGAAGGTAAGCAGTGCTAAAAATAATTTTTAGACAGAATAATAATCCCATTAATCTTGTAACAGTACATGTCGAAGGTTAAGCTAAATATTTATGGAAAAAAGGACAAGCCTCGTACGTGACTTTGTTCTGTGTGTGACAAAAATGTAGGCAATAGCTGTGTTTCCATCAAAATATAGGCTATTACATAAATGTGTGCAAAACTGGAATAACGCCTAAAAGATGCGAATAAAGCAGCGTTTTTATTCAACGAGTCAAAGAGAACACAATCGTCACTTCCTGATTAACTTGCGGCAAATATCAACAGTAAAAACAGAATTTACTGCGGTAGAAGAAGCTGCGTCGATGATTTTTCATTTAATACTTGCGCCTCAGAAGACAATTGACACACAATGAACACATGGGGGCGTTTGAAGCCAGACAAGGAGACTTGACGCGCTCCAGACGCTTTGAGGTAATTAATAAATACACTAATACTGAAACAGTTCAGGCATTTTAGAATGACTAAAACAACATTTAAGATGTTCTGCAGTGTGCTCAGTCTGCTGGTTTGTCCATTCACACACATTTTCATCATCATCTCTAACAAACTTTTTTTAATGTACATACTGTAATTTAAGGCTGCTTTCACACCTGTGAATCGATTCAGTTGTTCCGAAACAGAGATTACAATTGTTACATTGTTGCTCTTGGAGCGGTTCGCTTTCACACTGCAAAGTTTCTAATCGGACCAAAAGAGCTAAAACAAGTCACTTGAGTAAACTCTCCTCACATTGGTCAGAGTGTCAGGGTTTATTTTGCAGCGTCCCGCTAAGCTGTCAGGAGAGGTGGTGGTTTGGTGGTGATTGACAGGTTGTGCGCGCGACGTGTCTGAGGAGAGACGCGGTGGGGAGGGGTGAGAAGGGTGCGCGACGATGCCTATTTGAGGACCGGGAGGGAGACGCGAGATTACCGGGAGATCATCACTCGTTTGCGGGCATCCGGAGACTCACGAAACTTCCCGCCCTACTCATAATTCTCTCTTCATATAGCCGTATGCCTATTACATATCCATAAAATACTGTGATATAAGCGCGCTCGGATTGGATCGCTTTCTCACTGCAATCGAACCGCTCCAGGGTTCGTTTCAATCGAGCCGAGACCACCTCATTCAAGCGATCTCGGAGCAATTACTTTGGCGCGTAACAGAGCGCGATTGCCCTGTTCACATATGCCAATCGAACCGCGCTAACTGGGCAAACGAGATACGTTCCGAAACAAAAGTGTAGGTGTGAAAGCACCCTGAGTGCACTTCGTAGTTTATGCGCATCTTTTCTTATCAAATAAAAATTTAACCTACTCAGTTATGCGCACGTTTTATTATGCGTATTTTCAAAAGTTATGTGAATCATGACGTTTCCATCAATCGTTTTTATCGGTATCTCCTAAATGAGCTCTAAAATAGGTGTGTGAAAATGTAAGGCTCAGGTGAGAAATACGCTTCATCTTTAAAAAAGGGGAGGAGACCGACAGAAACTCAGAGTTTAGAGAGTAAACCTGCTCCAGACCAGGTTAGATTCACAGAGTAAGTGACCACAGTAACTGACTCTGAGTTAAAGTTACCTTTCTTTCAGAAACAGGCTTGACTTACCCTGATTTCTCGAGTTTAACAAACCTGCCGTTTTGAAACGGAAAACCCAGAGTTTCTCTCATTTCAGGGTTAAAATACTCTGAGTTTTCACTTAACCTCCTTTCTGAAACAGGCCCCAGAACTAGCAGAAAAGTAAGCATTTTGTTGTCTGTTTGTCTGAACAGAAGGACTACGATCAGGCTGATGAAGACTGCAAGCATGGTAAGATCAAATCCTCTCCATGTCATTCTGCAAGGTTTACCATCCTCCGTATTTACTGGCCAATGCTCGTCTTGTTTTTTTAGCTTGTCTCAGGTTAAACACTTCATTCATGCATGATTAATATAAATTCTAAAACTGGGCAGCACAATCGCCTCACAGCAAGAAGGTCGCTGGTTCGAGTCCAGGCAGGATCAGTTGGCATTTCTGTGTGGAGTTTGCATGTTCTCCCCGTGTTGGAGTGGGTTTCCTCCGGGTGCTCCGGTTTCCCCCAGTCCAAACACATGCGCTATAGGGGAACTGATTAATTAAATTGGCCATAGTATATGGGTGTTTCCCAGTACTGGGTTGCAGCTGGAAAGGCATCCGCTGTGTAAAACATGCTGGAATAGTTGGCGGTTCATTCCACTGTGGTGACCCCTGATGAGTAAAAACCATATTAATGTTAACTAGAGCATTTAGGCTCTGATATTTGAGCGTTTCTTTCTTCAGAGAGCTCAGGAGTGTGTGTGTGTGTGTGTGTGTGTGGTAATGTTTGATCACACTGTGTATGTGTTTGTTCACGCAGTGTTTGCTGAGGAGCTGGCCAAGGGAGATGGCAGTTTCAGGGCAGGGCTTCAGAGTCTGCTGCTGGACGGAAGCTTGCAGGAAGTGTGCAGCGTTCTCTCTAAGGCGCTCTACGGAGAACCACTGGTAAACCGAACATCACTTTGATCGCCATGACATCAAAAGTCACTCGTCTTGTCTGTATATGTATACAGTAGTGTTTTTTATAAGCAGTGTGTTTATGCATTTCATTCTTGTGTAGAAATTCATTAGCCCGCTTAAACCTTAATCAGATATCGTAACCTTCTCTACCTCTTCTCAATGACTCTCATCTGATCGCATGGAATGCCTTTAGGGCGGGGCTATCAGTCAGTTAGGGGGGTACTATCTGCTTTGGGGCGGGGCTATCAGTTCTTTGTAGAGTGGTACTGTCTGCTAAAGGGTGGATCTATCAGTTATTTAGGGCGGTTCTTCTCATTCTTCAGGGCGGGGCTATCAGTCATTCAGGGTGGAGCTTTCAGTCTGCTAGGGTGCTACTGTCTGCTTCAAGACGGTGCTATGTGTTTTTTTGGGCGAGGCTATCAGTTTTAGAGCAGAGCTATCTGTGTTTTTAGCATGGTACTGTCTGCGTTAGGGCGGAGCTATCAGTGTTTTAGGGCGGTACTGTCTGCGTTAGGGCGGAGCTATCAGTGTTTTAGGGCAGGACTGTCTGCTTTAGGGCGGAGCTATCAGTGTTTCAGGGCGGTACTGTCTGCTTTAGGGCGGAGCTATCAGTGTTTCAGGGCGGTACTGTCTGCTTTAGGGCGGAGCTATCAGTGTTTTAGGGCAGTACTGTCTGCTTTAGGGCGGAGCTATCAGTATTTTAGGGTGGGACTGTCTGCTTTAGGGCAGAGCTATCAGTGTTAGGGTGTCACTGTCTGCTTTAGGGCGGAGCTATCAGTGTTTTAGGGCGCGACTGTCTTTAGGGCGGAGCTATCACTGTTTTAGGCTGGGACTGCGCTTTAGGGCGGAGCTATCAGTGTTTTAGGGCGGTACTGTCTGTTTTAGGGCAGAGCTATCAGTGTTTTAGGGCGGCACTGTCTGCTTTAGGGCGGAGCTATCAGTGTTTCAGGGCGGTACTGTCTGCTTTAGGGCGGAGCTGTCAGTGTTTTAGGCTGGGACTGTCTGCATTAGGGCAGAGCTATCAGTGTTAGGGCGGTACTGTGCTTTAGGGCGGATCTATCAGTGTTTTAGGGTTGGACTGTCTGCTTTAGGGCGGAGCTATCAGTGTTTTAGGGCAGGACTGTCTGCTTTAGGGCGGAGCTATTAGTGTTTCAGGGCAGTACTGTCTGCTTTAGGGCGGAGCTATCAGTGTTTCAGGGCAGTACTGTCTGCGTTAGGGTGGAGCTATCAGTGTTTTAGGGCGGTACTGTCTATGTTAGGGCGGAGCTATCAGTGTTTTAGGGCGATACTGTCTGCTTTAGGGCAGAGCTATCAGTGTTTTAGGCTGGGACTGTCTGCTTTAGGGCGGAGCTATCAGTGTTTTAGGGCAGTACTGTCTGCTTTAGGGCGGAGCTATCAGTGTTTTAGGGCGGTACTGTCTGTTTTAGGGCAGAGCTATCAGTGTTTTAGGGTGGGACTGTCTGTTTTAGGGCGGAGCTATCAGTGTTTTAGGGCGGTACTGTCTGCTTTAGGGCGGAGCTATCAGTGTCAAGCTGCGGTCTCACTAGAGTTTGTGGGTGCGAAATTCTGTCGTGCGAGCTGCGAAAAGGGGCGGGATTAAACAAGATGATTAGACTATTTAAAAGCAAGCGATTGCTCTGTTTTAAATTTCTGTCCAGAGAGGTCATGTTTTGATCCTCAATTGGTCTCATGCGGTCAAGCAACCTGTGAAACTTGATGCATGACCCCAGGTTTCCGGTCTTAGGCATTCCCCTGCGTATGAATGGAAGTGTATGGAAGGAAAAGCCTAGTGTGACCGCAGCTTTAGCATGGTACTGTTTGCTTTAGGGCGGAGCTATCAGTGTTTTAGGGCGGTACTGTCTGCTTTAGGGCGGAGCTATCAGTGTTATAGGACGGTACTGTCTGCTTTAGGGCGGAGCTATCAGTGTTATAGGACGTTACTCTCTGCTTCAGGGCGGAGCTATCAGTGTTATAGGACGGTACTGTCTGCGTTAGGGCGGAGCTATCAGTGTTTTAGGGCGATACTGTCTGCTTTAGGGCGGAGCTATCAGTGTTTTAGGGCGATACTGTCTGATTTAGGGCGGAGCTATCAGTGTTTTAGGGCAGTACTGTCTGCATTAGGGCGGATCTATCAGTGTTTTAGGGTGGGACTGCCTGCTTTAGGGCGGAGCTATCAGTGTTTTAGGGTGGTACTGTCTGCTTTAGGGCGGAGCTATCAGTGTTTTAGGGTGGGACTGTCTGCTTTAGGGCGGAGCTATCTGTGTTTTAGGGCAGGACTGTCTGATTTAGGGCGGAGCTATTAGTGTTTCAGGGCAGTACTGTCTGCTTTAGGGCGGAGCTATCAGTGTTTTAGGGCGGTACTGTCTGCTTTAGGGCGGAGCTATCAGTGTTTCAGGGCAGTACTGTCTGCTTTAGGGCGGAGCTATCAGTGTTTTAGGGCGATACTGTCTGCTTTAGGGCGGAGCTATCAGTGTTTTAGGGCGGTACTGTCTGATTTAGGGCGGAGCTATCAGTGTTTTAGGGCAGTACTGTCTGCATTAGGGCGGATCTATCAGTGTTTTAGGGTGGGACTGCCTGCTTTAGGGCGGAGCTATCAGTGTTTTAGGGCGGTACTGTCTGCTTTAGGGCGGAGCTATCAGTGTTATAGGACGGTACTGTCTGCTTTAGGGCGGAGCTATCAGTGTTTTAGGGCGGTACTGTCTGCTTTAGGGCGGAGCTATCAGTGTTATAGGACGGTACTGTCTGCTTTAGGGCGGAGCTATCAGTTTTATAGGATGGTACTGTCTGCCTGTAGGGCGGAGCCATCTGTATTTTAGGACTACGATTTGCTTTAGGGTGAAACTATCAGTATTTCAGTGTGGTACTGTCTGCTTTAGGGTGGAGCTATCTGTATTTAGGACTTTACTGTCTGCATTAGGGTGTAGCTACCAGTGTTTTAGGGTTATACTGTCTGCTTTAGGGCAGAGCTATCAGTCTTAGGGCGGTACTGCTTTTTATTTTAGGGTGGAGCTATCAGTGTTTTAGGGTGGTGCTCTCTTTTTTGGGCGGGTCTATCAGTGTTAGAGCAGTACTGCTTTTATTTTTAGTGCGGGTCTAGCAGTGTTTTAGGGATAATGCTGTGCGCTTTAAAGTGGGTCTATCAGTGGTTTAGGGTGTGGATATCCAACACAATCTCACGGCAATTCGTAACTTTTTCATTTAGTATGAATATCATTCGTATGAATTTGTGCGATCTAATTCGTACAATTTAGTATGATTTGCTTATCCCCCAATGACGGTTGGGGTTAGGGGTGGGGTCAGGTGCCACGCCTCCTTTTTAAAATCGTACCATTTCGTACGACTGAACTCGTACTAATTCGTACGTATTAGCCACTAAACTGGCAAAACGTAAAATACTTACGTTTTCTAGTGAGATCAGGCTGGGATATCAGTTTTTTAAAACGGGACTATCAGTCATTGAGGACGGAGCTATTAGTATTTAGAGCAGGACTTTCTCGTTTGGGGTGGGACTATCTGTGTTTTAGGGCGGGGCTATTAGGCAGTTAAGCTGAGCTGTCAGTGGGTGTCTCTCTTCTGCTCTGACTTTGTCATTTTCCATCTTCCTCCTTTTTCGTTAGCATTGCCCGTCTTCAACAATCTAATCGGCTCCTAAAGAACAAAATCATGCACCGCTCCACATTTATTCCTTATTTTCACACTGTCACATGTTGATGTACAATTTTACAATGTGCTCTGTATTTTTCAATTGTGCTTTAACCTGTTAATTACAATATACATACATGTACATAAACTATCATTTTAGCTGCTCTTTCATAGTGCTGCTTGACATTTACTTTGCGTTGTGCTTGTCGCAGAATGGGATCATGACTAAAGACATGACGAGACTGAAGAGGCTCCTCTCAGAAATAGAGGTTTGTTTTTGACTCTTACTTCCTGTTTTAGAAGCAGCGTGTCACTCCTTGAAGATTCAAGAACTGATCTCAACGCAGCTTTTTAGCAAGAGCAAGTTTTTGCTCATAAATCACGGGTTTGGTCTCGTCCTGCAGGCCAAAGTTCCTCAAAAATGTCAATATTGCATGAGCAGACACACTGTTAAACATACACTTTGGTTTGAATGACTTTTAGCAGGAACACATTGATAAAGTAAATCTTTAAAAGCTGTTCTGAATCTTATTTTATGTAATATGTATTGCTTTTGATGTCTTTTTTATTAACTCAGGGTTCCTACACTCAAAAATAATTAAAAGCAAACATACACTGTAAAAAATGACTGTAATTTCAACAGTAATGCTGTAAAATGCAACAGTTAACCAGTCTGTAACCTGGTTAAAGGTATGTTTCCCTAATATATACTGGTAATTACTGTAAATTGACATTCCCAGAATTCTTACACTTCATTTTATTATGCCTTTTTGTTGACGTTACTGTGCTTTTTCTGATTTTTTTTCCATTAGTGATGTAGATTGGAGTGTTTATACCTGCTTATGGTTGCGTTTTAGACTGTGAAACTAAAGGCATTACATGTAAATGTTCATCTTCCAAAACACTGGTGAATAATGCTATAAAAAATCAATGACATGCGGTTTTATTTATTTTATGTTTTGTATTATATTTTAATGGAAAAGTTCTGGCAACCACAGCTGCCAAAACGATCAACCTGCACCGCTTCATTCGTGTGAATCGCACCTCAGGATGTGAGCATTGACTTAACATTTCTAGGGACTAAACTGACTACAGGAGAGATTTTTGTTTTGGTTCTGTCGGTGTAATTTGCAGATGATCCCTAACACTGCGTGCATGACTTTGGCGAATATCAAACAAAAAACCAACTTTACCGAGCTGATTTAGCTGTCTTTCAACGATTTTAGGACTAACATGTTGTTAACGTCACAAGACCTAATACAGTATATACAATACGACTTCATCACAAGGCCTACCGCACTTACGCTGCAGTTTTTCTGCCCACTGAGGAAGTCCGCGACTCCTGCTGCGGGACGGAAGTTTGACGTTTGGTTCTCCTGTGTCCCGCGTTCCTCTTGCTCTACCAATGCAGCAGCTGCTTCACGTAAAAGCTGACTAACAGTTTTGCCATTTTACTTCTGTTATACTGTATTTACACTAGTAACTAACGCCGTCCCATCCATCAAAACCGTGCTTCTGCCCTCGGGCTCTGTGTGTGAAAGCACTCGACGTCACTCGAATACGCCCCTCCCACTGATTAGCATAGGCTTTGCATACAGCTTGAATGAAATCGCAAATGAAAACTGAAATGAAAAAGTGTCAATAAAAGGAAAGCTTAAATTTACATTTTAATTTGAATTGTGTCACTATTATAGCGTGAACATTAATAACACGCTTTGTAAAAATTGTGTTTGCATTTTGTTTTTCAGTTTGGCTTTTTATTTTAATATTGGCAGTCTTGATGCGGAAATGCAGTGAAAATTAAATGTTAAATCGGCAACTTCATTTTAATTATCAATTTGACAGGGACGATGTGTTGTCAAAGTGAAAATGAAAATAAAAATGAAATAATTTAATTTCATTTTCCATTTTGGCTGATATTTAGCGAACAGTGTTTTAAAATGAAATTGTTAATCTGATTTTCATTTTCATTTCCAATGTTTATTTGATTTATTTAAAATTGGCAGGATTTACCTTCCAAAAGTGGGGAACCCTGTCAACGTCTTTTTATTATAGATAAAAGATCAAAATTATAAATGGATTTTATGTAGGTAGAATAAGCTCTCTCTGTTTCTGCAGGCGGCGAGGAGTAAAGTGGTGTTTTCTGAAGAGAACGAGGAGGGTAAGTTCCTCTTCAGTTTCACTACACGTCTTTAATCTGAGGCCCCGTTTACACTAGTGCGTTTTAGTTTGAAAACGCATAAGTTTTGCTACGGTTATGCCATCCGTCCACACTACGCCGGAGTTCTCGAGCGCCGAAAATGGAGCGTTTCGAAAACGCTGGAGAAGCTGTTTTCATTCTTGAAACGCTGCTGCTCCGTCTCAGTGTGGATGATGGAAAACGGAGACATCTGAAAACGGAGGCGGGGCTGCAGACATTCGCCTCTCTGATTGGGGCTTTTCCTGAATATTAAGTAGCCTAACACACACAGTTCAGTCTTGCATCCTCTTATTGTAAGTTAAGACTTCGCAAGTTTGATCAAGGCTGCAGTCTCCCCCTTCTCAGTTTGATATGGAAAACATACCGAGGACACGCGTAAATCTTCACAGGGAACAGTGTACTTTATAACTTCATTCACATCACCCTGGCTACGTTGTTTCACTTTCTCAACAATAAAATGTAAACATGATTTAAGGAACTGCCTATTTTCTTTTTAATATTAGCAACTTAACAGACAGCAGAAATGTTGAGGCGTCGTGCTGCATATATGAGCGTCATCTTCACTGTGTGGATATTTATAACAAAACGGAGCCGATAACAACTGCCTCCTTTCAATTTCAGTGAAAATACGAAACGCACCCTCTCTTTTGCTGAATATCAGTTTTAATAATCGACAATTATAAAAGTATAACATACAATAAGTTTATACATTGTAGGAAATAAAGGCAAGCGATCAGTCAATGTACCTGGATTAATCATTAACTTATCTTTGCACTTAACCAAAACATGTTACCCGTGAACAAGTAACTTAATAGATTCCAATGACCAAAGTCAGGGAATATGTCGTTAGATAAAGACAACAACATGAATGAAATATCACGTTTAGCAAATATAGTGAGATTAGATCCAGCGGGAGATGCTTGATGAGCAGTCCGACAAGCAGAGCTCTCATCTGGGTAGAAATGCGGGAGCGCTTGCCCGAGAGTGTGTGTGTGGTCACGTGATGTGAGTTTTCAGCGTTTTGGTGTGGACGGAGAGCAGTTCAGAAACGCTGGGTAAAACGCGAGTGTGGACGCGGATCGTTTTCATTCTACAACGCCGTTTTAAAACTAAAACGCACTAGTGTAAACGGGGCCTAAGTGTGTGTGTTTGCTTCAAAATGCCATCCTTCTTTTCCTCTTTCTATCTTTGACTTCTGCACAGATGAGAATTGACTTATTTATTTACACGATCGCTATAATAGAAATGTAATTATTTATAGCTGAATGTAAAATGTTAGTGTTCTATATAAACATTGTGATATATTTTAAGTACGTATATTTTCAATCTCTCTCTCTCTCTCTCTCTCTCAGATGTTCAGGAGGGCTGGCAGTTTCGTCCTCCTCCTCGAGGGGTCACTAGTAGTGAAGAATACACATTGTGCAAAAGGTAAACTAGTGCTTTGGGCAAATGAATAGACAGATTTGTAAAGATATGCTTGGTTATACAGTGGCACACACAGTTGACATCAAAATTATTCTCCCTCCTGTGAATTTTTTTCTAATGGCTCGTTTCCACTGACTGGTACGGTTCGGGTCGGTACGGGTCACCTTTATCAGGCTTGCGTTTCCACTACCAAGGATCCCCTATTGGTGGGCGATGTGTATGGCAAAGTTTCAGTCGGCGTCATTTTCGCTCGAGAAAATGTCTACAATAAAGCTGCACAGGTCGCTCACATATCATATGAAAAGCACTTCTCACAAAACAGACGCTTTTGCACACATAAATACTTGTGTATAAATGTTTATTACTAACTTTTCTATAAACAGGAGTTGATTATAACTGCAGATCAATGACGGTGCGAAATAGCCTACTGTAATGTCTGTAATTATATTAAATAAATAAATAAATGAACATATATGAACACATACAGACCCTTACTGTCCCTGATATGTTACCAACTACAGAAGAACTACACAAAGCAGACATTTCGTCGTTAATTAGGTTCAAAACAACACAAAGTATAGCCTACAGTCAGAGTAAACCTCTCATCTGTGTCTGTAATCTTCAGCAGCACATGAAGCCTCTGTTAGAGAGTCACTCCATCATTCCCAGTTCATAATAGTCCAAAAGATGATAATAAAGATTAAAACAAGGAAGTTTGGTCAGGTTTGCTGAAGAAATAACGTGCTCCTTGGCTTCGCCTTTTTTCCCGCGCTCCACTCTCGCATTTGTCCTTTTCTTTCTGAATGTGTCACTCTCGTTTGTCAGCTTCTCACAGGATCGGGTTTCCAAAAGCTTGTCAATAATCAAGTGCATGTTATTATCATCAGCTCAAGAAGTTTGTTAGAAAGCGAAACCACTCGAGCTTCAGACTGGTTCGTAAAAAACTACACGGCACAGGGTAAATCCGCTCTTCTCCATGGCTTTGTGGCTGTTTATCATGACCACGACAGGGTTTGTTTGCAGGATCGACCATGGCTGCATATGTATTTATAATTCCGCTGTAATCTCTCGCTGTGTATTTCAAACATGGCGGGTCCTTTGTTTACATTCTGGCTTGTTGCGTCTACGAATGACGTATCTCTGTAAACCAATAGCGTTCAGCTGCGCGTCTAGCTCCACCTTTTGGGACCCTTTCTGCAGTTTGGGACCCTTTCGAAAGGGTCCCGAAAAAGTGGTACGGTTTGTTTCTGTACGCCTTTTGACAGTGGAAACGGCCATAAAAGCGTACCAAACCGAACCGTACCGTACCACTCAGTGGAAACGGGCCATAATATCTCCTTAAATGATGTTGAACCGATTCAGGAATTTTTCAGGATTCAGGAGTGTTTTCTGTAATGTTTTTTCTTCTGGGGAAAGTCTTATTTGTTTTGTTTCCGCTAGAAAAAAAGCAGTTTTTAATAGTTTTAAAGTCATTTTAATGTCAATATTATTCGCCCCTTAAGCAATATTAGTGTTGGATTGTCTCCAGAACAAACCACTGTTATACAATGACTTGCCTAATTACCCTAATTACCCTAGTGAAGCCTTTAAGCTGAACACTAGTGTCTTGAAGGATATCTAGTCTAATATCATGTGCTGTTGTGCAGGTTTTTGGAGCAGGGTCTGTGCCGGTACGGAGCTCAGTGCACCTCTGCTCACTCTCAGGAGGAGCTGACCGAATGGCAGCGGCGCTACGCCTCGCGCCTCATCCGCCTCAAGCAGCAGCAGGAGGGCAAACACTTCAGCGAGAACTACATGGAGGCGCTCATCGAGAAGTGGATCAACTCACTCACGCCCGAAAGAGTGGTACAGTACAGTCCTAATCCCCACATATTATATAAGAGCAATGTCACATGAGTAGCAGCGCGAGGTGGCTGTATATCAGATTGTTTACAAGTGCGGAGTCCCGTGAAGGAGCTCCGGATGGAAAGTTTTGTTTTGTGTTTACCTCATCGTTAAAGTTGTTGCACGGTTCCTGCCTCAAGATGAGCGAGTTTGAGCCACTTGTACATCTGGCATTAAGGCGGCGGTGAAGCTGAATAATAAAAGAATAATGCCACCGTTAGCCTGTATACTGCCGCACAAAACAACATTTTTCCCCATTGCAGCCTGTCCTTTTTTTTTTTGCCACCGGGGACCCGAGTGACGTCATGTGTGACGTAGGTTGGTAATTGGTCTATTGGTTGTGTGTGTTGTCCTGCAGATGAATGACTGTGTGGATGGAGTTACAGTGGAGCACAGCTCAGATCTCTCCATTACCGTCAACACCAAGAAATCATCCCACTCCTGGACGTTCACGCTCTTCTGCAAGGTTTGGACTCTCTAGCACTTCTACCCCATATTAAACAGTACACACACTTGTTTATTGACACCATGCGGCTGTGATGGTTGCAGCGGTGATGAACTACATAGCGATTTTACAGTCTTGACTTGATTACAAACATGCTCTGATTTAGAAATGTTTAACCTTGTAAAGCTCATTGTTGAGCTGCAGATGATCACAGAGAGTTGAAACAGAGCTTTTAATCCCAGTTTCTTAGCAAATCCTGTTCTGTGGACATGTGTATACGCGTTACTGCAGAGAGACGTTAATATGCTTGTCAATCAATCCTGTGTGCGGGGCAAACTGCACTCCTACGTCACGTTGTGGTTGGCCTAATGCTGTGTTCACACCAGACGTGGAACGCGCGGATAAATCGCACTATTCGCGCGTAAATAGCCGCGTGAACATTTGAGGTTACTCGCTTCATTCGCGCGTCAAACCCCGCTTCATTCGCGCATCAAATTCACTTCAGAACAGACGCAGATTCGCGTGATGGGCAGGGCTTCTGTCTGCCCGAAGACTCTAGCTTCATAGCTAAATGGCTAACATGGATTTAATGAAGAAAATAACAGTGTTCATGTGCTTTATGGAGACTGAAAAACAGCGTCGATACGTTTAGGGTCGTGTCTGAGTCCACTACATCCTTTCAGAGGTGCATCCAGCTCTGTGAGCTCATAAACTTCTCCAGAAACTGAACCTGGATGACGGAGGCTTTCAGCGTTGCTTCTGACTGAGCCAAGCCCGGTTTGATGAACTGTTGTCGGTGAAGGCTGGAGGATTTCCCCCGGAACACCGACAACGGGTTCTACGTCACAATCACGCTCCCACAAGAGCAAGCTTCTGATTGGTTAACGCAGCGCGAATGTACGCTGAAGTTCAGATTTTCGAATTCGAGAGATTCGCGCGAAACGCTCGTTAAGCGCGTCAAACGCGCAAAGCGCTCAATTCGCCCCGCGCAATTTGCGTCATTCGCGCATATCGCGCCGCAGGATGTCTATTCGCGCGTTTGCATTGACTTAACATGTAAATCACTCGCGCAAGACGCACGTGCCGCGTCTGGTGTAATCGCAGCATTAGAATCCTTGGGGTTGCGATCTTATTTTAACATCAGGACATTTAATAAAAGAGACTTGTTGTGTTTTTATCACTCCAGTATGATTGTAGACACACTATAGCTACACACAGCCCCGTCCAATCAGCTTCCAAAAGCATCAATGCCCTTCAAATGATTGAATAAGAGCTTGACTTTCGCTGTGTCCCCTGCAGCCGGTCCGCACTCTCCAGCGCATCGCTTTGCTGTACGACGCCAACCGGCCTCATTTCTCCATCGCGGCGGTGTCTGCCGGAGACGCCTCGGCCCTGGAGCCGCAGCCGGTGTGCCCGGGCGGCTGTCAGGAGTGGAGTGCCGCCAGCCCGGTGCAGAACGGGATGGACCACTGCATCTACACAGTGGAGATCGCCTTCAGCACAGAGATCTTCGGCACCTTCCGGCAGACCGTGGTCTTTGATTTGGGCTGCGAGCCGGTGCTAATGCAGAGAGTGATGGTGGACGCCGCTTCCATCGAAGGTAGGACCGCAGCGAGACGATCGCAGTATTAACATCAGGGTGTCGATATATCAATCATAGATATATACACTAGATATCGCATAGGGACCCTGAGCATGCGTCAGTAGCGCCGCCACATTGGTACAGTGCTCCCAGGACAAATGTCATTCAACCGCACTAGTCAAGACAGTGTTATTACGTGAAGATGCGGGACTTTAGCGCTGTCTATGGGTGTAGTAACGAGCAAACAAAGAAAACAAAGCACAAAGGCAGAACATTTCATAGGTAATATTAAGTTTTTATCTGTGTTTGTATGTTCTGAACTGTTGTGCTAATCAGGTAACGTTATTGATGATAACAGTCACTTACTGCATTCACCATACGGCAAAGCAGCTTCAACTCGCACTAAACACTCGGCTTATGCTAGTTTTGTTGAATAAAATCAGCAAACAATGCAAAAGAAATATGACAACGAGATGCTGCGCTGCCAGAAACTTGTATTATTGTCGGCTAACGTTAGTGAAAGAGTTGTTCGGGGGATTCATTCACAAACGAATCGCTCCCTCCGTCAGTATGAGCAGTGAAAGCAGGAGAGGAGCTGTGTTTCAGGACATGATTAGATTAAATTTAACAGGGAGGGTGAATAGTACATTTCTGTACACACAAACACAAGCTTTTTGTCAGGAATGTCCGTGCGGTCACTGATCCATCAATGTAGAAAAGTGATGTCAAATTATAATTTTCATAATTAGAAAAAAAAAATTGCATACTAACATCCAGGAAAACTCCCGATCATAGATATATGTGTATATGTGTTTATCTCTGGCTTTATGTGGCCACAGTCCTCCACTGTACCTTGGTCCCGCATTCATTTCAAAGGAGCGCTACCCTGTAGCAAGATGGCGGCGCTATTGACGCATTCCGTCCAATAGACAACAATAGGCCAGGCGACATCTAATGTATATATCTATGTAAATCAATAATGAGAAAATGAAGGCCCTTAAAAGGTATTAAAAAGTCTTAATTTTGTTGTTACGAGGACTCGTTCAAGCGTTGACCAAAGTGTTTCACTCCAAAACAGCATAAATAAATATATTGTCCTCAATTGGTTCGTAAGAAACTTGATTTTAGTTTCTTGTGACGTTTAAAGTCAGTGTTTTCTCCTCCTCCTCCTCTACCTGTAATCCCGCAGACCTGGAGCACCTGTTGCAGGCGCGGCAGCAGCTCCTGATGACGGCCAAGCGCTGGGACTCGTCCTGCAAAACTATCGTGGAGTTCGTCCCGAATGAGAACATGGACCTGGAGCGCAGCTTGCTGACCCGCTACCAGATCCCGCTGTCCGCCGACCAGCTCTTCACGCAGTCCGTCCTGGACAAAACCCTCACCAGAGACAACTACCAGCCGCGGCTGCACGACCTGCTCTACATCGAGGAGATCGCGCAGTACAAGGAAGTCAGCAAGTGAGTAGTGCAGCACGTCTGCTCAGGGGTGCTAGTTGAGGATTTGGTGTCAGAAGTGGCTTATATTAAAGGCGAAGGCCTCTAGATGATTTAAGCACAACAAAATCTGATCATGCCTTGATTATTAATGATTTGATGAGGACAGTGCGGTCTGACTCTGCTCAGACTAAAGTCTCATCACTGAACAGAAATAATGTCCAGTATAGAATATAAAGTCCTGCTGCAGTGGAGACAGAATGAAGATTGTGTCTGACTCCATCATGAGCTTGGAGGACTGCATCCATACATCTCTGCACTGACTCAAATCACTGATAAATAAAGTCATCGTGTCTTGATAAAGGCAAAACTCCAAATGATCCTTCAGTAGTTTTATTATTCACTCCTATAGTCCACCACTAGAGGTCACTGGTGTTTCTTTAAATAGCATTGACTGGGAGTTGTAAAATAGTTTTGATGTCTATATTTGAGACTGCAGCAGTTTTACATTAACAGTTATTTTGTTCAATGTTATGCTTTAATTAGTGTAGTTATAGATTTGACATGCAAAATAAGGCATGCATATGCTGCATAGTGACCAATGACAGACTTATTTGAAGCTTGTAAAAAATCTGCAGAATGATTTCTGGGAGCATAACTTGATCTTAAAACATGAAATTAACTACTAAACTCAAACAATAAGTGCTCAGCGGTAGCTTAAATAATGTGTCGGTGCTCTTTGGGTAAGGGATTCATCAGAATAAACAGCAAAAATCAGTCCAAGGCACTCGAAAAATGTAGAAAAACTATTTAAAAAATAAATAAATGCGCTACTTTTTGACTTTTATCCAAGGTTTGCAATGTTAGTCCCATTCGGTCCACATGTTTGGTAAATAAAGTAAATCTCTTGTTCAATGTGTCTACTAAAAGACATAATATATTACTTCACTAACTTTCCTGTACATGATTCATATTAACAATTGCGCAGTGTTCAATATTACTACTGAAATTAATATTAAAACTGAATAAATGTATATTTACACAATGGGATGTTTTTAAAAATGTGTCCCCAGGAAGCATAAAAACCAAATCTGAGGTTTTTAGTGTTAACATTTGCCATTTTTACTTCTTTATTTACTTGCCTACTTATTTAATTATTTATTTGCTTTTTTATTTGTTTATTTATTTACTTCTCTCCTTATTTATTTGCTTTTTTATTTGTTTATTTACTTCTCTACTTATTTATTTGCCTTTTTATTTGTTCATTTATTTACTTCTCTACTTATTTAATTATTTATTTGCTTTTTTATCTGTTCATTTATTTACTTCACTACTTATTTAATTATTTATTTGCTTTTTTATTTGTTTATTTATTTACTTTTCTCCTTATTTATTTGCTTTTTTATTTGTTTATTTACTTCTCTCCTTATTTGCTTTTTTATTTGTTTATTTACTTCTCTACTTATTTATTTGCCTTTTTATTTGTTCATTTATTTACTTCTCTACTTATTTAATTATTTATTTACTTTTTATTTGTTCATTTATTTACTTCACTACTTATTTAATTATTTATTTGCTTTTTTTATTTGTTTATTTACTTCTCTACTTATTTATTTGCCTTTTTATTTGTTCATTTATTTACTTCTCTACTTATTTAATTATTTATTTACTTTTTATTTGTTCATTTATTTACTTCTCTACTTATTTAATTATTTATTTACTTTTTTATTTGTTCATTTATTTACTTCTCTACTTATTTAATTATTTATTTACTTTTTATTTGTTCATTTATTTACTTTACTACTTATTTAATTATTTATTTACTTTTTATTTGTTCATTTATTTACTTCACTACTTATTTAATTATTTACTTTTTTTATCTTATTTCTTTGCTTATATGTCTGTTTGTTTGTTTATTTACTTACCTACTTTGTTTGTTTGCTTATTTGTTTACTTTTTACCTGATTATTTACATATTTATGTACTTAACTGCACACCTACCTACTTATTTGTTTAACGCATTTATTTATGTACTTGCTTACCTTCTAATTCGTACATTTATTTGTTTTGTATTTACTTAATTACGTACTTATTTGCTTATTTGTTTACTTTGTTTGTTCATTTGCTTATGTATTTATTTATTTACTCAACTACCTACTTTATTTACTTACCTACCTACTGTGTTTTTTTTATTTTTTTTATGTACTTGCGTATTTATTTATTTGTTTGTTTGCTTATGTATTTTCATTTACTTGCCTACCTGCTTATTTGTTTATTTATTTACTTAATTACTTTACTGTTTACTTGGTTCATTGTTTACTTATTCATGTGTTTAATTATATAACTGCTATCTACCTACTTGTTTTTGTAGTTCTTAATTAATTAATTAATTAATTTACTTAACTACTTTATTTATTTATTTATTTATTTACATATTTATCTATTTGTATATTTATTTACTTACCTTCTTTGTTTTTGTTTGTTTACTTCATTTATTTATTTGTTTGCTTCATTGATTTATTGATTTTTTTTTCACTCAACTACCTACGTATTTATTTATTTGCTTACCTACCTGCTTTATTTGTTTGTTGATTTATTTACTTTATGTATTTATTTGTTTACCTACCTACTTGTTTACTGATTTATTTACTTGTTTGTTTTTGTATTTATTTGTTTACCTTTTTACCTACCTACTTGTTTACTGATTTATTTACTTGTTTGTTTTTGTATTTATTTGTTTACCTGCCTACCTACCTACATGTTTTTGTATTTATTTATTTACTGATTTGCTTACGTATCTATTTGTTTATTTGCTTACCTACTTTGTTTACTTTTTTATTTGTTTGTTTCTTAGATTTATTGTTTTTTTACTTAACTGCCTTATTTATTTACTTGCTTACCTACCTACTTTGTTTATTGATTTATTTACTTGTTTGTTTGTTTATTTGTTTACCTGCTTATCCATCTACTTGTTTTTGTATGTATTCATGTATTTATGTACTGAGTTGCCTACCTACTTTATTTATTTGCTTACATATTTATTTGTTTATTTATTTACATACCTACTTAGTTTATTTGTTTTCAGTTATTTGTTTGCTTATTCATTGATATACTGGTTTATTTTCTCAACTACCTACTTCTTTTTTTATTTTATTTATTGTCTACCTTCTAACTTTATTTATTTACTTACTTGTTTGTTTGTTTGTTTGTTTATTTATTTACATTCTTACCTACATTTATTTATTTAATTACTTTCCTCATTTATTTGCTTTACATATATGTTTGGTTGTTTATTTACTTACTTTGTTTATTTATTTGTTTACTTTGTGTTAATTTATTGATTTATTTACTCAGTTACCTACTTTATTTACTTGCTTACCTACTTTATTCATTTATTTACTTAAACGTTTGTTGGTTTATGTATTTATTTATTTACTTGCCTCCCGACTTAGTTTATATATTTACTCATATACATATATATTAATTTTATTATTTACTTATTTATTTGTTTATTTTTTAACTTTTCTACCTATTCATTTCATTTTATTTATTTATTTATTTATTTATAGGCTCAATGATGCTAAAAAATAGCCATAAGTTGCTTATGTGTTGTTTGTTTGTTTACATAATTACTTACCTATATATATATATTTAATTCATGTTGATGTTGTAATGAAATTTACTAAAGTGGCATTAAATAAACAAACAAACTTGAGTAAATAAAACGGGTATTTCTCCATGCACAGTTTCCGTGTGTGGGCCCACATATGACCAGTTCTCCAATGCTTTTAAATTGTGTTTTCCTAAATATCCCGGTTCGTGTGTTTCCCTCACAGGTTCAACATTAAGGTTAACCTGCAGCTGGTGACGAGCTTCATGCTGACGGGCATTTCAGGCGGTGCCAAATACGCTCAGAACGGACAACTGTTTGCACGCTTCAAGCTGACGGAGACTCTGTCTGAAGACACGCTGGCCGGCAGACTGGTCATGACGAAGGTCAACTCTGTGCTCCTGCTGCCCGTTTTTAAAGAGCGCATGGGCCAGAACCAGCCGGCGGGAGCCAAGGAGCGCGTTTACGAGGCGTTAATTGAGGAGAAAACGAAGGATTACATCTTCCTGCGGGTCTGTAAGGAGTGCTGTGATGAGCTGGGGCTGGTGGCCGATCAGGAGCTGCAGGTATATCATGCCTATGATGCATGTATTTACAAGGTGTAAACTAAGACCCTAGAGTGTGTGTGTGAAGTTTCAGCACAAAATACCACACTAACAATGTTCTCTATTTCTGAAACTGCCCCTATTAGGCTTTGATCCTAATTGTGGCGTTTTGGTGGCTGTCGCTTTAAATGCAAATGAGATAGTGCTCTTTTTCAGAAGAGGGTGGAGCTACAAATGCTTGGGCGTCAACATAGCTGCAGATTTTAAAGCAGGACCAAAGTCCTATGCTAATGAGGGGGAGATGGTCACTAGTGGGTGGGGCTTTCCCCCTCTGATGACATCATACAAAGGGAGGATGTCAATCAAAGTGTTTCTGCAGGCTGTGATTTTATTATTATTATTTTTTAACATGATTTATAAAATGAAGATTAATATAAACAGAATATATAATTATTGCAATACTACTATACTAATATGATGTAACTACTAATGTAAAACATCGCATATTGAGCCTGTATCTTGCAGCCCTGGTTTCTTTTATCCTCTTTTAAAGGTGTTTTCAGTCGTCTGCTGGAGGTGTTGTCTGTAGCACATGCTGATGCATGAGAGTGTGTGAATAAACCCTGTGTGTGTGTGTGTGTGTGTGTGTGTGTGTGTGTGTGTGTGTGTGTGTGTGTGTGTGTGTGTGTGTGTGTGTGTGTGTCTGTCAGGTGGAGCTGCAGTTTCAGCTGAACAGGCTCCCTCTGTGTGAGATGCACTACGCTCTGGACCGCGTCAGAGATAACAGTATCCTGTTTCCAGACATCAGCCTCACTCCCACAATCCCCTGGAGTCCCAACAGGTACCACTGCGCACACAGATGCACATGAGTGACTGCACAGAGAGACTCTCAGACACACACACACACAGAGACAACGTAATGCTTGTCATGTTCTGTGTAACAGAAACATGTTAAACACATGGCAATTCATATGGAGTCATGCTAAAACATGCTACTTAATACTTGAATCATGTTAATTAACATTCTATCAACATGCTAGTTTGTACTGTAAACATGCTAACAACATGCCAAGTAATGTGATTAGCATGTCACTAGCAAGTTATTATAGTATTAGTGGTTTTAAAACCTTGACTTTTCCCCAAACATCATCCCATGGCTCTCCAGCAGTGCTACATCCCTCACGGAGAGCAGCAGCTGCACTAGCAGGACGTGTCAGTGTGTCAGTAGGCAGTATGTCAGCTCTCTCTCTCTCTCTCTCTCTCTCTCTCTCTCTCTCTCTCTCTCTCTCTCCCTCTCTCTTTCTCTGCCTCTCTGCCACAGGCAGTGGGACGAGCAGCTGGATCCGCGTCTGAATGCCAAGCAGAAGGAGGCGATTCTGGCCATCACCACCCCGCTCTCCATCAACCTCCCGCCGGTGCTCATCATCGGGCCCTACGGCACCGGCAAGACCTTCACGCTGGCCCAGGCTGTCAAACACATCCTCAAGCAGCCCGAGTCACGGTGAGCGCGACAAAACAAACACCTAATTTGGTTATCTTTTTATTATTATTTAGATTTTTTAAATTAAATGTAAAAATTCCAGATTTTATTATTTATTTTTTTTCCCAGATTTTATTTTTTTACACTTCAATTTTTTATTATTATTATTTTTATTTCTTTATTTTTTTCAGATTATTTAGTTTGTTTTAATTTTTTTCAATTTTTTTCCCCACATTTTTATTTTCTTTCCCCCAATATATCCCCCCCCCCCTTTTTTATATTTATTTGATTTTTTTTTTCAGATTAATTTTTCGTTCCCTCTTTTTTTTCCAGATTACATTTTTTTCTCTCTCTCTTTTTAAAATTTTATTGATTAATAAATATTTATTCCACCCCCCCATTATTTTCCCACTTTTTTCCTTTATTTATTTATTTTTCCCGATTTAATTTTTTCAACAATTTCCCCCCCCTTATTTTTTATATTATTATTATTGTTATTGTTATTATTATTATTATTTATTTTTACAGAGTTAATTTATTTTCTAGTTTTTTTTTTTGTTTTTTTTCCATCTCTCATTTTTTCCTGAATTTATTTTTTTCAATATTATTACCCTTTTTTCTCTTTTTATTTAATTTTTGTTTATTTCATTTTTTTTCTATGTTTTTTTCCCCCTTAAATCTTTATTTTTATTATTTATTTATTTATTCATTTATTTTTTCCAAATATTTTTGTTTTATTTTTCCTGAGTTTCTTTTTTCTAAATTTATTTATTTCTTTTTCTCCCTGTATTTTTCCGGTTTCATTTTTTTTTTCCACAATTTTTCCTCAATTTTTTGTATGTTTTTATTATTATTATTTATTTATTTTCCGAATTTTATTTTAGTATTCTTTTTTCTTAATTTTAAACAAACTCCTTCCTTACAATTCAACCCCTTACAGATGAGGGAATAAAAAAAACAATATAAAATAAAATAACACAAAGTAAATAAACAGTACTGCCATCATGAATTCTCTTCAGGGGATACATTTGTACCTCGAGTTACATTGCGTTACATTTACCTCAAATTACATCAGTGATAGATCAGTTAAGCTCTAAACTCTAAATGTACATATCTAAATATCTTGTAGACATGCAGGAGTTTAATTTAACACTTTTAGTGTTGTCAAGAGTGAAAAAGCACAGCATAACCCCCTTTTTTGCTCCTACTTTCGTCCATTTATCTCTTTCAATGGAAAAAATCCATTTCCGGCCACTGACAATTCAGCACTTCCCTAAATGAAGTCTTGCTTTGTGGATCCACTCTGTAGTAAAAGTGAATGGTGGATCTCCACATCCTCTTGCCTCATAGACTTTCACCGTTAGCCGAAAAGCACGTTTTGTTTGCGTATAAATGTGTGTTAAACGACGAATCGAAATGTCCTGTGGTGAAAACAGCGTTGCACAGATGCTGTCAATAGAGCTTAACTTGCATCGATCCCCAAACATTTCTTGTTAATGACGAGGACTAGCCTTGAGGAGCAGAGGAATTGAACATGGTTGAGACGCTTTGTTTCTTTATTTGTTTTTCCGCTGTTTCAGGGTTCTGATCTGCACACATTCGAACAGCGCCGCCGATTTGTATATTAAAGATTACCTTCATCCTTACGTGGAGGCGGGAAATCCACACGCACGACCTCTCAGGTAACACTTATTGCTTATTATTATTGTCAATTTTTCTATAATATGTAAATTTGTATTGATTTGTTAATTAAGTTGTTTAGGTGTGATATTTGTGGCATTTAGTTTGATACGAGGGAAGTCTTTTATTTTGAAATTTGATGCATCTCGCAATAACACCATTTGAGCATGAACATGGTGTAAATATTGTTTGAAATGGCTGAAAAATGGTCTCTTTCCGCCGAAAAGTAGAATTTAGCATACCTTGCTATAATAAATGACAGTCAACATGTTTTCGTTCAACAATTTAATAAAAAAAAACATGTTTTGAGAAAATAATAAATATCTGAATCTCTAAATTAATTAGAGGTGTTGATTGTTTGAACAAAAGTTTCACTGAATAGCTTTTAGCCTAGCATGCTATATTAAGTGACAGTTGGCGTAATTTTGAGCTAAAAACTGTTTGTTTCTGCTTTTAGACAAAAAGTAGAAGTTAGCATGTAGCATAGCATGCTATAATTCATTACATTTGTTGTATTTTGAAATGAAAAAAGTCAGTTTCTACTTTCTGCTAAACGGTATAAGTTAGCATGTAGCATAGCATGCTATAATAAACGACGCTTGACGAATTTTGAAATGAAAAACAGTCCGTTTCTACTTTTTGCCGATTGGTAGAAGTTAGCATGTAGCATAGCATGCTATAGTAAACGATGCTTGAAGTATTTTGAAATGTAAAACAGTCTTTCTACTTTCTGCTGAATGGTAGAAGTTAGCATGTAGCATAGCATGTTATAATAAATTACATTTGTTGTATTTTGAAATGAAAAACAGTCCGTTTCTACTTTTTGCCGATTGGTAGAAGTTAGCATGTAGCATAGCATGCTATAATAAACGATGCTTGAAGTATTTTGAAATGTAAAACAGTCTTTCTATTTTCTGCTAAACGGTAGAAGTTAGCATGTAGCATAGCATGCTATAATAAATTACATTTGTTGTATTTTGAAATGGAAAACTTTCCGTGTCTACTTCTAGTTCGCATGTAGCATAGCATGCTATAATAAACGACGCGAAACATATTTCGAAATGAAAAAAATTTCTTTTCTACTTTCTGCTAATTGGTAGAAGTTAACATGTAGCATAGCATGCTATAATAAATTACATTTGTTGTATTTTAAAATGAAAAACAGTCCATTTCTACTTTCTGCTGAACGGTTGAAGTTAGCATGTAGCATAGCATGCTATTATAAACGACGCTAAACATATTTTGAAATGAAAATTTTTTTGTTTCTACTTTCTGCTGAACGGTAGAAGTTAGCATGTAGCATAGCATGCTATAATAAATGTCAGTTGATGTAATTTGAAATGAAAAACAGTCCGTTTCTACTTTTTGCTAATTGGTAGAAGTTAGCATGTAGCGTAGCATGCTATAATAAACACCGCTTGACGTATTTTGAAATAGTCAGTTTCTACTTTTTGCTGAACGGTAGAATATCATACTATAATTGCATATCATACTATAATAAATGACGCTTGACGTATTTTGAAATGAAAAACAGTCCGTTTCTACTTTCAACTGAATAGTATAAGTTAGCATTTAGCATATCATGTTATAATAAATGACATTAGACGTATTTTGAGATGAAAACGGTCTGTCTACTTTCAACTGAACAGTACAAGTTAGCATAGCATGCTATACTAAATTACATTTGATGTATATTGAGATAAAAATGGTGTGTTTTGCTTTTTAGCCAAAAAGTAGAAGTTAGCATTTAGCGTAGCATGTTATAATAAATAGCAGCTGCTGCAATTTTCAGCTGAAAAAGTCTGCTTTTGCTTTCAGCCAAAAAAGTAGAATTTACATAGCAAGCTGTGATGATTGACATGTTTCTAATTTCCGCTAAATAGTAGAAGTTAGCATAGCATGCTAAAATAAAAGACAGTTGATGTATTTTTAGCCAAAAATGTTTCACTTTCTTTCAGCTGTAGATTTTAGCATTTAGCGTAGCATGCTACAATAGATGTCACTTGGTGTATTTTGAGTCGGTTTCTCATGACACTCGTGCACCATCTTTCAAAACACCCCTAACGTCTGTGTGTGTCCAGGGTTTACTTCAGGAACCGCTGGGTGAAGACGGTCCACCCGCTGGTGCAGCAGTACTGCCTGATCTCCGGAGCGCACTTCACCTTCCAGATGCCCACGCGGCAGGACGTGGAGCGCCACCGTGTGGTCGTGGTCACGCTCAGCACATCCCAGTACCTCTGCCAGCTCGACCTGGAGCCAGGTGAGGTTCTGAGTGAACACATCCATTCCCTCACATGCACTCACTACTTATAACACATGCTTTGTTTGTATCTCTGTGCGTCTGCAGGGTTTATGCAGATTTATTTAGGGAGTATGGGAACTAAAAACCTGAAATGAAACTTAATTACTTTGCATTTAAGGTTTACAGTGCAATTAGATACACCTGTTTGTTAAATACAAACATATAGATATAGCAGCAGTCTCTCTAAAGACATGTCTAGCGGCTGCATTTCACACTCATCTGATTAAAAGAGGAAGACAGCATCGGAGCGCTGCGCAGCTGGACAGGCTGCATTAAAGGCCTCCTGCAGGAGCGGCTACGCTGCAGTTTATTAGCACAGGCTAATTTCCTCCCGCGCGTCTGAGCGCTGGATCATCTGTTGCTAGGAGACGCCGTTGGTCTGTCTCACACACTCAGCATCATTAACACCCAGCGCTGGCGTCACTGTTGTTTCGTTTGTCTCCTGCCTTTTTCATTTAAAGTCATCACTGCTGATTTCTGCCGTCTACCATTTTGAGTTCTCCCCCTTCCACGGACGCCAACGTTTGGAGGTCGCACGGTCCAAATAATAATAATGATAATGTCTATTGATGTATATCTGACTTAATAGGGAGGTTGGATTTCTTTGGAGAAGCAGCCAAACAGCCATTGGGGCCAATTAGATTCTGAATGTCTTACACAACGCCACACACACACACACACACACACACACACACAAATGTCTAGTTAGAAATAATGAAGGCATGTTTTTTACACTTTTTGTCACTCTGTGAACTCGATGAACTGTTAACTGCATAAATGTTTAGAAGATTTTAGCAAATGGGAAATGGTTTGATCAAACTTTTTTGTGAACTCTATTTAGATGATGCCAACCAAAACACATCATCATCTGAGATATATAGCAATATAGGATTTATATATATATTAGTGCTGTCAATCGATTAAAAAAAATTAACTAATTAATTGCACCTTTTTTAAAAAATTAATCGTGATTAATCACATTTAAAATACTGAAACTTGTAATTTTGGCTATTTAAATGTAAAATTTATGTAAACGCAAGACAAAAAAATTTAAATTAAAAATATAATTGTTTAATAGAATTAAAATTAAAAATATAATTGTTTAATAGAATTTTTGTTAAACTTGTAACACAAATTTCTTCATGTAAACAACATACCCACAATAAACCATCAAGATCCTGGCTTGACAGCCATATTTATTACAGAAATTAAACACAGGCATGTTAATGACATTTAAATTTCAAAACAATCAATGCCAATAAAGAAAACATTGATCTCCATGTTGGATTCTAAGTGGACTGCAAACAAATGCCAAAATACAGGAATTGCAGATGTGGAAAATGAACAATTATAATAATAAACTATTGAATATAAACTGTTGCACTCATTGTAAAGTTTTATTGCTGTGAGTTGAGAACATTAATTATAGAGTAGAAACAATTTAGCTTAATCCTCCTTTACATTCATCCAGTTGCTAAGACTAGGAGTATCCCGCAAGTGCACAGAGACTCCCAAATGCCCGCAAATGAATGATAATTTCTCGCAAACCGGTCGTTAAATACATTGCACACCCCTCTCGCCTCTACTCAGATACGTCGCTCACTCCACCCCTGACACCCCTCAACGGGCCTGACACAGACACACACACAACGCGCTGCAGACGTTTTGGCCCTAACGGCCTTCCATACTGGAGCGACTCCCCTCAGATTCAACACGCATGATCACGTTCATCAAATTTGCTTAAACTAAGCGTCCTAAAGTATTACTGTATTTCACAAGGATTCTGACACAACAACGCGAAGCATACGCTTTCATTTCGTTTAATGAGGAAACACGCTAAACTTGGAGGGCTCATGCTGAAAGGCAGAGTAATGCCCTGTCTTTGACAGCTCGCGACTTCACCAGACGTTCTGAGTACATTTACAGAAGACACCAATACTCCGATTTTAATATGATTAAGATTATACTCTTATTAAAATTCTACCGTGTAGCCTTAAAAGGAACCTTACCTTAAAGGAACACCGAGTCACGAAATGCGGAGGATTTTCTTTCTGTTCGCCATGCGGTATCAACTTACAACAGAAGTCGAAAATTAAAAATGAAACGCCCGAAATTGCATGAAACTTTGGAGAGCCTGGTGATGCAACTAATTGTTTTATACTGGAACTTGCCTTCAAAAAGTGCTTCCTTGGTTTTATCCACATTTCTTGCATGTTAAACACACGTCCACCACAACAGGAAGTAAAAAAACCTGCAACTGCGTTAATTGCGTTACATTTTTTGCGTTAATTATTTAAAATTAATCATATGCGTTAACGCATTAATTTTGACAGTGCTAATATATATATATATATATATATATATACAAATACACAGGGTGGACCATTTATATGAATACACCTTAATAAAATGGGAATGGTTTGTGATATTAACGTCCTGTTTGTGGCTCATTAGTATATGTGAGGGGGCAACGTTTTCAAGATGGGTGGTGACCATAGTGGCCTTTTAGAAGTCGGCCAATAATAGGCTAATAATATTGAAAATATTAAAAACTGCCTTGATATCAGCCAATCTAAAGAAAATAAGACTTTCTCCAGGAGAAGAACTTGGGAAATAATTGAAAACGAATAACGATTTTTCGGTTTTCTGGTGCCGGGTCGTGGGGGCAGCAGTCCCAGGAGAGAACTCCACTCTTCCCTCTCCCCAGACTCTTCCTCCAGATCCTCCAGGGGGATCCCGAGGTGTTCCCAGGGCATGCGAGAGACATAGTCCCTCCAGCGTGTCCTGAGGCCTCCTCCTGGTGGGACATGCCTGGAACACCTCCCTTAGGTAGGCGACCAGGAGGCATCCGAAACAAATGCTTAGCCACCTCAGCTGACTTCTCTCGATGTGGAGGAACAGCGGCTCTACTCCGAGCTCCTCCAGGGTTACAGAGCTCCTCACCCTGCCTTTAAGAGTGCGCCCTGCCACCCTAAAAAAGGAAACTCATTTCGGCTGCTTGAATCGGAGATCTTGTCCTTTTGGTCTTGACCCAAAGCTCATGAGCATCGGTGAGAGTAGGAAGGTTTGCCTTTCGACTCGGCTCCTTCTTTACCACAACGGACCGGCACATCAACCGCATTACTGCTGCCGCTGCACCGATCCGCCTGTCAATCTCACGCTCCATCCCTCCCTCACTCGTGAACAAAACCCGATGTTGTTCTGTTGGCTAAATCAAAGATGGACCATCAGCATGCACTAGGGCGGTTAACTGCCGAGGCTGTCGCAACGGGGATGCCGTCTCCAGGTTGGAGGAAAGTCCTCACCCCAGGTGGAGTTCAAGCATCTTGAGGTTTTGTTCAGGAATAAAGATACGTAATTCTGACGTCAGCTGGACATTTCTCTGTGGACTTGCGCATCATAAAATATTATATATAATAATAATAATAATAATAATAATAATAATAACAAAAATAATACCAGCATCAGCACAGTTCCAACCTCTTCACAGCCTGAGGAGCATGTCAATCACACACACACACACACACACACATCATAATAGTAATGATTTTGAAGCGTGTTGAATTGCAGGGTCATCAGATGTCCTCGTAAACCATCGTTAAAGAGTACAACTAGGTCATATCCACGTCATTATACGAAAAGCTGTCCTTGTAAACCACCAAATCCTGCACTAAACACTCTTCTCCCTGGAGCTTCTCTGTCTGGTGTCTGATTCATGTGTGTTAATGGCTGTGTGTGTGTGTGTGTGTGTGCGCGTGTGTATTATATATTATTGAAGCGTTCTCCTGTGAAGCTGCATCTAATGAATATTTGATGGTGTGTGTGTTTGTGTGTGTGTGTTTGTGTGTGCGCAGGGATCTTCACACACATCCTGCTGGACGAGGCGGCTCAGGCGATGGAGTGTGAGACCATCATGCCTCTGGCTCTGGCTGTGAAGAGCACTCGTGTGGTTCTGGCAGGAGATCACATGCAGGTACATCAGAACACTCAAAACTGCAGCGCTCAACACACACACACACACACACTCAGGCCGTTTATAACACAAACACAGCTGACATAATGACCAAATTCCCTTCAGTTATAATGGAATCGATTATAAAATATTTATGTTTTAAAGTATTTGCGCAGAATTTTATGAGTAGTTTAATGTCTTTTTTTCTATTTCTTTGTTTTTTAAATGAATATAACTTTGGAAAAGTCTTAAATAGTGTAAAAAAAAGAAAGCAAATGTTGAGTTTGAATTATTCACATGTGTGTGTACATTAAGAACTTGCGGAGACCCAGAAGAGATGTTTCATTCACTGATTCAGAGGTTGCATATGAGGGGCGCTGATCGACGCACGGCTTTAATGGAAAGAACGTGAATGCAGACAGTTTTATTTTGAAAAGAAATATGAGAGAAATATGGGAAAATGCCTAATAATAGGATATAATGGGAAAATACGGGAGAATCCTGGCAAAAACAGGAGGATTGTCATGTATGAAGTGTTTTTCGAACAACAGTATTGCGAGGGAACGCAAAAGCCTTCAAAAATATGTTTACCCATCACTCGTTTTTTTTTCTTCCACTCGTTTTTTTTCTTCCACTCGTTTTTTTTCTTCCACTCGTTTTTTTTTTCTTCCACTCGTTTTTTTTTCTTCCACTCGTTTTTTTTCTTCCACTCGTTTTTTTTTTCTTCCACTCGTTTTTTTTTCTTCCACTCGTTTTTTTTTCTTCCACTCGTTTTTTTTCTTCCACTCGTTTTTTTTTTCTTCCACTCGTTTTTTTTCTTCCCAGTTTTTTTTTCTTCCTCTCGTTTTTTTTTCTTCCACCCGTTTTTTTTTGCTTCCACCCGTTTTTTTTTTCTTCCACCCGTTTTTTTTTTCTTCCACCCGTTTTTTTTTCTTCCACTCGTTTTTTTTTCTTCCACCCGTTTTTTTTTCTTCCACTCGTTTTTTTTCTTCCTCTCGTTTTTTTTTCTTCCACCCGTTTTTTTTTTCTTCCACTCGTCTTTTTTTTCCACCTGTTTTTTTTTCTTCCACTCGTTATTTTTTCTTCCACCCGTTTTTTTGTCTTCCACCCGTTTTTTTTCTTCCACCCGTTTTTTTTCTTCCACCCGTTTTTTTTTTCTTCCACTCGTTTTTTTTTTCTTCTACCCGTTTTTTTTTCTTTCTTCCACCCGTTTTTTTTTCTTCCACCTGTTTTTTTTTCTTCCACTCTTCTTTTTTTTCCACCTGTTTTTGTCTTCCACCCGTTTTTTTTCTTCCACCCGTTTTTTTGTCTTCCACCCGTTTTTTTGTCTTCCACCCGTTTTTTTTCCTTCCACCCGTTTTTTTGTCTTCCACCCGTTTTTTTTTCTTTCACTCGTTTTTTTTTTCTTCCACCCGTTTTTTTTTTCTTCCACCCGTTTTTTTTTCCCACCCGTTTTTTTTCCTTCCACCCGTTTTTTTGTCTTCCACCCGTTTTTTTTCCTTCCACCCGTTTTTTTGTCTTCCACCCGTTTTTTTGTCTTCCACCCGTTTTTTTTTTCTTCCACCCGGTTTTTTTTCCTTCCACCCGTTTTTTTTTTCTTCCACCCGTTTTTTTGTCTTCCACCCGTTTTTTTTTCTTCCACCCGTTTTTTTTTTTCTTCCACCCATTTTTTTTTTTTCTCGCCATCACGTCCCTTCCGAGTCTCTGTAAGAACTTAATCACATTCATATAAATAAATATATAAATATAAATAAATGACTGAAAATGTGAATTAATTAATAAATTAATAACCTAAGAAACCCACCTTATCCTGAATAACCCACCACAACCTCTTCTGTCATCATTACATTTACAGAAAAGCCTAAATGTTTTAAACATGCGTATTGAATGATGCGGGAGGCGATCTCTCTCCCATCATTACAAATTTAGGATTAATCAACAAGTAAAATAAATCAGTGAATCACGAGTTTCTTGAACCGTGGGTTGTGATCCGTTACAGTAATCGCTCACCGCTCGCAACCCTTGACAAGTCAGAAATAATGACTGAAAAGTCCTTGATTAGAGAGCTAGCTTGTGCATTTGACTTAATCAAAATTAAAATGAGTGTTTTGAGCACAGAAATTAACCTGATGTTGGTTTTTGTTGAGTTGTTTTGCATTTAATCTACATATATTGTGCTGTGGAATGTTCGAGTGCGTCAGCTCATGCAGAATGTTAAGGAAAACACATCTACATTCAGTCACTGGCCACTTTATTAGGTACACCTTACTAGTTGCGGGTTGGACTCACTTTTGCCTTCACAACTGCTGTAATCCTTCATGGCGTAGATTCAACAAGCTACTGGAAATATTCCTCAGAGATTTTGCTCCATATTGACATGACAGCATCACACAGTTGCTGCAGATTTGTCTAATAGTCTAATTATCTTAAAACTGGCGTGTTTAAACAGTTTCCTTTTCATCCTAAGCGCGAGTTGTGATCCGTTACACCCCTCCTCAATAGTAAAATACAATAAATAAATGTATTAATGAGTGTCTGGTTGTAGTGTGTGTAGTAATGCGGTGTGTGTATGTGTGATCCGCAGCTCAGTCCGTTCGTGTACAGCGAGTTTGCGCGGGAGAGGAATCTGCACGTGTCTCTGCTGGACCGGCTGTATGAGCATTACCCGTCCGAATACCCCTGCAGGATCCTGCTCTGCGAAAACTACCGCTCGCATGAGGCAATCATCAAGTAGGTGTGAACTCTTTCACAGCACTCGTCCTGAGGAGACACACACACACACATTACATTACATTACACGACTCTGTCAGTCTCACACAGCACTCTACATTCAACTTCAGGGCTGGTTTCTAGTCTAAATATCTAACAAATGTTAAATCAAGAAGCGTTTACTTAGACTAGTGAAGTGGGTAACACTTTATTTTGATGGTCCATTGGAGTATTAGTAGTCTGTCTGCTTAATATCTGCTGATTCTGCTCCTTCATCAGACATTTAACTGACTGTAAGACACTTTGCAAGTACATGTCACGGCATGTAGATGCAATGTAACTTAAATTCAACAAACGGAGCATCAAAATAAAGTGTGACCGTGAAAAATAAGGTCTTGTTTTTAGAAATAATGAGTCAAAATTGAGTAAGTTCAAGTTAAAATAAGCTTAATAATCAATGGGATAAGCTTAATATTATTATGTTAAAGTGAAAACAGGATTATTTTGCTTGTTTTAAGGAAAAACGCACTTAATTTTGACTCATTATTTCTCAAAACAAGACCTTATTATTTGCTTGTATGGAAAATGCTTCTTGATTGAAAATTATGATTGGTTTTGGCTCGTTTTGTGGGCCAGAGTCAAATATTTAACTTTAAAAACCTACATTAAATCCTGTTTTTTCTTGGTCTTGACATTTTCAATCATCGAGGGCCATTTATTTTGGCAAAATATCCCTTTAATAAAGCCATTGCAGTATTTAAAATCTTCTCATCTTTCGCCATATTTGACCAAAAATGTCTAAAAATATCTAATTTTGTAATGCGACAGCTCAAAATAATGATTGAAAAGTAGGGATGTAACGGTATACGAATTTCACGGTACGATAATACCTCGGTATGAATGGCGGTATTTATTGAATAATTTACAGGAAAAACAAAACTAATGAAAAGACTCGAAAAAAGTGGCAAAAGTGTTTATTTACCTCAGCACTGAACATATCAATGACATACGAATGAGCCATCTATCTGTAAGCTTCGAAACAGGAACTTCAATTTTTCTATTTTAATAACAAAAAACTATAAACCATGTAAAAAAAAATAAAGTTATAGTTTAGTATTGTTGAAAACTCATCACGTTATGACGGTATTTACAATATTGTTACATTCCTATTGAAAAGTATTGAGTATTGAGTATTTTTTTCTTTGTTAGTCCAAAAAATCATTTGATTATTAAGTTAAGATCATGTTTCTAACTGTAAATATATCAAAACTCACTTTTTGATTGGGAATTCGCAATGCTAAGAGTGGAAACTTGTCAGCTTTAAAGACGTATTTTGATTTATTTATTTAGTGTTTTTTTTATTCTCTGATTTTTCAGATTTCAGAACAAATATGCTCACAAACTAGCAAAACTGTATGTCAATAGAAAGCTTATTGATTTGTTGTAATGTATAAATCTCTATTTAAAAACTCACTAAATAAATAAAAACAGAGCGAACAGGCTAGTTACGGGGCAGGAAATCCTTTATAAAATGCTTGGATTTGAAATTTTAGGTTGTTTTTAAGGCTTGAAACGTGCTTTTATTTAATGACCAAGTGCTTGAGAATGTCATTGTGTTGCTTTCATAGTTGTTTATCTTTCTAAATAGGTAATAATAATAATATTGAGCTGTTTAAATCAAATTAAACTACTTTGCATATAGTGAACTTGGTCTCTGTTTTATTTGTGCACTTTGAGCTGGTAAATTAAAAGAGTAAATGATGGCATAATTCAATGATGTTTGGCTTTAGAAAATTATACTGTACTATAGAAAACAATAACGATGTGATGTACAAAAGCAACCAATAATAACTCGACTACTAGTTGATCATGTGTAAAAGGTTGCAGAAGGTGGATTTCTCTGGATCATCTGTTGATCTGCATCCCAATCATCACAAATACTGCAGAAAACCTACTGGAACCAGCATGGACCAAGATTCTCACAGAAATCAGTCAAGTTTGGTGAAGGAGAAATCATGGTTTGGGGTGACATTCAGTATGGGGGATCTGCAACATCAACAGCCTGAGGTATCAAGACATCTGTGCTGCCCGTTACATTACAAACCACAGCAGAGGGACAATTCTCCAGCAGGATAGCGCTCCTTCTCATACTTCAGCCTCCACATCAAAGCTCCTGAAAGCAAAGAAGGTCAAGCTGCTCCAGGATTGGCCAGCCCAGTCACCAGACTTAAACATTATTGAGCATGTCTGGGGTAAGATGAAGGAGGAGGTGTTAAAGATAAACACAGACTCTTGATGAACTCTGGGAGTCCCGCTGAAGGCTTTCTTCACCATTCCAGATGACTTTATTAATCAGTGATGTGAGTCATGTCAGAGATGTATGGATGCAGTCCTCCAAGCTCATGATGGAGTCAGACTCAATATTCATCTCTACTGCATCTCCAGTGCAGCAGCACTTTATATTCTATACAGGACATTATTTCTGTTTAGACTTTAGTCTGAGCAGAGTCAGACCTTACTGTCCTAATCAAATCATTAATAATCAAGGCATTATCTGATTTTATTGACCTCAAATAAGCAAAATCTAGAGGCCTTCGCCTTTCATATAAGACACTTCTGATACTAAATGACCAACTAAAAGTCCAGGTATTATTTGCTGTTCCTTAAACGTGGATATATAGGCGACAAGTCTTCTGTCAGGTAGTGTATGATGTGTTTAGGTATTTATATGCATGCAAATACACTATTTGCCACACTTGAAAGTGCTTTAAATGTTTAAAAGTGCGCACATTAAAAACAAAACGCGAGGACTGTGATATCTTTGACTTGTTTTGTGGGTCAAATATTTAATTCTGAAGATGTTGTGGTGCTGTTTAGCCTCTTGTAATGAGCTTCTAAAGCTGACCGTGTGTTCTGACTGACCCGCAGCTACACGTCGGATCTCTTCTACGAGGGGAAGCTGATGGCCAGCGGGAAACAGCCGCCACATAAGGATTTTTACCCCCTGACCTTCTTCACAGCCCGCGGAGAAGACGTGCAGGAGAAAAACAGCACAGCGTACTACAACAACGCTGAGGTAAAGCTTACCAGGGTGTCCGTGGGGCCCCTAAAAAGTCGTCATTACAATTACAAGTTCACTGAAATGTTGTGTTTTACACTGTTTTTGTCTTGTTTCCAGTCCAAATATCTACAAATTCTTAAATCAAGAAGCATTTTCTGGACAAGCACAAAATATTGTCTTGTTTTCAGAAATAGTGAGTCAAAGTTAAGTGAGTTTTTTCTCTTTAAAACAAGCAAAATAGTCTGCCAATGACTGAAATAATCTAGTGTCAAAAGAAAAAAACAAGATCATTTTACAGGGCTTCGGCTGAGTCCTAAAAAGTCTCAAATTTAAAAAATGAAAATTTTAGGCCTTAAAAAGTCTTGAAGGGTCATGACACCCCCACTTTCGGTTCAGGTCTATTTTCAGTTCCATAAGGGACCTTTTACAGCATCGATTATGTAGATTTTAATTAGTTTAACAACAAAACACAAGTAAATAGCGCTAATCCACCTAGGGTCCGTCCTTCTAGCCTCGCTTAAATGATCTAAGATGATTTGGCAGATCCTGGATCTTTTAATCTTGATAACTGATCTCTGGCTAATTTGATTCTTCAAACGAGTTCGCGAATCAGATTGGAATGTCTGGATGAACTGATCTGAGATCGCTGTGTGTGTTGTAAAGGACAGATCTATCCATCCTCGAAATCATGATCAGCAATAACATGATTGGCTGACGGCACAGCAGCGTAATGACATCATCTGATTAATATTCAATTATCCATGTAAGCAAAATTACATCAAATTAGCAGTAAACGGTTTGTTAAATATGACACGCAACAACCTAACACATTTGTTGTGAGCTGCAGGCTTTCCACTTTCATGTGTCAAGAGTATTCATCATGTATTTCAGTGCATATCAGTGTATTTAGTTCTACATTTAGAGAAGATTTTCTTTATTGTAGTAGCTGTTTTTTTAATCGCTGTATGGAATAACTGGATGTTTACAAAAGCATTTTGATATTGGTAAAGGCGTCTGCAACTTATGTGAAGCATCAAATCACCGTCATATTAACTATCAAAACATGTTTATGACTGCATTAATGTATTATTGCTTTTAAAAAAGTCACATACTCTGCATTTCTATTATCATACACAAATTGTAGTAAAGCGATCTAAAAAGTTCATATCAGTAAGTTTTCTCTTTGCACCACCAGGTGGCAGTCTTTGTACTTTCATTTCGAGGGTGCAGATTGTACGTTTTATTAATAAATATAACTTTATTTATTTTATTAATGACTATAACTTTATATATATATATATATATATAGTTAAAAAATATTTACTATTTTCCCAAGTGTATATAACTACTACTGTAAGAAAATATCAGAATTCGGTACATGCTTTCTGTATTATCTTTGCTTGAACTGAGCTGATCTAATCCTGTTTAGATGAATTGAACCTGCTCCCAACCAGGTTTGAGCTAGCAGAACTGTTGCTATGACAACAACTCTCGGATCAGCTTTGAAGAACAAAATCATCCTGGATTATGTCAAATCGTCAATATCCAAATACAGCTAACTGAGTAATCCACGTACGAAGAACGAACCCCAGCTGCGCTCTCATAGAGAGAAAATGAAAACAAAACCTTCACTGCAGCACATTATAAAAGCAACACTGCACGCTTGTTTTGGCAACACAGTGTGCCGTCTCTCTGCCGTCTGAACACTGTGACAGTAATGAATATTAATGAAGTTGCACAATAGAGCGCGCTGATTGGTTTGAACCAAGCCTTACTCATGCATTAATGCAGCACACTCGGAGACGTAATACGGCACTCCCAGGTACAGACGTCCACGCTGGAATGCATGCTAAGATCTCATGGCCGTGACGCAGCTTCAAAAATTCGTTTCAAACTGGAAGTACAAATTTGCTGGAAATAACGCAAAAACAACCAATTTACACTTTTTAGTGAAATATAGGTGTCCTAATAGTGTTTATAGCAGCGTGGGACACATATACGACATGTGTTTTGGTGTTTAGTGACCCTTTAAACATTTCCATTATGTTCCCTGCTATTTGCATGTGTTGTGAAAAATTGCAGCACGTTTCCGTTATGTGTTTGTGCTGTGAGGATTTTGCAACACATTTGCTGTCAATCAGATGAAGATCTTTTCTTAGTTTGCTGACGTTTTTTGTAACTGCATGTTTTCTTACAACTCCAAATCAGAAGAAGTTGGGACGGTATTGAAAATGAACTTATTTTTCTTTTGACGTGAGATTATTTAACCATTCTGCACACATTATTAAGTCCTGGCCGCTGCAGAAGAGGATACAGGTCCTTGACTGGCCTGCCTGCAGTCCCGACCTGTCTCCGGTAGAGAATGTGTGGTGTATTTTGAAGCGCAGTAGATCCTGTACTGTTAAGTCCAGCTTAAGACGTGTTTGCAGGAATAATGGGACAAAATGACACCTGAAACGCTTCATCGCTCGCTGTCTTCAGTCCCTAAACGTATTTTAAGTGTTGTGAAAAGGAGCAGGAACATTACAAAGTGGTAAATGCTTTACTGATACAACTTTTTTTTTTTTAATTTGTTGCAAAAAATCTGAATAAACTTCATGAGGAACAGATTAAATAATGCTTGTTGTGGTGTCTGCAGTGAAATACAAGTCAAAGTAAGTTTGGAAATTCTGATTTGGGGTTGTAACTTCCCGTGCATTAAGCTCTCTCGGACACTGTGCATGTGTGTGTGTTGGTCTTTCATCATTTGTGTGTGTGTTTCTGCAGGTGTTTGAGATCGTGGAGCGTGTGGAGGAGATGAGGAAGAAGTGGCCCGTGTCCTGGGGGAAGCTGGAGGAGGGCAGCATCGGTGTGGTTTCGCCCTACGCCGACCAGGTCTTCCGGATCAGAGCCGAACTGCGCAAAAAGAGGATGTCGGAGGTCAGCGTGGAGAGAGTGCTCAACGTGCAGGGTGAGTCCAGCACACTGCAGGAAAAAACATGCTGTTCTTATTGAGTTTCAGCCTCGTTTGTAGTCCAAATATCTTAACCCTGCTGAAAAATACAGCTTAATCCAGCTTAGGCTGGTTGGCTGGTTTTAGCTGGTTGACCAGGCTGGCGTTAGAGGGGTTTTGGCCATTTCCAGGCTGGTTTCCAGCCATTTCCACTTCATTCAGCATCTACACATAGACATCCCCTATATACAATATAACTGCAGGTTAACAGGTGTATATAAAATAACTTCAACTCTTAAAAGCTATTAGTTCCCTGCTGAAAAATCCAGCTTAAACCAGCCTAGGCTGGTTTTAGCTGGATTATTCAGCAGGGAAATGTCTTAAATCAAGAAACATTTACAACACAAGCAAAATATACTGTTATTTTCAGAAATCAGGCCCATATCCAACCTATTGAATGAGGTGGTTTTGTTTTGTTTCTCAAAAAGTGGACAGTTTTTCCAGTTATTTGCACTAATCTTCAGATGTTTGAACTGGAAACAAGCCAAAACAAGTCTGCCCTGAGAAAGATGGCTGTGTTTTACACAGTACCCCCCATGTGTGGCTCCAGACGGAGAACAGGCGCAGGTTCACCAGACTGCAGTTTAGCCTTCTCAATGTGTGTTTGCCGCCCTGCAGGTTTCATTTGAAAAGCCAGATTGCCTCCTGCATAATTGATGGCGTTTGGTTCAGCCTGGCGTGCTGAAATCGCCTCTTTAATGGATGGAGAAGCGGCTGCTTGTTTGGCACAGAGATTGATTAGAAGTGCTCGTTATTTGAATCGTCTTCACCTGGGTATGCTAATCTGGGCACCACAACAAAGATGCAACTGTCAATTTGATTTAAGTGTGTTTGTGTAGCGCTTTCCACAATAATTATGGTCTCAAAGCCGCTTTACAGAGGGCGCACATTATCGCATTACTATCAAATTTGGAGACGTTAAGCTTATTAGTTACCATAGCCAATTAACTATTAACCCTGCTGAAAAATCCAGCTTAAACCAGCCTAGGCTGGTTTAAGCTGGATTTTTCAGCAGGGAACTAATAGCTTTTAAGAGTTGAAGTTATTTTATATAAACCTGTTAACCTGCAGTTATATTGTATATAGGGGATGTCTATGTGTAGATGCTGAATGAAGTGTATTTTGCTTTATTGAAAAGATAGGTCTTCAATCCAGTCTTGAACTTGAATCTAGTCTTGAACATCATCAGGAAGGCTATTCATGAGTTTAGGAGCCATATATGGAGACTGCTCGACCTCCTTTAGTGGACTTTGCTATTCCGGGTACTACCAGAAGCCCTGAACTAATTAACTAATTATTTTATTTACAGATAAAGTCATCATGTATAAGCAGTTAACCTGCTGTTATATAGTATATAGGCGATGTCCATGTGTAGATGCTGAGTGAAGTGTATTTTGCTGTAGTAAAAGATAGGTCTTTATTCTAGTTTTGACCTGAAAGAGTGTGTCTGAGCCTCGGACTTTATCAGGAAGGCTATTGCAGAGTTTAGGAGCCATACATGAGATTGCTCACCCTCCTTTAGTGGACTTTGCTATTCCGAGAACTACCAGAAGCCCTGAGCCCTGAACTAATTAACTAATTACCAGGACCAGACGGAATCTATAGACGTTTTTTGCTCTTTCTGCTGAGAAATTTGATAAAAATCTGCGGATTTCTGCGGAATTGTTTTGGGAGTATCATACCTAAAACCTGAATATGTGAAAAAAAAAATCTTTTTAACTTTTATTTAATGTTTAAGATGCAAATGCAATTAGATTCACTTTATTTGGTAAATAAAGCAAGCCTCTGATAGAATATCTCTACTAAAAGACAGTGTTACTTTACAAACTGTATTGTACATAAACCAGATAAACATTTTCATGTTAGTTAATATTACTGTAATTCATTTAAGTAAATAAACAGAATTAATGATGGGCTAAAAATCTGCGGGATTCTGTGCGCGCAGATTCTGTGTGGGCCTACTAATTACTTATTCCTTTTACAGTTAAAGTCATTATGTATAAGCAGTTAACCTGCTGTTATATAGTATATAGGCGATGTCCATGTGTAGATGCTGAATGAAATGTATTTTGCTGTATTAAAAGATATGTCGTTATTCTAGTTTTGACCTGAAAGAGTGTGTCTGAGCCTCGGACTTTATCAGGAAGGCTATTGCAGAGTTTAGGAGCCATACATGAGATTGCTCATCCTTCTTTAGTGGACTTTGCTATTCCGAGAACTACCAGAAGCCCTGAGCCCTGAACTAATTAACTAATTACTAGGACCAGACGGAATCTATAGATGTTTTTTGCTCTTTCTGCTGAGAAATTTGATAAAAAATCTGCGGATTTCTGGGGAATTGTTTTGGGAGTATCATACCTAAAACCTGAATATGTGAAAAAAAAAAATCTTTTTAACTTTTATTTAATGTTTAAGATGCAAATGCAATTAGATTCACTTTATTTGGTAAATAAAGCAAGCCTCTGATAGAATATCTCTACTAAAAGACAGTGTTACTTTACAAACTGTATTGTACATAAACCAGATAAACATTTTCATGTTAGTTAATATTACTGTAATTCATTGAAGTAAATAAACAGAATTAATGATGGGCTAAAAATCTGCGGGATTCTGTGCGCGCAGATTCCGTGTGGGCCTACTAATTACTTATTCCTTTTACAGTTAAAGTCATTATGTATAAGCAGTTAACCTGCTGTTATATAGTATATAGGCGATGTCCATGTGTAGATGCTGAATGAAATGTATTTTGCTGTATTAAAAGATATGTCGTTATTCTAGTTTTGACCTGAAAGAGTGTGTCTGAGCCTCGGACTTTATCAGGAAGGCTATTGCAGAGTTTAGGAGCCATACATGAGATTGCTCATCCTCCTTTAGTGGACTTTGCTATTCCGAGAACTACCAAAAGCCCTGAGCCCTGAACTAATTAACTAATTACCAGGACCAGACGGAATCTACGGACGTTTTTTGCTCATTCTGCTGAGAAATTTGATAAAAATCTGCGGATTTCTGCGGAATTGTTTTGGGAGTATCATACCTAAAACCTGAATATGTGAAAAAAAAAAATCTTTTTAACTTTTATTTAATGTTTAAGATGCAAATGCAATTAGATTCACTTTATTTGGTAAATAAAGCAAGTCTCTGGTAGAATATCTCTACTAAAAGACAAAGTGTTACCTCTCTGTTACCACTCTAAAGGGATGACCATTCTAAACGCAAGTAAACTAAAACTCGTCATGTAACTACACGTCGCAGAGAAAGTTGTGGCCGAGACTCGGTCACCTCCGTGCGGATGGAAACGACCCAGCAGCACATAAGGGCAAGATTATGTGTTAAACCGTTTCCTCATGTGGTTCTACCGTGTGTGTGTGTGCAGGTAAGCAGTTCCGGGTGCTGTTCCTGAGCACGGTGCGCACGCGTCACACCTGCAAACACAAGCAGACGGCCATCAAGAGGAAGGAGCAGCTGGTGGAGGACTCGACTGAAGATCTGGACTACGGCTTTCTGTCCAACTACAAGCTGCTGAACACCGCCATCACTCGAGCGCAGTCACTGGTGGCCGTGGTGGGAGATCCTATCGCCCTCTGCTCTGTGGGACGCTGCAGGTAGGCACACACACACACACACACACACACACACACACACTGGTCATAACGCTGCAGTTCAGGATGAAAATGAAAGTTTGAGCTTAAAATAGCACACTAATAATGTGGTATAGCTCTCTGAAACTGCCCCTTTTTAGGTTTTGATCCTAATTGTGGTGTTTTGGGGACTGTCGCTTTAAATGCAAATGAGAGGGCGGAGCTACAAGTGCTGGTCAGGTGTGCTTCATGCTTTTGTCAGTCTATGGAGACTCCTGTGGCTGTTCATCTAAAGCTCCACATCTATAATCCTGTTAGTCTATGCTGACATTATCTCCAACACTCTAATGGCTAATAGACAGACGGCTGCTTCTCACTCAGGGCTGCTGTTTGTGCTAATGAGGGGGAGATGGTCACTAGTGGGCGGGGCTTTCCCCCTCTGATGACATCATACAAAGAGAGCAAGTCAATCAGAGTGTTTCTGCAGACTGTTTTCATCAAGTCTGATTATAAACAACACAATTAATTCATGTTGACCATTAGAGGCTGGAGATATCCACACACTGCTGACACACAACTGGGTTTAAACACATTATCAAGGAGATGTGTGTGTGTTTGTGTGTGTGAGACATCCTTGTGCCTCTGTATGTGCTATGTGCATGTGTGTATTGTCAGTGTGTTTTATGTGAAAGTTTGTATGATATTTTCATGAGTGCGTGTCTATGTTATGTGTATGTTTTGAGTGTGTTGTGTGTCTTTATGTTTGTCTAATTTGTCTGTGTTTGTGTGTGAATGTTTGTGTGTGTGTGTGTGTGTATATATATATACACACACACACACACATTTACATATGTATATAGACACACACACACACATTTACAGTTTTATGTTTGTTACACATCTACATTTAAATGTGTATATATACAAATGTATATACACACACACACATACATTTACAAATCTACACACATTTACACATACACACACACACATTTACAAATATAGACACATTTACATATACACACATACACACACACACACACACACATTTACAAATCTACACACATTTACAAATCTACACACATTTACATATACACACACACGCACACATTTACAAATATACACACATTTACATATATACACACACACACATTTACAAATATACACATATTTACATATACACACACACACACACACACACACACATTTACAAATATACACACATTTACATATACACACACACGCACACATTTACAAATATACACACATTTCCATATATACACACACACACATTTACAAATATACACATATTTACATATATACACACACACACACACATTTACAAATATACACACATTTACATATATACACACACACACACACGCACACATTTACAAATATACACACATTTACATATACACACACACGCACACATTTACAAATATACACACATTTCCATATATACACACACACACATTTACAAATATACACATATTTACATATATACACACACACACACACACATTTACAAATATACACACATTTACATATATACACACACACACACACACACATTTACAAATATACACACATTTACATATATATACACACACACACACACACACATTTACAAATATACACACATTTACATATACACACACACACCCACACATTTAAAAATATACTCACATTTACATACATACACACACACACATTTACAAATATACACACATTTGCATATATACACACACACACACACACATTTACAAATATACACACATTTACATATACACACACACACCCACACATTTAAAAATATACTCACATTTACATACATACACACACACACACACACATTTACGAATATACACACATTTGCATATATACACACACACACACACACATTTACGAATATACACACATTTACATAAATATTTAGACGTGTATATATACTCGCACACACTCTCACACATTTACAAATATACACACATTTACATAAATATTTACATACATATATATATACAGGTACACACACATTTACATATATATTTTACTTGTGCGTGTGTGTGTGTGTGTGTGTGTGTCACCGCTGGCAGCCTCTGCTCCTCTAGCTCTATCCTTCCTAGCTGCAGCTCCAGCGTTGCTATGGAGACAGAATTGCATCGGCCAATCAATGAAGCCCAGCTACAGGAAATGTCAAGCCGAAGGGCCTGGCAACTAAGTGTGTGTAGTGTTTGTTGTGTCTGATTATCTGTGTTTGTGTGTGTATTTTTATGTATTGTATCTGTGTGTGTGTCTCTGTCTGTCTGTCTGTCTGTACATTCGTGTGTGTGTGTAGGTGTGTGTAGGTGTGTGTGTGTGTGTGTGTAAACTATTTGTGTTTTTATCTGTGTAATATATCTGTATATTGTTTGTATTGTGTCTGTGTTCATCTTTCTGTTGTGTGTGTGTGTGTCATGTTTTGTCTGTGTGTTATGTCGGTCCATATGTATTGTGTGTGTTATTGTGTATTTTTGTGTCTGTTTATTGTTAGTGTGTAATATATGTGTGAATGAGTGTCTGTATTATCCATGTGTGTGTTTGTGTGTTTGTGTATTTGTATATGTGTATTGTGTATGTTTAGGAGTGTTTATTGTCTGTGTGTGTGTGATTGTGTATTTATATCTGTGTATTGTGTTTATACGTGTGTGTGTGTGTGTGTGTGTTGTGTGTTTGAGTGTGTGTATTATGTATATGTGTATTATTAAGGATCTAGTTTAAGAACACTATGCTGACATGCAGGCATGTGTAGCTCCGCCCTCTTTTGAATCTCATTTGCATTTAAAGCGACAGTCACCAAAACGCCACAATTAGGATCAAAGCCTAAAAGGGTCAGTTTCAGAGAGTTAAAACATGATCTGTGGGGTATTTAGAGCTAAAACTTCACACACACACACTCTAGAGACATCAGACACTTATTGTACATCTTGTAAAAGGGGCGAAATAGATACCCTTTAAACTTAATATTACCATATATTCTTACTTGGATGTGTTTCTGACCCCAAAATGCCATGAGATCTCCTTCAGACGTGGATGACTGTGTGTTTGCCGTGCTGCTGTTGTGTAACACATGCGCCGGTTTGCATCTAATTCAGTCTGTCACTGTATCTTGGACTTGTCAACTCCTCATCAAGCTCCTGATTAGTTCAATCAGTTCCGCTTCCTCGAGGCCTCGTCATATTATCTGAGATGAGTTCTGCTGTCCGCGGAGGGAAAGAGGAGGGGGGCACAAACTTTTGCTTTCGGAGTCGGCATATATTCCAAACACTAACGCCAGTTGACGTCTCCTGCTGATGCTGACTTTTGTGCCATTGGGAGATGTATGGAGCTTATAATATGACAGTAATATCTGAATTGAAGAATGTATTGGAAACCTGTAACCATTGACTTCCACAGTATTTGTTTTTGCTGCTATGTAAGTCAATGGTTACAGGTTTCCAAAATTTTCTTTAAAGTCTGCTGATATTGACTTGTGATATGGGAAGATCTATGTAGCTTATACTATGGCAATACTTTTTGAATTTGAAGAATATTTTCAGAAAACCTGTAACCATTGACTCCCAGAGTAGAAAAAATAAATACTATGGAAGTCAATGGTTACAGGTTTCCAAAATACTCCTTAAATTTAAATTCTGCTGATATTGACTTGTGTCATTGGGATATGTTTGGAGCTTTTTTTTGACAACTATTATTTGAATTTAAAGAGTAACCTGTAACCATTGACTTCCATAGTAGGAAAAATAAATACTATGGATGTCAATGGTTACAGGTTTCCAAAATACTCTTTAAATTTAATTTCTGCTGATATTGACTTGTCATTGGGAGGTGTATGGAGCTTATAATATGATAGTAATATCTGAATTGAAGAATATATTGGAAACCTGTAACCATTGACTTCCATAGTATTTGTTTTTGCTACTATGGAAGTCAATGGTTACAGGTTTATAAAATATTCTTTAAATTCTGCATATATTGACTTGTGACATTGGGAGATGTATATAGGTTATATTATGACAACTATTATTTGAATCTGAAGAAGAACCTGTAACCATTGACTTCCATGGTAGGAAAAACAAATTCTATGAAAGTCAATGGTTACAGGTTTCCAAAATTTTCTTCAAAGTCTCCTGATGTTGACTTGTGATATATCTATGTAGCTTATACTATGGCAATACTTTTTGAATTTGAAGAATATTTTCAGAAAACCTGTAACCATTGACTTCCATGGTAGGAAAAACAAATTCTATGAAAGTCAATGGTTACAGGTTTCCAAAATTTTCTTCAAAGTCTCCTGATGTTGACTTATGATATATCTATGTAGCTTATACTATGGCAATACTTTTTGAATTTGAAGAATATTTTCAGAAAACCTGTAACCATTGACTTCCATGGTAGGAAAAACAAATTCTATGAAAGTCAATGGTTACAGGTTTCCAAAATTTTCTTCAAAGTCTCCTGATGTTGACTTATGATATATCTATGTAGCTTATACTATGGCAATACTTTTTGAATTTGAAGAATATTTTCAGAAAACCTGTAACCATTGACTTCCATAGTAGAAAAAATGAATACTATGGATGTCAATGGTTACAGGTTTCCAAAATACTCTTTAAATTTAAATTCTGCTGATATTGACTTGTGACATTGGGAGATGTATGGAGGTTATATTATGACAACTTTTTTTTGAATTTGAAGAAAAACATGTAACCATTGACTTCCATAGTAGGAAAAACAAATACTATGAAAGTCAATGGTTACAGGTTTCCAAAATATTCTTCAAAGTTTCCTGATATTGTGACATGGGGAGATCTATGTAGCTTGTACTATTACAATACTTTTTTAATTTAAAGAATACTTTCAGAAAACCTGTAACCATTGACTTCCATAGTAGAAAAAATAAATACTATGGATGTCAATGGTTACAGGTTTCCAAAATACTCTTTAAATTTAAATTCTGCATATGTTGACTTGTGTCATTGGGATATATTTGGAGCTTTTTTTTTTTTTTTTGAGGATTCATTCTCAATATGAGAGGTTTCTTATTACACAGAAGTTAATTTGTAAACTAATTCGATTTGTTTTCTTCTCATATATGCATTTCTTTGGCGGTTTTAGAATAATAAGCGTCCTCGTTTTTCTCCCGCCCTTCATCCCTCTTCATATAATCATCGACCACTGCTCACACACACACACCTAGCTCTGAGTGTACCGTGTTGGTGTTGGCAAGTGTTATATATTCTGTTGATGAGTGTTTCTGATTCACTCCATGCGTCCCGGGCTGTATTGTTGTCATACTGTTATGTTGAAGGCTGAACGGGGACTTCATTTAGATTTCCATTGATTGCGCCGTGCTGATTAGTCACGAATAATGTGAAAGGTTATGGTCGAGCGGGGTGTTTTTTTTTTTTTATTAAAATCTTTATATATTTTTCTGTCGTGCTACAATCAAGCACTCAAAAGTAGATCATTGCTATATTTGTGGTGCTTATTTGGAAATAAAGTGTTTGTTTTGAGGTAAATTTAGCAGATGTCGTGATGAATTAATGAATCTAAAACTTTCTTGTGTGTGCGTGTGTGTGTGTGTGTGTGTGTGTGGAGTTATTTGATTAAACAGAAGCAGAAAGGGAAATAAAAACCACTCAGTAGCAATTCCTCATGCTCCAGTAATGTCATTAGGAACAGTTCCATTCTATTATCATTAACACGTTTTGAAATCATCGTTAATCAGTGTTTGTTCTGGCATTGCCAACTTAAAAGGAAAGTTCACCCCAAAAATTAACCTTCTGTCATCATCATCAGTATTTCTTCTTGTTTCTTTCTTCTGCTGAACGCAAGGGAAGATATACTGAAGAACAAAACAGCTGTTGACTACTTTATGCCGAGTTCAGACTGCGTGATTTTAGCCCCGATTTTGGCTCGCCGACAGGTTTTGAGAAATCGCCGACAAATGCCTGAAATCGCCGGCAAATCGCTGCTCGTGCACGTGAGTGACAATCACACAGTATAAACTATCAAACACGTGATCTGAGAGAATCGCCGATGAGTCGCCGATGCCTGTGACATTTGGCGCGCTGAATATCTGGAGCTGTCGGCGATTCAAATCACGCCGTGTGAATTGAGTTTGACTGAAAATAACATCAGCGATCGCCTACAGCCAATGAGAGAGCAGCTTTCACTTGTGTGTGCGTGTGTGTGTGTACCTGCTGCAGGCCAGCTTCTCTGGGGGAGAAGGTAAAAGCGCTCTTTTTTGGTTTATTTGGACCCACGAAATGGAGGAAAACTAGTGGAGGTTTGACAGGACTCAGGAGCAACCGTGTCTGTTTGACGTTTCATACAGAAAGAAATTAGTTTATTATTAACGTTGTGGAGAAATGGCTGATTCCCTTTAAACCCAGGTGAGCAAACATGTACATGTTCACCCCATTAAAGGCTTCTTTCTCATTATGTAGTTAATAACAAAAGATATACGACGTGTTTAAGGCTGTGAGACGTAGTTTGGACGAAGTTGTCGGCGATTCTTCCTATAGTAAAGTCATGCAATGTGAAAGTCCCTGTCGCCGATCCATCTTGCAGTGTAAACAAAGCAGAGACGAAACGCTAGCCCAGATAGTCAAGCAGTGTGAAAATATCTGTGACACGACTACTTTGAAAGTCCTGCAGTCTGAACTCGGCATTAGTTGTAATATATTGATGCGTTTTTCCAACATTCTTCAGTATATCTTGTTTTCTTTGACATCATTAGCATGAACACACACACACACACACACACACACGCTCCATCTTTTTTTGTTTTACGTTTGAACGTTCTTCTGAGCATTTATGAGTAAATAAGTACATAAGAAATTAACATGTATAATAGTATCTTACATATTGGGCCTTTTTATGATATATACACAGTTGAAGTCAGAATTATTCGCCCCCCTTTGTTTATTTTTTCCCCCAATATCTGTTTAACAGAGCAGATTTCTTCAGCACATTTCTAATCATAATAGTGTTAATAACTCATCTCTAATAACTGATTTATTTTCTCTTTGGCATGATGACAGTAAATAATATTAGACTAGATATTCTTCAAGACACTTCTATACAGCTTAAAGTGACATTTAAAGGCTTAACTAGGTTAGCTAGGCAGGTTAGGGTAATTAGGCAAGTTATTGCATAATGATGGTTTGTTCTGTAGACTATCGGGAAAAAAATGTAGCTTAAAGGAGCAAATAATATTGACCTTAAAATGGCTTTAAAACAATTAAAAACTGATTTTATTCTAGCTGAAATAAAACAAATCAGACTTTCTCCAGAAGAAAAAATATTATCAGACATACTGTGAACATTTCCTTGCTCTGTTAAACATCATTTGGGAAATATTAAAAAAAAATAAATAAATCAAAGGGGGGCGAATAATTCTGAATAATTCTAATTCTAAAACTCTCCCTAATCAAACAGATTCAGGTGTGTTTCATTAGGGAGAGGTTGGAAATGTGTACTGCTGGTGTGCCTTCAGGAACAGGGTTGGGAAACGGTGCTCTACAGCAGAGGTTCTCAAAGTGGGGGTCGGGACCCCCCGAGGGGTCGCGGGACAATGAAGGGGGGTCGCCTGGTGATTTTCAAAAATCAATTAATTTTTATTAAACCTTAAGACTTACTGTATATTATCAATAACCTACTAAAGAGAAAAAATAGTCGTTTATAGTTACTATAAACTATATAGTTACTATAGTCGCTTATACAGTAGTTAATAGTTCTATTGGATTGCGACTTCTCTAGTAATTACATTATACTAAAGGCACAGCAATACTTTTAGATGCTGCAGATTTTATAACACCAGGTTAAACTTTCTAGCCCATTTACAGCACTGACATACATAAAAAAACAAAAACAAAGAATAGACTTGGGTCTATTGGTGTGTGTGTGCGTCATTGCATACAAGGTTTCTGTATTTATAACCACCACCTCAGAGAAAATTGGGGGTCACGAGTCACTGGCATTGTCATTTTGGGGGTCGCGGGCTGAAAAGTTTGGGAACCCCTGCTCTACAGCAGTGGTTCTCAAAGTGGGGGTCGCGGGACAATGACAAGGGGTCGCTTGGTGATATCCAAAACTCAAATAAATTTTATTAAACTATTAGAATTACCATATTTTATTCATAACCGACAGAATATAGTTAATAGTTGCATTAAAGAAACAACAACATAAAAATAACAATCAGCCATCAGCCTTTAATTTTAAAAGCAAAATGTAATTAAATCCATAAATGACTTTAAAAAGCATTATATGGCTAATAGACTGTTGCATTTTTGTGTTGTCAATAAGCTCATGTTTATTTTTGCCTATAATTGTGTCTGCAACGTTTACATATTTACAGTACAACCACCTTGAAAAATGGGGGTCGCGAGCCTCTGGTATGATTATTTTTGGGGTCGCGGGCTGAAAAGTTTGGGAACCCCTGCTCTACAGTACACTAAAACTCCTTTGGTTTTCTTGAGTTGTGAAGAGAGTTGCTTTTAATCTTCACTATTCATTTAGGCTGAATTGTCTCTCTAATGTTATAAATATATAATGTGAATGAATCTAAAACGCTTGTTATTTGGAGCTTTTCATCACATACATCCTCTGCAATACTCTAGGAACCTCTTGTGAGTTGTTAAGGGAGTCGTGTTTAACCTTCACCCTTGGTTTGGTCCTTCGCAGAAAGTTCTGGGAGACCTTCATCTCCATCTGCCATGAGAACCACAGCCTCCACGGCATCACCTTTGAGCAGATTAAGATCCAGCTGGAGGCCCTGGAGCTGAAGAAGACGTATGTGCTCAACCCGCTGGCCCCAGAGTTCATCCCTCGGGCCCTGCGCTCGCAGCATCCGCCGCAACAGGGGCCCGGAAAACACCAGCACTCCCCACCAAAGGTACCGAATCAGCCGCACTACATCCCACATCCTACATCCTACAATATCTCCTGTGAATATATTCTAATATTTCCCAAATGACAGATTCAGAAATTTTTCACAGTATTTCCTCTAATATTTGTTCTTCTGGAGAAAGTCTTATTTGTTTTATTTCTGCTAAAAATAAAGCAGTTTTTAATTGTTTTAAAGTCATTTTAAGGTCAATATTATTAACCCCCTTAGGCAAAATTAGTTTTGGATTGTCTCCAGAACAAACCACTGTTATACAATGACTTGCCTAATTACCCTAACTTTACCCTAATTACCCTAGTGAAGCCTTTACATGTGACTTTAAGCTCAATACTAGCGTCTTGAAGGATATCTAGGCTAATATTATGTGCTCTCATCATGGCAATAAATTTATACTGTGGCCTTAACTAATATGTATTTACACAGGAATTAATAGTTTGTTACAATGTACTTGTTGTGTAAATACATGTATTTACTGTGTACTTATGCTTGATTAAATACATGTAATTACATCTGTAATTAACTTTTGCAATTACATTTGTAAATACACTGTTGACCATCGCTTACACCTAAACCCACCCTTAAACCTACCCATGCCACCAAACCTGTCCATAACCCAACCTCTATCCCAACTCAAATGCACCAGAAGTGTTCTTAAATGCATTATAAACGCAGTAAGTACATTGTATTTATCTTTTGATGCAAGTATATAGTAGTTAAGGACACTTAGTATAAAGTGGGACCGTACATTTTATTTAGTATTATGCATTATATAGATTGTCATGTATTTTACTATAGGCTATAATGAAGGAAAAACATGCGTTTTTCCACTATTTAATATGCATACGTAAACATTGCTTTAAATATTATGTCAAGAATATTTACCTGAAATTCTTGAAAAGGTCATGGAGTATGGGGCCAGATCAGTCTCAAAAATAATACATTTACAAATGAAATTCATACATGCACAGAACAATTCACATTTACAAAGTCCAGTTTGTAAATTAAAAACACAATTCATGAATAATAAATATTTTCACCAAATGAATTGGTTTTGTGCACATTATGAATTGAAATTTTGAATTTACGAATTGCATTTATTTATTTTCGATTCGTGTTTTGAATTAACGAATTGGATTTGTGTTTTTTTTAAATCGCATTTTAAATCTACAAATTGGATTTGTGTATTTACGAATCTTGTTTTGAATTTACGAATTGGATTTGTGTTTTTAAATTGATTTTTGAATTTACAAATTGGATTTGTGGATTTGCTAATCGTGTTTTGAATTCACGAATTTGATTTGCGTATTTACGAATCGTGTTTTGAATGAACGAATTGGATTTGTGTTTTTTTTTAATCGGATTTTAAATCTACAAATTGGATTTGTGTATTTACGAATCTTGTTTTGAATTTACGAATTGCATTTATTTATTTTCGAGTCATGTTTTGAATTAACGAATTGGATTTGTGTTTTTTTTTTATCGCATTTTAAATCTACAAATTGGATTTGTGGATTTACGAATCTTGTTTTGAATTTACGAATCAAATTTGTGTTTTTAAATTGAGTTTTGAATTTACAAATTGGATTTGTGGATTTGCTATTCGTGTTTTGAATACACGAATTTGATTTGCGTATTTACGAATCGTGTTTTGAATTAACGAATTGGATTTGTGTTTTTTTTTTTTATCGCATTTTAAATCTACAAATTGGATTTGTGTATATACGAATCGTGTTTTGAATTTACTAATTGCATTTATTTATTTTCGAATCGTGTTTTGAATTAACGAATTGGATTTGTGTTTTTTAATCGCATTTTAAATCTACAAATTGGATTTGTGGATTTTCCTTATCGTGTTTTGAATTCACGAATTTGATTTGCGCATTTACGAATCGTGTTTTGAATTAACGAATTGGATTTGTGTTTTTGAATCGAGTTTTGAATTTACAAATTGGATTTGTGGATTTACTAATCGTGTTTTGAATTCACGAATTTGATTTGCGTATTTACAAATCGTGTTTTGAATTTACGAATTAGATTTGTGTATTTTTTAATCGAATTTTGAATTTACGATTTGGATTTGTGTATTTTTGAATCGTGTTTTGAATTTACGAATTGGATTTTGTTGACTTTTATCGTAAAAGTAAACAAAAAAAAAAGTATCCACCCCGAGCTCCAACAACACTTGTTAAACCACCCTCGTTTCATCAACCACTGCGTCACGGTCACCAATACCAAGCTGACCAAACAAAGATCTTGTGCTCCGTGATGTCAGGACATGTACTCGCATTTTTTTTTTGATTGATATACAAAGACCGTTTACGGGCATTACTATAAATGTGGAAAAGTGCAACACTCAGTATGGCCGCCTCAGCAAAGAAAGTCCCGCCTTTCAGTCGACACAGCCAATCAGCAGTCCTAATAGCCTCACGGTTCAGAAGAAAATCATCACACACATCCATGACATATCCAGTCTTTGCTCAGTGTTTATAAACGCGTCCATTAGTTACAATGGAAACAGCCGTAAAGGAGATTGCTGTTGTGCCAATCGTTGCCCAATTGCAGTAGCTAGAGCAAGCTAAAAACTACGTGTTTTAAATGTAATTAGAGTTTAAGCTACAGCAGTAATGAGGCAGGTCGCTTCAGATTTTGAAATATGTTAAGTTTTCAATACCACAAGGAAGAAAACTCCACAATATTAAAAGTTTCCGCATTAAAAGTCGAAGCTAAAATGTCGGAATGAGGCAAATTTTTAATCTTTTTCATTCTTCTCTTAATTTCTAACTAAAACAAAAGTCCTGATATTATCATTAATATTATTTGACTGATCACAGCTAACATGGACGTATATATATATTTGTTTGTTAACTGATACTAATGTAAATACTTCACCGTTTTATTTATATTAGTGGTAGATAATACATTATTGATATGATAAGCACATTTTTCCAGCGTTTTATTTCACCGTGTGCATAGCAGAAATATAGTAACGCATATAAATCGATGCTGACGTGTGTTCAGATGCGCTTTGACGCGATGTGCTGTGATGTGGAGTCACGCATGCTGACATTAATAAAGGCTTTGGTTGTGTGAGCAGCAGAGCGCATCCGTCTAAACGCCAGCCTTAAAAGGAATAATATGCCAATCAATCCTCTGCCCTGAGGAGAGGAAGGTAAACATGCCAGAATAGATGAGCGCGGACACTTCCTCCCCCCCCTTTTCTTTCTCCAGCTCAGATTGGTGTCTGTTTCTCCTCAACCCCTGCACTTCATTGGCTCCATCACTCGGGTTAGTTAGTTAGTTAGTTAGAGAGAAGAACCGACTTGCTTGATTTAACTAATAAGTATGTCCACACAGAATCTGTGCGTGCAGAAATCTGCAAATCTTCAGCCCCTCATTGAGTCTGTTTACTTGTAAAAATTAAATGTATTCAGTTTTTACATTGCCATGTCAAAGCAGTAAGTAAATCAGCACACTATCATCTCAGAAACATTGTTTCCAGTGAAGACTTAAAGCAAACTTGTTCATGCTTTTATCAGCAGCAGGGTGGATTACTGTAACAGCCTGCTCACTGGCCTTCCCAAAAAAGACAATCAGACAGTTGCCCGGCCAGGATTCTGACCAGAAGCAGGAAATCAGAGCACATCACACCTGTCCTCAGGTCTCTACACTGGCTGCCAGTTACATTCAGAATGGATTTTAAAGTATTATTACTGGTCTATAAATCACTAAATGGCCTAGGAGCTCAATACATTACAGATATGCTCACTGAATACAAACAAAACAGATTACTCAGATCTTTAGGATCAAATAATCTAGAAATTCCAAGAGTTCAGTCGAAGCAGGGTGAATCTGCCTTCAGCCACTAACAGCGCCCCTCGCTGCTGGAATCATGAAAAATGATCAGATGTGCTCCAACATTAGGCACATTGAAATTGAGACTGAACACATCTGTAGCTGTGTCTTTACTGAATGAGCACTGTGCTGCGTCCGACAGATCATACTATTGTGTTTTTCCTTTTCATTCTTTTATAACCTGTTTTAACACATTTTAATCTGTTTTTAATCATTTTTATTTATTTTATGCTCTTAAACTTGATAATAATAATAATATAATAATAATAGTAATATGATATATTAAATATAATAAATATATAATAATATAATATAAATAAAAATAAAATATAAATATAATATAATTATAATTATATAATTATGAATTATTATTATAATTAATTAATTAATTAATAATTATAATTAATTATAATTTAATTTATTAATAATTATTATTATTAATTATATTTATTAATTTAATAATTAATTATTATTTAATTTATAATTAAATTATAATTAATTAATTAATTATAATATAACCTGTTTTAACACATTTTAATCTGTTTTTAATCATTTTTATTTGGTTTTTATGCTCTTAAACTTGATAATAGATAATAATAATAATAATAATAATAATAATATAATAATAATAATAATAGTCATATGATATAATAAATATAATAAATATATAATAATATAAATATAAATAAAATATAAATATAATATAATTATGAATTATAATTAATTAATTAATTAATTATAATTAATTATAATTTAATTTATTAATAATTATTATTATTAATTGTTATATTTATTAATTAAATAATTAATTATTATTTAATTTATAATTAAATTATAATTAATTAATTATAAATATTAATTATATAATTATTAATAATTATAATATAAATATATAATATAATGATATTAATAGATAATGCATTTAATACACATTCAGTTTCAATATACATTCTACTATTTTTCAAAATCTGAAATATTTTCGAGTATTTAAATTAATTATGTATGTATATTAGTGCAATATCTATCTGTTTTTTTGTATTAAAACAAAACAGCCCTCGTTTGCATTTTTCATGCAACCAAACAACTTCCGAATCAGAGTCCATTGATGTGATCCGCTGGGAATGCGTGGCTTTTCAAAACCGATCAATGTGGGCATGAGTGCATAGAGAGTGACTCCAGGTCAGCACGTTTGAGGGAAACGCAGATCACGGCCGGCCATTTCAATAGCATCTGATGAGATGCTTTCTGAAATTACTGCGCCGAAAATGGGGACGCACCTGTCAAAGAGATGAACCAAAGCAAACGGAGAAGTCTATAATTAACACGCCAATCACGATATTTATTTACTGAAAAGAATGGGTTTTTGAGTTCTCGTGTTCGATTGGCTGGATTTCCATTGAAGCTTTTGTTTTTAATTACGGACTAAATTGCTGTAGCTTTTAAAAAGCTGTGCTGATCGTCAAAACAAATCACCACAGATCCTCTTGAAATCACTTCAATGCCACGATTATTAACCCTTGTGTGCTGTTGGAGATGTTTTCATCCACTCCAGGGTGATTTTAAGTCTTAGCTTGGCCACGACTTTCTCTGTTTTTCAGCAAATGGAATGATCAAATCTTATTTCGACAGACATTTTGGGAAAATGCATTGAAAGATTTCCAAAACTCAACAACACACTTGCAAATTAACTACTATTTGGTTATGTTGGGGGCTGTTTTTGCCCCATTGACTTCAATTATAATCTCTTTCTATGATTGCTAAGCCTCCTTGATTGCTGGTTGGTTTTTCGTTGTTGCGAAGAGATACAATTAGAAATCTATCTTGTTGATCATCACAAACCGTTTTGCACAGGCCTATCTGAAGGATTAACGGTGCCAACTGATGATCAACAGCCCAAACAGAGAAAACCAGCAACAATCAAGAATGCATGACTACATGCTGTCATGACTAAGCAATCAGAATATGTGGTTATAATGGAAGTCAATGGGGCAAAAACAGCCCCCAACATAATGAAAGGGGAGTCAATTTGAACTCGACCCGCTCGCTGTATTTTCTGTTATTTCTTTGTTAATTATATTAATGACAATAATTCATATGCATCCACAGAGGGACATCTCTACAGAAAAGTGTCATGTACATATCACAGTACTGCCGCATAGTCTGTTTTTCCCCACTGTTGTGCAGCTCTAGTGCTGTAATTCAAGCTCCAAAATGCGAGAGTTTATTCCACTCTGTTCGCTGAGGATGTTTTGTTTTTCTTGGAAATCATCATCATCAAAATCCAAACGCCTCCTCAAAACACCCTCTGCCCTCATTTTACTCAAACTCAACCCACATGGAGCCAGCGAGACGAGATCTGCCTGACCATGCGGAAGTACAGCGGCGCAAGCGCTCTGACAAATCAGTGCTTCCTCATGGAGATGCTTGTGTACAGTGGGGAAGGGGAAACAGCCCTCAAGAACCTAGAAAGAGAAAAAATTGTGCGTGTGTGTGTGTGTTAGGGATGCAACAATACAGTTAGCCCACGGTTCGATACATACCTCGGTTTTTTTAACGCTGTTTTCGGTTCGGTTCTCATGGCTTGACATGTGCCCGCATCTCCAATCACCAAAAACATCTGCAAATCTTTAGCATTAACACCCGCACTGCCTTTGTTATTTTTATGTGTCTCTCAGAACCAGTTGGTCATGTTTGCTTAAAGGATTCAGCGAGGGATTATCACTATTTGGAGGACTTTATTACCTTCTCTGCTATCCTGCCTTTAGACAGTGATGTTGCTGGGTGATGCGCTGCAGATGTGCAGTCATGGTTATACGTGTAAATCAATGCTTGCACACAGTTATTTTTTGTTCACTGTTTTTTCTTTTATTAGCATTATACTTACCGGCAAAACCGAAATGTCCTCACACCGCAGATTTGAAAGACGCTGGCGCTTCCTCGTACTGTTGCTTCACTTTGCCGGCGCTTCCTGGTTCTGTTGCCTCAGCCTCACTTCACCGCCGCTCGCCATGTTAAAGTGTGGAATGATGGTCAAGCGCCCTCTAACTTTAGAGCACAGTGATTGGATGTTTACTCGCGGGGAGGAGTTTCCTCATCTCAGCTCATGGACTTACAAGCACACACAGTCAATTCGGGGAGATATAAAACGCACAGAAATTATGTAAACGCAAAACTGAGAAAACCGCAATTCACAAGCCCGTATTGAACCGTGGAGGTCCTACCGAACGGTTCAATATTATATTGAGAACAGTGGCATCCCTAGTGTGTGTGTGTGTATATATATGTGTGTGTGTATATATATATATAAAGTCCATTATTTTCTGTAATGTACTGATAAACATTAGATTTTCATACATTTTAGATTCATTACACACAACTGAAGTTGTTCAAGCCTTTTATTGTTTTAATATTGATGAATTTGGCATACAGCTCATGAAAACCCAAAATTCCTATCTCAAAAAATTAGCATTTTCGACCTTGGCAGTAGACAAAATTATGCCAAAATATGAATTCATTGGAATATTAAAGTAATGATCTGAAACATTAAAGCGTGACATGCATGTAAAAATATAAACAATCTGTAAGGGGCACATACATTTTCACACCTGTGAAAAAGTGTTTGCCCCCTTATTGCTTTCTTATTTTTTCACACTTTATATATATATATATATATATATATATATATATATATATATATATATATATATATATATATATTTATGTGTATATAGTTTTATATAGTATTATTACACACTAGATTATAGATATCCTTAAACTTAACAGACTGGAACTAACAGTTGAATTTTTTTATTGTGGTTTAACGAGACCTTTAAGTTATTTAAGCTAATTGATTTATTGAGAAAACATGAAGTGGAACACAGCATTTCCTTGCAGCAAGACCCCCTTCCCCCTTCACCGTTTCCATCCGTTCTCCTTCACCCCCCAGCAATGTCTCACTCAGACCCTCCTCTTCCTCTTATTTTCAGGCGAAAGGACAGCTGGCCAATCACACGGAGCCCTTCCCCCCTGAAGGTTTCGGTAAGTGACCTCCTGCTCTTCAGGCCTTCAGCATTTTCACACCTCTTCACAGCATTTTCTTAATTGATGCGAGTGTTGTGTGTTCTCCAGCCCTGCGTCTGCTTTAATCACGTCAATACTGACAGTTTGCAAATATTGATTATTATATGGTGACGTTGGGAGATTATTTTCAGCATTACTGATCAATTACCCTCAAAAATAGAACACACACTATTAGAATACGTTCTATTGTTCTAAACATCAAACACATTCTAAAGCTGGAGTAATTAGAATGGAATGGCAGTTAATGTTCAAACACTCCAAATAACGGTTCTAAAAATTTGTAATAAACAATAATATCTGTAATCTTATGTGTAGTAGACATAAAATAATGTAGTAGAGCTTCCTGTTAAACGTATGAGTTTAAAAGAGACGTTTGTGAGGGTGTACTTGTGTACATATAACAGCCGTTTGAGATGTGCTCTGAGCAGCAGTTACCTGGAGAATGTGACAGCTGTATTAACCCTTCACGAAGGAAGTATTTCCACAGCCTTTGACCCCGGATTGGAGGCTTTGAGGGTTTTATTGCTGTAATGTGACTGTGCTGTCAGTGTGAATCCAGCTCATTAGATTGTAAAGTGCCTTCCAGAGAAAGAGAGAGAGAGAGAGAGGGTGAGATCAGTGAAGTGGATCCATCTTCCTTCCAGACCCACTTTTGGCCCAATCAAAACACAATCCCGCAGATAATGTGTGGCAATAGTGCCAATTCTCTCTCAATTACTGCCTTGGATTGCTGTATGTGTCTGAGCAAATGGCTTGAGGTGTGTGTGCGTGTGTGTGTGTGCGCAAGCATATCCACGTGCATGTGTGCAAACACGTGCGTGCGTATGAATGTGTGTGCGTGCATATGCGTGTGTGCGTGCGTATGCATGTGTGTGCGTGCATATGCGTGTGTATGTGCGTGCATTTGTGTGCGTATGCTCGTGCGTGTGTGTGTGCATTTGTATGCCTGCGCAAGTATATGCGTGCGTGCATGCGTTCGTGAGCGTATGCGTGCATTCATATGCTGCTCAAGCATATGCGTGTGCGTGGGTTCGTTTGTGTATGCACGTGCGTTCATATGCAATCGTGTGCAAGCGTATGCATGCGTGCGTGTTCGTGTGCGTATGCGTGCGTTCGTATGCGTGTGCGAATGAGTATGCATGCATGCGTTCGTGTGCGTGCATTCGTGTGCGTATGCATGCGTGCGTCCGTGTGTGGGCGTATGCGTGCATGTGTTTGTGTGCGTTCATGTGCGTATGCGTGCATGCTTTCATGTGCGTGCGTTCGTGTGTGTATGCGTTCTTGTGCATACATTTGTGTGCGTATGCATGTGTGCAAGTGTGCGTTCGTATGCATGCGTATGCAAGCATATGCGTGCATGTGCGTGCATTCATGTGTGTATGTGCATGCATGCGTGTTCGTTTGCGTGTGCGTGCGGAAGCATATGCATGTGCATGCGTTCATGTGCGTGCGTTCGTTCGTATGCCCGTGTGTGTGTGTTTGTATGCACGTGCATGCAAGTGCGTGCGTTCATGTGTGTGTTCGTTTGCATGCGTGCGCAAGCATATGCGTGTGTTCGTGTGTGTATATGCGTGCGTGGGTTTCTACGCGTGCGCAAGCATATGTGTATGCACATGTACTTTCATATGCGTGTGCGCATGTATATGCATATGCGTGTGCCATATGCATATACAAGCATATGTGTGTGGGTGCGATTGTTTATATGCATGTGCGTGCATGCGCAAGCATATGCGTGTTCGTATGCGTGTGCGTGCATTCGTGTATGCATGTGCGTGCATGCATATGCGTGTGTATTTGTGTGTGCATACGTGCATACATGCAGATATTTGAATCTGATTTGCATATAATTTAAGACATCAGATTTATTTGTGTATTTTAAGCACGTGTCCTGTAATGTTTAAAAGCAAGGCCAGTAGCTGCTCTTTAATGTATTTAACCTCAAAAATAATGAAACTCTGATGCGTTTTCGGCTGGAAGTGGGATGAGCTCAGAATATTTCAGACCGCATTTACATCCAGACCCCATTTGTGAACAGTAATGCCTGCTATAATGTGTGCGAGACGTGTTCTTGATGGATGTGAGATTAATACGATTCATTTGAGCTTTATTTGCAAACTCATCCAGGAGGAGCACACAATTGAGCTAAAAACTAGCAGTGATGGACAGATGGGGAATCAAGACTTTAATTAAATCTGTAAACGAGGAAGATTTGGAGAAGTTTTATTTGCACAATTGATCAGTCACACGTGTGAAGCTGTCCTTTTTTGCCAAGACATTGGTTTTGAGAGCAGATAAACAAACAAGTGGATGATTAAATTCACTATTTTGCTTGGTAATTAGTAGTAAACAACAGGATAGAAGCTAATTTTGGGTTTGCTCACCCCATTGGCAGAGTATATAGCTTGTTTAAAGGGAAAACTCACTTAATTTTGGCTCATTATTTCTGAAGACAAGACAATATCTTCTACTTGTCTACAAAATGCTTCTTGATTTAGGAATTTTTAGATATTTGGACTAGAAATAAGACTAAAACTGTGGTGGTTAACTAGACATCATCGCTTTATCTCCCAGCCCCACACTTTTCTTGAACATGAGCTCATTTGGTTTGCTTTGGGAGAGTTTTAAAGGGCCCCTATTATGAAAAACAGGGTATCTGCGGGGTCCTAAAAAGCCTTTAAAGGTCTTAAATTTACTGAAATGTTGCCTTGTAGGTCTTAAATCATTTTAAACAGGTCTTAATTGTCGTGTGTCTATCGGGCTGACCAATCACCAATGAGATTTCTCAATAAAACTGTGATCATCTTCCTTATAATAACGTTTGTTTATGAGTTTTCCACAGACTGTTGTGCATAAATTGAGTTTATTATAATTGTTTTCACTATTATTTACTAGATTTTGACACATTTAAACTGTGTGCTTAAGAATGAACTCAATTAAAATAGTTTTGATGATCTAATTTTGGGTTTGGTTCCCCTTTGGCAGAGTATTTAGCTTGTTTAAAGGAAAAACTCATTTAATTCTGACTCATTATTTCTGAAAACAAGACAATATTTTCTGCTTGTCTACAAAATGCTTCTTGATTTAGGAATTTTTAGATATTTGGACTAGAAATAAGACTAAAACTGTGCTGGTTAACTAGACATCATCGCTTTATCTCCCAGCCCCACACTTTTCTTGAAAATGAGCTCATTTGGTTTGCTTTGGGAGAGTTTTAAAGGGTACCTATTATGAAAAACAGGTTTTCCGCTGGGTTTTAAAAAGTCTTAAATTTACTGAAATATTGTGTTGTAGGTCTTAAATCATTTTAAACAGGTCTTAATTGTCGCGTCTATCGGGCCGACCAATCACCAATGAGATTTCTCAATAAAACTGTGATCATCTTCCTTATAATAACGTTAGTTCATGAGTTTTCCACAGACTGTTGTGCATAAATTGAGTTTATTACAGTGTTTTTAAACTATTATTTACTAGATTTTGCTTGTTTTGACACATTTAAATTATGTGGTTAAAAAGTAACTCAATTAAAATAGTTTCGATGAGGCAAGTTAAAATCTTTTTCATTGGCCCAACCATGCCATTAGAAAAATCCTGAGCGTTTAGCCTTGTATAAGCTTCATAATGGTCTTAAAGTCTTAAATTTGACTTGCAGAAACCCTGGAGCACTCTGTGAAAATAACCAGCCTCTAATGGTCAACATTAATGAATTGTATTGTTTATATTCAGGCTTGATGAAAGCAGTCTGTAGAAACACTGATTGACATTCTCCCTTTGTATGATGTCATAAGGGGGTAAACCCCGCCCACTAATGACCATCTCTCCCTAATTAGCAGAGCACGTTAGTCTTGCTTTTGAATCTGCCATTATGCTGACTCTCAGGCATTTGTAGCTCCGCCCTCTTCTGAAAAGAGCAGTCTTATTTGCATTTAAAGCAACAGCCACCAAAACGCCACAATTAGGATCAAAGCCTACACGGGTCAGTTTCAGAGAGGTATTAAACATTATTCCTGTTCTATTTTGAGCTGAAACTTCACACACACACACACTACAGAGACATCAGAGAGTTGTTTTATATATTGTAGAAAGGGGTATAATAGGTCTACATTATGGTATAATAGCACTTTATTCTCAGTTTTGGTTGATGTTTTTTACTTCAGTTCAGCCCAATGCTGCGGTATTGATGGGAAACCCAATCCAGGCCTTTACTCCACCAGGAGCAGGAGCTCCAGCCTCTGGAAAATCACCGAGTCCCGTTCAGAGACTCGACCCTGGGGCCAGCATCCTTTACGTGCCTGCAGTCTATGGAGGAAATATGGTGATGCCCATGCCTCTTCCGGTACCACAATTGGTTAATTTTTTTACTTTTATGTATTATGTTTGTGTACGGTGTATATTTATTATGCATATATGATTGCACACATGCATGTATATATTTATTTATTTATTTTTTTTTTTATTTTACTTATTGTGTTTATTTTTTATTTTTTATTTAATTTGATTATTTATTTATTTTATTATCAGTTTATATATTTATTTTATTAATTCTTTATATATTCATTTGTATTATTTATATAATCGTATTTATTTATTATTATTTTGTAATTATTTTACTTTTATTGTAGTTTGTTATTTTTATTATTTATTAATTTATTTTTATTTGTGTTAACTTAATATTTATTTATTTATATTCTTTATTTAAAAATATGTTTTATATATATTTTAATATATTTAATACACTTTTAATTATTTATTATATAAATGCGTACATGCATGTATATATATTTATTTTTTATATTTTTCTTTTACTTGTTATTTATTTTTTATTTAGTTTTTTTATATTAATTTATTTTATTATTTATATATTTATATAATTGTATTTGTTTATTTTTTTATATTTTTTACTTTTATGAAATGCGCACGTAGTAATTATGCATATATAGATACATACATGCATGTATAAATTTTATTTTTATGATTAATTTAATTGTATTTATTATGTATATTTATTTAATGTATTATTTGTAATTTATTTTATTGTATTTATATTTTTTATTCTATTTATTTTGTATTTTTTAATTTTATGTAATGTGTGTGTACTGTGTATATTTATATTCACATGCATGTATATATTAATTATTTTTTATTATTTAATTTATTTATTTTTATTTAATTATTTTAGATTAGTTACTTTAGATTAGTTATTTTTGTTATTTATTTATTTTTATTATTAATTTAATTTATATTTATTTCTACTTATTTATTTTTATATGTATTTAGTTCGTTATTTTTATTTATGTATTTATTGTTATATATATATATATATTTTCATCATTTCATTCATTGTTATTTTCATCCATGTTGATCATGCCGTGAAATAGCCATAAGTTGCAGATGTGTCAATAAACAAACAAACAAACGTTACACCAGTATGACCCAACTCTCCTTTTTCCAGTTGCCCTGGGCCGGTTATCAGAGCCGTTTTCCGATGGATCCTCGCATTATGAGCCACCAGGCGGCCATGTACAACCTGAACCTGCGTCCTGCAGCCAGTCGCACCTCTCCAGTGCTGTACGGGTTCAGTCACGCGTCTCCTTTAGGCCTCAACCAGCAGCAAAATACAGAGAAAGAGCTGCTTCAGGAGCCCAGCGGGAACGGTAACACTTTAAACCAGCTCACTGCTGCAGTATTGTAGCTCAATTCATGCATGTTAGGCCCTGTTTGGTTTGTGAATAGTGTCAATATGACAGAATTTGCATTGTTAAGTGATCTATTCATTGCTAATTTGATGATTAATGCTAATATCTGAAGACAAGCACTGTTAATGAGAGCCAAACCCATAATATTTATTTTGAATGCTCAGTTTTGCAGCCATTGGTGATTCTCTGCATTGCATCTGATGTGTTTTGCTGGTATATTATCATTCTTTAGGGAAAATGGACATTAATGGGAAAGCTGAGCACTGTCGACTGCTGACGCCTGAGAGAAAAGCCCCTGAACTGAAGGAAAAACAGGTACAATTCATCTACATATACTTTAAAAATCTAAAACTAGTCGCACTTTACGATAAGGTTTCATTAGTTAATGTTAGTTCATTTATTTACTAACGTGAACTAATTATGGACGATGCTTGTTAATCTTAGTTGAACATTTACTAATGCATTATTGAGAGCCAAATTCAAGTTTGTTTACATCAGTGAGTTAACAAACTAACAATGAACAACTGTGTTCCCATTAAATAAGCTTAACTAACACGAACGAATCCTGTGAGAAATGTGTGGTTCTTTGTTTGTTCATGTTAGAAATAATTAGTTAAAATGAAGCGAGTTTTTCAATAAAACAAGCTAAATAATCATCATAATAATCAATAAACTTGCATTAAAGCTAAAACAGGTTTATTCTGCTTACCCCATTGGCAGATTATCAATCAATTAATCAGGCCTTTATTTGTCACGTACACTTCCGTATAGTAAAATTACGTAATACACTTCCGTATAGTAAAATTACGTAATACACTTCCGATAGTAAAATTACATAATACACTTCAGATAGGAAAATTACGTAATACACTTCCGATAGTAAAATTACATAATACACTTCAGATAGGAAAATTACGTAATACACTTCCGATAGTAAAATTACGTAATACACTTTCGTATAGTAAAATTACGTAATACACTTCCGTATTGTAAAATTACGTAATACACTTCCTTATAGTAAAATTACGTAAAACACTTCCGATAGTAAAATTACGTAATACACTTCCGTATAGTAAAATTACGTAATACACTTCCGTATTGTAAAATTACGTAATACACTTCCTTATAGTAAAATTACGTAAAACACTTCCGATAGTAAAATTACATAATACACTTCCGTATAGTATAATTACGTAATACACTTGCGTATAGTAAAATTACGTAATACACTTCCTTATAGTAAAGTTACGTAATACACTTCCTTATAGTAATATTACGTAATACTCTTCCGTATAGTAAAATTACGTAATACACTTCCGATAGTAAAATTACGTAATACACTTCCGATAATAAAATTACATAATACACTTCCGATAGTAAAATTACGTAATACACTTTCGTATAGTAAAATTACGTAATACACTTTCGTATAGTAAAATTACATAATACACTTCAGATAGGAAAATTACGTAATACACTTCCGATAGTAAAATTACATAATACACTTCAGATAGGAAAATTACGTAATACACTTCCGATAGTAAAATTACGTAATACACTTTCGTATAGTAAAATTACGTAATACACTTCCGTATTGTAAAATTACGTAATACACTTCCTTATAGTAAAATTACGTAAAACACTTCCGATAGTAAAATTACATAATACACTTCCGTATAGTAAAATTACGTAATACACTTCCGTATTGTAAAATTACGTAATACACTTCCTTATAGTAAAATTACGTAAAACACTTCCGATAGTAAAATTACATAATACACTTCCGTATAGTGTAATTACGTAATACACTTGCGTATAGTAAAATTACGTAATACACTTCCTTATAGTAAAGTTACGTAATACACTTCCTTATAGTAATATTACGTAATACTCTTCCGTATAGTAAAATTACGTAATACACTTCCGATAGTAAAATTACGTAATACACTTCCGATAATAAAATTACATAATACACTTCCGATAGTAAAATTACGTAATACACTTTCGTATAGTAAAATTACGTAATACACTTTCGTATAGTAAAATTACGTAATACACTTCCGATAGTAAAATTACGTAATACACTTCCGATAATAAAATTACATAATACACTTCCGATAGTAAAATTACGGGTATTTTTCATGCAATGTTTGATGCCGCACGGTTGTCGAGCGTCGCGTACACTGTTAATCCACACTTGACTCTGCGCTCTCACAGAGAGAAAATTAAAACGAAACTTAACTGCAGCAAACTATAAAAGCAACACTTCACGCTTGTTTTGCCAACACAACGTGGCGTCTCTGTCGTCTAAACACGGTGACAGTAATGAATATTAATGAAGTTGCACAATAGAGCGCGCTGATTGGTTTGAACCAAGCCTTACTCATGCATTAATGCAGCACACTGTAAGACGTAATAAGACACACTCTGACACAGACGCCCAGTCTGCACGCTGGAATACACGATATTATGTCATGGCCGTGATGCAGCTTCAAAAATTCGTTTCAAACCGGAAGTACGAATTTGCTTGAAATAGCGCAAAAACAACCAATTTACACTTTTTAGTGAAATATAGGTGTGCTAATAGTGTTTATAGCAGTGTGGGACACATTTACCACTGTCAACAGCTCAAACACATGTGTTCTGGTGTTTCGTGACCCTTTAATGCTTTTGCACCATGAGCTTCAGACTTTGCACCTAGATCTATCTAGTAAGGACTGTACCACCATCTCCTTATTTCCCAGGGGGATCCAGAAGCAGTCCAAAACAAAGTCCAAATCCCAGTTTTGCTTTCAGAAATGAGTCAAAATGAAGTGAACAGGACTAAATTATAGTTTCTGTCATCCATTTCATGTTCAAAAACTCCCCCCAATGTGGTAAAGACTGTACCATCTGCTTATTTCGCAGGGGGATCTAGAATCAGTCCAAAACAAGAGTCCGGAGCCCCAGTCCAACATGGGCTTCCCTGCGAACCGCCTCATACGCAAAGACCCCCAGAGAGCCCTTAATTTCCACATGGCACCCCCGCATCCCGCATTCCCCTCTCATCATGGGACCAGCCAGTTCCCGCAGCAGTACGGCCTGTCCCGACCCCCTCTCCGCATGCAGACGCCCATGCACCCTCAGGCCTCCTCCTTCCCTCCGTCGTTCTACAGCGGGCCGCCGATGGGACCCCGCGGGCTGCAGTCTCCGGTGCTGGAGGGCGGTGAGGACCCGATGGGGGCCGGGATGTCTGAGGATCTGAAGGGTGTGGTCCGGGGTCTGCCTGCACAGATGCACCAGCAGCCGCTCCGGCTCAACAGCTTCGGGGAAGAGAGCTTGGACTCGCTGTTGGGCGACACTTTAGGTTTGTGTGTGTATATAGATTCTTTCCTTAGTCCTTGATAACAATGAACGCTGAAAGTCATCCTAATTGGTGAACTTGGAGCGCAGTACGCCTCCTCCCGGGCTTCCTTTTAATTTTGTTAGGAAAAAATGTCATGTTTAAGGGATCGTTCACCCAAAAATGAAAAGTCTGATGGTGAACAGATCTTGTTGTCTTCTGTGTTGTTTTGTGTGTCAGATGGTCAGGCGTCGTCGGGAATGGATGCTCTTCAGCATCAGCAGCAGGCTCGTGTGGGTCAGTGGGGGGAACACACACCCTTCCTGCCGGCCGGTGTCGCCCCCTTCCCTCTGCCACAGCAGTTGGCTCATCTGGCACAACCTGGACTGCGCATCCCTCCGCAGATCCTGAGAGCCGGATGGGGCCTGGGGCCAGCAGCAGACGAGGAGCCCAGACCCACCATGCCCAGGTCTGAACATGTAGAGTCAAAGTCAAAATTATTTGCCCCCCTGTGAATTTTACCCTCCTATTGTATTGATATTAACAGTTCATTAGCACTTATAAGCCATGATCTTATTCTACATCCCTAATCCTTCCCAATACCTAAACCCAACTACTACATTAATAACCTTTAATAAGCAGCTAATTAGTTGCTTAAGCTAAAGGTCTGAGTTAATAGTTTGTTAATAGATGGAATTGTTCATTAATATAGTGACTGTAATATGTTTGGATGATAACTGCAATGAGCTACAGGGCCCCTAAAAGAAAATGATGTATTTAATGGGGATAAAGTACATCCCGTAGGTTGTTATTGCAGAATGAAGCCTGACAGGTTTATTGAACACCCGATGTGAAACAAGGAAATGTTATATAATTTATATAAGACCTCCTGGATGTACCAGATCCTGGTTATTACAATAGTTGATAAACGGCTCAGAACACGTTTGTGTCTAATTTTAATATTTTAAGGCAGGTAGCTCAGTAATAAGTGGGATAAAGTACATCTAGGAGGTTGTTTTCTCAATAAACCCTTCGGTCTTATACAACAGTGCTCCGTTTTGTGTCGGGCTGCTGATTTACCTGTCAGGATTTATTCTGTGATAACAACCTTCGATAAGACAAAACGTTAAATACTTTAATTAACTGCAAAGCTGACTGAAATGAAAACAGCTGATGGAGTATACACTAACCTGAGCATTATTCAGACACTAGATGGAGACAAACAGTCAAAAACACAACAGAAACTAAAACAGCTGATGGAGTATACACTAACCTGCGCATTAATCAGACACTAGATGGAGACAAACAGTCATAAACACAACAGAAACTAAAACAGCTGATGGAGTATACACTAACCTGCGCGTTATTCAGACACTAGATGGAGACAAACAGCCAAAAACACAACAGAAACTAAAACAGCTGATGGAGTATACACTAACCTGCGCATTATTCAGACACAAGATGGAGACAAACAGCCAAAAACGCAACAGAAACTAAAACAGCTGATGGAGTATACACTAACCTGCGCATTATTCAGACACTAGATGGAGACAAACAGTCAAAAACACAACAGTAACTAAAACAGCTGATGGAGTATACACTAACCTGCACATTATTCAGACACTAGATGGAGACAAACAGTCAAAAACACAACAGTAACTAAAACAGCTGATGGAGTATACACTAACCTGCGCATTATTCAGACACTAGATGGAGTCAAACAGTCAAAAACACAACAGAAACTAAAACAGCTGATAGAGTATACACTAACCTGCGCATTATTCAGACACAAGATGGAGACAAACAGCCAAAAACGCAACAGAAACTAAAACAGCTGATGGAGTATACACTAACCTGCGCATTATTCAACCACTAGATCGAGACAAACAGTCAAAAACACAACAGAAACTAAAACAGCTGATGGAGTATACACTAACCTGCACATTATTCAGACACTAGATGGAGACAAACAGCCAAAAACACAACAGAAACTAAAACAGCTGATGGAGTATACACTAACCTGCGCGTTATTCAGACACTAGATGGAGACAAACAGCCAAAAACACAACAGAAACTAAAACAGCTGATGGAGTATACACTAACCTGTGCATTATTCAGACACTAGATGGAGAGAAACAGTCAAAAACACAACAGAAACTAAAACAGCTGATGGAGTATACACTAACCTGCACATTATTCAGACACTAGATGGAGAGAAACAGTCAAAAACACAACAGAAACTAAAACAGCTGATGGAGTATACACTGACATGTGCATTATTCAGACACTAGATGGAGAGAAACAGACAAAAACACAACAGAAACTAAAACAGCTGATGGAGTATACACTAACCTGAGCATTATTCAGACACTAGATGGAGACAAACAGAAAAACACAACAGAAACTAAAACAGCTGATGGAGTATACACTAACCTGCGCATTATTCAGACACTAGATGGAGACAAACAGAAAAACACAACAGAAACTAAAACAGCTGATGGAGTATACACTAACCTGCACATTATTCAGACACTAGATGGAGACAAACAGTCAAAAACACAAAGCTGGCAGAAACTAAAACAGCTGATGGAGTATACACTAACCTGCAACAATTCTGTGATGATAACCTCCTGGATGTACTGTTGCACATGATGTAATGTTCTGCTCCTCCATCTGAATAACAGGTATCCGGGTCTGCTCCGTGAGATGCTCCCGCAGGATCAGCAGTATGAGCAGCGGGACCCTGCAGAAATGCCTCCTCCTCAGTCTCGTCTCCTTCAGTACCGTCAGCAGATCCAGCCCCGGAGCCCTGGAGACCTGCCGTCCCCCTCATCCTCAGCCCCAAACCACAACTTCCCGGCCCCAGCCCAGCCCTCGTACCCCGACACCAGCCGAGAGCCGCCTGTGGGCTTCAGTCAGGCCCCGTTCCCGCCGGATCACAGCGCGGGGCCACTTCCAGTCAAGTACCTGCTCCAGGAGGCCCACTGGCCCCATCCCGGACACATGCTGGGCCACGGGTTGCCCTTCGGCCTACAGGCGATGGCACAGCGGCAGGATCCAGGGCCGCTGCAGCACCAGCAGCAGAAACAGCAGCTCCAGGCCCCGCAGAGCTCCCTGCACAGCCTAGATGAGGTGAGCGCACCAGTGGTTTACTACGGTTTTACATTCACTTGTCCTGAATCGGTAAACCTGAAGTCACTACTTGAAGAGTAGAGAAAAAAAGGCAGAATGAGTGTGTGTGTGTGTTTGATTGCATTATTTCCTCTCTGTCTCTGTGTCAGTATGAACCACGTGGCCCGGGGCGGCCCCTCTACCAGCGCAGGATCTCCTCTAGCTCCCCTCAGCCGTATCCGGACAGCCTGGAGCCCCAGGACCAGCCGGTGCCCTCCTACAGATACCCCTCAGCAGACCTGTGGCTGGGTGGCCCCGGTCCTGTCCCGGGTCCCGCTCCCATTCACAACATTCCATGCAATGGAGCCAGTCACATCGGCCCCCACCGCGAGATTTTAGGTATGCCGCAGTCCTGTGAGCATTAATTCCGCACATTTGCACATTGTAACGTACTCTATTGTTCCTCAGTTTCAAAGGCGATGAGTGAAGAACAGATGAAGGCCGAGTGTCTCCAGCCTCCTCCTCCGCCGCCTCCTCATCCGGCCAGTGCAGCGTCTCTCCAGCATCACGGACAGTTCCCACCTCTTCTGCCCAGCAAGCAGACGCCGCCAGACCCCGGTGGAGGAGGAAACACCAGCCCTGCGGGACACCCCAAACCCCCCACCATGTCCTACGCCAGTGCCCTGCGCGCGCCGCCCAAACCACGGCCGATGCTGCCCGAGCAGAGCAAGAAGAACAGCGACCCCATCTCGCTCTTACAGGAGCTTAGCATAGGCAGTTCAAACAGTAGCAATGGCTATTACACCTATTTTAAATAAGTCCATATCTATATGAACTATATACACCCGTTTAAAAACGAATAGGATATTCATTTTAAAAAAACAAACACAAAAAAATGTTGGAGAAAAAAAAATAGAATATCGATTTTTAAAAAAGAAAACTGTTGGAAAAAAATATATATAATAAAATTTGAAGAAAAAAAAACTTTTTTTTTTTTTTTAATAAAATAAAAAAACTAAATTTGAATAAAATGGTGAAAAAAATGTTGGGAATAAAAATCGAATAAAATTTGTAAAAAAAAAAGAAGAAAAAAAGTTTTAAAAATTTGAAGAAAAAAAACGAAAAAATAAAATAACGATTTGAAAAAGAAACCGTTGAAAAAAATTTGAATAATTTTGGAAAAAAAAAACGTTGGAAAAAATTTTTTTAATAACAATTTGAAAAATAAAAAACGGAAAAAAAAATTGAATAAAATTTGAAATAAAACGTTGAAAAAAAATAATATTAATTTGAAATAAAAATGTTGGAAAAATTTAGAAAAAAAAACAACGTTGAAAAAATAGAATAAAAATTAAAAAAACTGAAAAAAATTAAATAAAATAAAAAAATGAAAAAAATAGAATAAGGATTTAAAAAAACGTTACAAAAAACGTCTTTTGATTTTGTGGAATAGTTAGACTTTTTTGCGTTTTATTATTTTTTACTTGCTTTAGTACTCTAGTTGGTTCTTTTACAGTTTGGCATCTGTGATTTTACAAAAAAACGAATCAGCATATAAATATATATATATAAATAAATGAATAAATATATATCATGAGACACCAAAACATTTGGGGGAAAACAAACACACACGCACACACACACACACACACACATTTATGAAATAAAGAAAAAAAAAAAAGATTTTTTTAAAAACACCACCATGATTGGGTTGACCACTCAGCTGCCTGTCTGTTTTGTAATTATTATTAATATTATTATTAAATGTCCCGCTCTTTTTGCATCCACGATTCAGAAGTTAGAAAATAAACTCGTTGAAGTGATTTTTTTTTTTTCCTTTCCCAGCTGGCATTTTTTAATGATGTTCAGTTTCTTGGTGTGTTTTTTTCTCGTGCTCGCAGCTGAGTGGTCAGTCGACTTGGATTAAAAAACTAAAAATATTATAAAAAGTTGTATAGCTGTAGACAAGACTTTTCTCAAACTTGTACATATGAATAAATGAATACATGAGATGACCGTTTGTGTGCTGCCTTCTTTTACTGATACATCCACATTCATTCATTCACTTTCAACTTTTATTGTCATGCTTAGTGTTTGGCCGGTGGCGTGCAGGAATTACTAAGCCACATTAGATGCTGTTTCAAAGTGAATATTCCGAGTAGCGGTGAACAATATAGGGAGCGTCACAGGCCGTCGTTGTTCAGAATTGACCCAATGTGAATATAACACCTTCAGCAAGTAAAGCAGGCTAGGCCGAATAGCACTATTTACTGATGTTTTGTTGTTAAATTAAATATAAATCTACATTATTGATGCTGTATAAAGGCCCTTATAAATCTGAAAAAAGTCACATCAATCTTTCACCAGGAGATTTCAGTTGCTGAACAACACTTCTGTGCATGTAAAGGCAGGGCCAGCGCGTTTATAGAGGCGACCTAGGCAGCTGCCTAGGGCGGCAGAATAGAGAGGGCGGCGGAGACACTACCCCAGACACCACCCTCACCTCTCGCGCCCTCAGTTATATCCGCGACTAATATAGTGGGTGGTGTCCGCGACACTACTCTAACCACCCGCGCCCTCAGTTCGCATCTAGGGCGGCAGGATAGAGAGAGCGGCGTCCGCGACACTATCCTCACCACCTGCGCCCTCAGTTAAATCCGCGATTAATCAAGAGGGCGGTGTCAGCGACACTACCCTCACCACCCGCTCCCTTAGTTATATCCGCGTCTAGGGCGATAGAATGGGCGGAGTGACCGTCTTTTGCCTAATAAGGAAGTTCAGCTTGCACCGGCCCTGTATACAGGGTTTCTACAGGTTACATCAAATCAAATTTAAGACCTTTTTAAGACCTTATCAAGACCATAATGAATGAAATTTCAGATGTTCAAAATAATTGGAATGTTCAAAATAAAACTGTAAAAAGCACAATAAATAAATGACTCGCCTCAGTTCCTTCCAGAGTTTCCCGCCACAGGAAGTGACATCACTTGTGGAGCAGTAAGTTGCATGCTTTTTCTATCAGTGCTTTACAGATTGCTCTGCCTTTGATAACAGAGTTGAGCAGAACGTTGACACACACACAATGTGTTTTTTTATAATTAAAGTTAATAAACAGATTTTCTGTATTGTCTGTAGAGTAAGTGCACAAAAAGATGAAACATTTGACAATTTATAATAATTGAAGCTGAATGTAAGAATTAATCCTGGGTCTCAAAACACCACAAACCTTGGGTTACCGTTCATAATGATGAAAACTAGGCAATTCCCTGCTGAAGCTTAAACCAAGCTTGTCAGCAGGTTTTAGCTGGTTAACCAGGCTGGTTTTAGAGGGGTTTTGGCCATTTCCAGGCTGGTTTCCAGCCCTTTGCTGGTCAAGATTGAAAATAAAAAACAAGCATGACCAGCCTGGTTTAAGCTGGACTCCCAGCCTGACCAGCTAAAACCAAGATTGGAAATGGCCAAAATCCTTGTAATCCAGGCTGGTCGACCAGCAAAAACCAGCCAACCAGTCTAGGCTGGTTTAAGCTTTTTTTTCAGTAAGGTTTTAATAAAATAACAACTTAATCCTCATAAAAAGTTGTTATCATGTGTTTTCATGCACTGATGTTCAATACATAAACCCTAGAAAAATGTCCTGATACATTTGAGGTGTCATGTTTGGATGGAGATACAGAAGAAATGCTCAAATATCTAAAAACTTCTTAAATCAATTAAGTATTTTCTGAGAGTATTGAGATGACACTTTTGCTTGACTAGAAAATGCTTCTTCATTTAAGAATTTTTAGATGTTCGGATTAGAAATAAGGGAAAAACTGAGCTATAAAATCATTGCAGTGTACCTAACGTTACGAACATCAGTCGGCCATTTTGGAGCAGAATGTAAACAAATGTTGCGTCCTGAGCGGAACGACACTGGTAATTTACCTGATTATTAATTTTGTAAATTGTCGATTATTCTCATGTTTGGGGCCATAGTAATCGGTCGGACACACACACACAAAAAAAAAAAAAACAGAACTAACGTTACTGCCGAAAATTATGAGGCAGAAGGGAAAGCTGTACTGAATGTATGAAGAAATTAATATCTGGAAATGTTTTCTTACAGCAGTTTGATTCCATCAGTTAGCTATGAATAATCTCGTCCCTGTACTTGATATTATGGGATGCAAATTTTCAGCTTCCTCCCTGCTGAAAAATCCAGCTTAAACCAGCCTAGGCTGGTTTTAGCTGGTTGAGACCAGCCTGGTTCTAGAGGGGTTTTGGCCATTTCCAGGCTGGTTTCAAGCCATTTCCAGCCTGGTCTTAGCTGGTAAGGCTGGAAAATGACCAGCTAAAACCAGCTTGACCAGCCTGGTTTAAGCTGGACATAGCTGGTTTTGGTTGGGCTCCCAGTCTGGCTAGGCTGGTCCAGCTGGTTTTAGCTGGTCATCTCCCAGCCTGACCACCTAAGACCAGGCTGGAAATGGCTGGAAACCAGCCTGGAAATAGCCAAAAACCCATCTAAAAACAGCCTGGCTGGTTTTTTCAGTAGGGATAGACACACAAAAAGCGTTTATAGACACAAATAACGTTTAACTGTGTACACACATATATTATGCATGCACACAGTAGTCCATATTCTCAGTGTTTTCCCGGTATTTCCATTGGCTTTCATTGTGCACTCACGCGTTTATCCACAAACATGGCCCACCGTGACGTCGATTCCCGAACTCTCCAACCATTTTTTCTTGGCGTAAACGAGAAAACACTCTTTGATAACGAAACCTTTTGCAGATATACATATTTAAAATACCTTTTTCTCCTGGAATCTGAGACACATTTCATATACAAATGAAAAATCATAATAAATAACGCTCATGCAAGCAGGGAATCAAGGTTTGGTATGTGTCTTAATACAAGCTATTGAATTAGAAAAAAGGACAAAACCACAAATATATATGTCATTATTTAAACAGTCTTTCTTGAGGCTTATCGCTGAAATCGTCTCACTTAAACACTGTAAATTCACCTTAAAAGTGGTAGATTCTCCCTAAAGTTTACTTAAAAGTCACCATGAAATATGTATTCCCTGCTGAAAAATCCAGCTTAAACCAGCTTAGGCTGGTTTTGGCTGGTCAACCAGGCTGGTTTTAGAGGGGTTTTGGCCACTTCCAGGCTGGTTTCCAGCCATTTCGAGCCTGGTCTTAGCTGTTTGGGCTGGGAGATGACCAGCTAAAACCAGCTTGACCAGCCTAGCAGGCTGGGAGCCCAGCCAAAACCAGCTATGTGCAGCTTAAACCAGGCTGGTCAAGCTGGTTTTAGCTGGATTTAGCTGGTCATTTTCCAGCGTGACCAGCTAAGACCAGGCTGGAAATGGCTGGAAACCAGCCTGGAAGTGGCCAAAACCCCTCTAAAACCAGCCTGGTCGACCAGCTAAAACCAGACAACCAGCCTAGGCTGGTTTAAGCTGGATTTTTTAGCAGGGTTAGGATTATAGGATATCTCACAGTTCCAATAATTGTTTCCCCAATATTTTTGTTTATTCCTAACAACCTTGCTTTGAGTTAACCTTGTGATTTTAACGTGCTTGCAAAAAATGAAAATGCATCATTTTGAATTGCAATTACATAAGAATTATCAAAAAACTGCATCGTTTATTGTTGCCGAAACAAGCTTGTTTAAAACAACCTCCATTTCATGCCGACTTTAAAGGGTGAAGTTATACAGCAAATATCCATCGCTCATCAAGAATACTTTTACATTCCTTTATCTTCACATTGGTACTGTTAGGGTAGAAATAACTGTACACAATAGACTGTACACACTATAAACAAGTCCCTAAATATACATTCTAAGCTGTCATCTATTGCATATAAGCATGAACACACATAAACATGTTTACTCAATACTATAAAATATACAAAAAGTCATATTAAATAATTCATACAGACATTTAAAGAGTAGTTTAGCCAGAAATTAAATTTACTCACAATCCTCAATCCTTCTGTCACATGAACATGGTAGTCTTAATTTTATCTTGGCTCTTTTATACAGTATAATATAATGGTGTTGAATGGTGACGGTTATTTTGAAGCTTTCAAAATCTCCTTAACAAGCTAAAACGCTTTTCCTTCTTCAGTTTTAGTCTTGTTTTTTGTCCAAATATCTAAAAATTCCATAATCAAGATGCATTTTCTAGACAAGCAAAAATAATGTCTTGTTTTCAAAAATAATCAAGAGTCAAAATGAAGTATTTCCTTAAAACAAGCAAAATATTGTTGTTTGCCTTGTAGGATTTTGCTTACTCTATTTTGCTTGTTTTAAGGAAAAAGTCACTTAATTTTGACTAATTTCTGAAAGCAAGACAATATTTTTTGCTTGTCTGGAAAATGCATGTTGATTTAGGAATTTTTAGATATTTAAAATAGAAACGAGACAGAAACTTGCATACACCACCAGGGGGTTAGCGCACGTCTTCTCAGAATTTCCTTAAAAAAAAAACACACATAAAAATGCATTTAAAATTGATGTCAATGTTGCTGTCCTGTAATCGATTTTTGACTTGTTTCTTGACGTCAATGTTAGATGTCAATTTAATGTCGTTTTGACATCATGCTAGTTTACAATAATTGTAGAGATACAAAATACACTACAAATTTGCATTTTGAAATTGAAGCTGTCATATAAATATAACGTTTTTTTTTATCATAAAAATTTTGTGTCGTTATTTTGGTGGCCGAAAAAACATCAGTGTGTGGATGTCAAAATAGACGTCGAGATTTCAACATCAAAGCGATTTGTATTTTTGAAGTGTTTCAAAGCAAAACAAGATTATTTCACTTACGAATGAACAGATAGCTAATAATAAAACACCTAATTATATCAGGTGACTACCTTAGAGTGTTATGTAATCGATTTTTTTGTTTATTAATGTCAATTTAACATCAAGCTAGTTCACATTAATCATAAGGATAGAAAATCCAGTGCAAATTTGGAATTAAACCTTTCATATAAATACAATTTTTAAATATTTTACAATACATAGTGTCCTTATTTTGGTGGTCAAAAGAGCATCAATGTGTGGATGTCAAATAGACATCAAGATTTCATCAGCCTGAAATTGATTTACATTTTTGATGTGTTTTTTGTTTTTTATTTTAAAGCAACAACTAGAGTATTTCAAGCAAATAGCTCAAAATGACGTCAACAACACGTAAAAATGTCAACTGACTATCTTTGAATGTCTTGTATTCAACTTTTTATGTCAATTTAACGTCGTTTTAACATCAAGCTAGTTCACATTAATTGTAGGCATAGAAAATCCAGTGCAAATTTGGAATTGAAGCTTTCATATGAATACAACTTTTTAATACTATAATACTTTATACATTTTGTATTGTCATTTTGATGGTCAAAAAAGTGTCAATGTGTGGATGTCAAATAGACGTTAAGATTTCATCAGCATCAAATCGATTTGCATTTTTGACATGTTTTTTTTAATTTCCAAGTAAAAACAAGATTATTTTACTTACAAATGTACAAGTAGCTCAAAATGATGTCAAAAACACGTAAACATGTCAGGAGACTACCTTGGAATGACCTGTAATTGATTTTTGATGTCAGTTTAACGTCATTTTAACATCAAGCTAGTTGACGTTAATTGTAGGGACAGAAAATCCAGTTCAAATTTGGAATTGTAGCTTTCATATGAAAAAAATATTTTTAATATTATAATACTTTAATTTTGTGTTGTTATTTTGATGATTAAAAAAGCATCAATGTTTGGATGTGTAATAGACGTCAATATTTCGACATTAAATCGATTTGCAATTAAATTTTATTTGCTTGTAAAGCAAAAAAAAGATTTACTTACAAATAACTCAAAATAATGCCTTAAACATGCATTTTTGATTTGTTTTTTTTTCAAAGCAAAAACAAGTTTATTTTACTCACAAATTAACAAGCACCTCAAAATGACGTCAAAACCATGTAAAATGTCAGGAGACTACCTTGGAATGACCTGTAATCAGGTAAACCTGTGTCAGTTGACTACCTTGGAATGTTTTGCAATCAATTTTTGATTGTTTATTAATGTCAATTTAACGTCGTTTTAACCTCAAGCTTGTTCACAATAATCGTACAGATACAAAGTCCAATGTTAATTTGGATTTAAAGCTTTCATATGAATGAAACTTTTTAAATATTATAATACTTTTTTACTTTTGTATAGTTATTTTGATGGTCAAAAAAGCATCAATGTGTGGATGTCTAATAGACGTCAAGATTTTAACATCAAAACGATTTGTATATGTTTTTTGATTTCAAAGCAAAAACAGGATTACTTTACTTACAAATGAACAAGTAGCTCAAAATGACTTCAAAAACACGTAAACATGTCAGGAGACTACATTGGAATGACCTGTAATCGATTTTTGATGTCAGTTTAATGTCATTTTAACATCAAGCTAGTTCACATAATTGCACGGATAGAAAATCCAGTTCAAATTTGGAATTGCAGCTTTCATACGAGTAAAACTTTTTTAATACTATAATACTTTTTTATGTTTGTGTCGTTATTTTGATGGTTCAAAAAAATGTCAATGTGTGGATGTCTAATAGACGTCAAGATTTCATCAATATCAAATCGATGTGCATTTTTGACGTGTTTTTTGATATTAAAGCAAAACAAGATTAGTTTACTTACAAATAACTCAAAATTACAGTAAAAGATGTTAAAAAATAAATGTCAGGTGACTACCTGGGAATAAATATAGCTAAATACGTAAACGATTTTTGACGTGCTTATTAACGTCAATTTACCGTCATTTTGACATCAAGCTAGTTTACATGAATAAATCCCTACATTAATCGAAAGGAGACAAAATTCAGTGCAAATTTCGAATTGAAGCTAATTGTACTTATTTAGTCATATTTATTTAATCATATTACATACTGTAATACTTTTTGTGTCATTATTATGATGGTCAAAAGAGCATCAATATGTGGATGTCTAATAGACGTCAAGATTTCATCAACAACAAATCGATCAGCATTTTTGACTTGTTTTTTTTTTTGTTTCAAAGCAAAAACAAGATTATTTTACTCACAAATGAACAAGTAGCTCAAAATGACGTCAAAACCATGTAAAAATGTCAGAAGACTACCTTGGAATGTTTTGCAATCGATTTTTGATTGTTTATTAATGTCAATTTAACGTCGTTTTAACATCAAGCTTGTTCACAATAATCATACAGATACAAAGTCCAATGTTAATTTGGATTTAAAGCTTTCATATGAATGAAACTTTTTTATATTATATTACTTTTTTACTTTTGTATAGTTATTTTGAAGGTCAAAAAAGCGTCAATGTGTGGATGTCTAATAGACGTCAAGATTTTAACATCAAAACGATTTGTATATATTTTTTGATTTCAAAGCAAAAACAAGATTATTTTACTTACAAATGAACAAGTAGCTCAAAATGACGTCAAAAACACGTAAACATGTCAGGAGACTACCTTGGAATGACCTGTAATCAATTTTTGATGTCAGTTTAATGTCATTTTAACATCAAGCTAGTTCACATAATTGCACGGATAGAAAATCCAGTTCAAATTCGGAATTGCAGCTTTCATACGAGTAAAACTTTTTTAATACTATAATACTTTTTTATGTTTGTGTTGTTATTTTGATGGTTAAAAAAAATGTCAATGTGTGGATGTCTAATAGACGTCAAGATTTCATCAATATCAAATCGATGTGCGTTTTTGACGTGTTTTTTGATATTAAAGCAAAACAAGATTAGTTTACTTACAAATAACTCAAAATGACATTAAAAGATGTAAAAAATAAATGTCAGGTGACTACCTGGGAATAAATATAGCTAAATACGTAAACGATTTTTGACGTGCTTATTAACATCAATTTACCGTCATTTTGAGATCAAGCTAGTTTACATGAATAAATCCCTACATTAATCGAAAGGAGACAAAATTCAGAGCAAATTTCGAATTGAAGCTAATTGTACTTATTTAGTCATATTTATTTATTCATATTACATAATGTAATACTTTTTGTGTCATTATTATGATAGTCAAAAGAGCATCAATATGTGGATGTCTAATAGACGTCAAGATTTCATCAACAACAAATCGATCAGCATTTTTGACGTGTGTCTTTTTCCACACCCTGTTAGCAGATTATTTAACTTGTTTTAAAAGAAAACTCGCTTAATTTCGACTCAATATTTTTGAAAACAAGACAACATCTTTGTGCGTGTCTAGAAAATGCTTCTTGATTTAAGACTTTGGACAAGAAACGAGACAAAACCTCTAAGTAATAACAGCATATTTTGCCCATATGTTTGTGTCTGTTCCTCTGGTCGAGATGTCCCGCTAGTCTATGGGCTCGGGCTCGGCGTCCATGCAGGTCTCCCAGGGGTTTCTGGGCATGTGTGGCATGGAGATGATGAGTAGAGTGATGCCGCTGAGAAAAAGGAGGGTGAAGGCGGCGCAGGCACAGGCGAAGGACCAGGAATAGTAGTACTCGATCCATATGGTCTCGTCGCTGTCGATCATGCGTTTGACCGACTGCCTCATGACCTCCACCGAGATGACGATACACAGACCTGTGAGGGCAAAGAAGAAGGTCACACACAACGACATATAGATGATGGTGGCTTTGTGGTTGGTGTCTTGTGTTATTGATTGATTGAATGACCTTCACAATGTCTTTCAGTGTGTTTGAATGCAGCTTTTGACCTGCAGTTCAACCCTCGTATTGACTTACGGGTCAGAAAAATGACCCGTGCACCGTTTTAAAGTACAAATGAAATCAAAACTAGCCATATTGATTTTGTTAGCTCACATTGCTAGTTTTGTGTTGAACAACTCACCTGTGCAGGTCATTACGAACAAAAACATTGTCCTATCTGCTATTGCACTTTCTGTTTGCTTTCAGTTAAATCCTCAGATTAGGTCTGTCTGAGGTATGGGGCGGGGCTAACATACCTAACCACGCCCCCTCCAGCTGTCAGATTTGACAAGAAACAGAAATGGTGAGGAGGAGCAGTCTGTTAGGTTGTGATAACCAACCCGGGCTCGTTCTAAAAACGTACTCCCGCTGACGTTTCTGGAGACCGCGAAATACGGGAGGTACGTATTTTTGCAGTTTGCGCCCGCGTCGTTCTCGCGTAAACCCACTAGAGGCCGCTGTCGGACGACCGTCCGTCTGACTGAGTGAATGATTGACTAGGCGACCAGCCAATCGACTGACCCACTCTCCTCCTCCTTCCCTAAACCCAACCAATTTTATTGGCCCACCCTCCCACTTACTTCCCTAAACCCAACAGACGATTTTTACAAAAGCCGTCCAGAAAAAGAAAAGCCCTTGCTTGATTTTAACCACGTTTTCGGATTTTTACCGAATTCTCCCCCTGTTATTCACTCGTTCGTTTTATTTTTTGGATTCTGTTTTTGTCTTATTTCTGGAACTGCTCGAATCCGTTCGTCGTCGTCAACTTCTCTCTACGTCTACAACTCCGCCGACGTAGCTAACTGGACAAACTGGTTGCGGCGGGAAAGCCCTCCACAGGGAGGTAAGCAGCCAACCGGCAAGCGCCGAAAGGACCGGCATCATACCACCCCCCAGCGTTCGCTTAAATAAATGAAATGCAGCCATACGTACCTCCGCCTACATACTTCGCGGCCTCCAGAAACGTCCGCAGGACTATGTTTTCAGAATGAGCCTGGGTTAGTAATAACTCTCCTTAATGAACCTGAATAAATGAACTGCCTACTTTACTACATCCAATCAGCTTGCAGTAGAAAAAACAAGCCACGCCCACTGTTATATCATTTGATATTCCATTTCTCTAGGAACTGCATCACAATACAAAAAAAAAAAAACTGTCGCAGCTTCCAATTCATGCGGACTTTAACATTGTGCTTACCTGCAAAAGCGAAGAACATGCCGGCGGGTCTCAGCAGGTAATCTCTGCCCTTCCCAAACGCGCCCAGCAGGCAGAGGCTGCCCAGAGTCATGAAGGCCAGGCTGAAGATGGCGATGGCAGCAGCTGAGATGTTGTACTCTGACAGAAGAAAATCAGCATTATTATCAGAGTCCGATTTGCATGGGGAGGGATTAACGCTGCTAATTAGACCCTTTTCACATTTGCTCGTTCCTCAGCAGCAGAACTCATCACAGTTGGCAGGGTTTAACACTAAGGATTTTTTCTCCTGGGCTGATCGGGCCAGTGGTTGAGATTTTTACTTGCCCTGCCAAAGTTTTCCCCCACCCCAAAAAAAAATAACGTGGTCATCGTTACTGGCAAATAGCAATTCTGTCTGTCTACTGTCCCGAGTGTCTTTCACGCTGGCCACAGGCAAACCAGACTCCTTCTCTGTTCATAGAGGGACGAGACCCTTAACAGAGCATCTCTGACCGCATACTCCCAGAGCACCCTCCACCGAATGCCACGAGGCACACGGTCGAATGCCTTCTCCAAGCCCACAACACACATGAGGACTGGTTGGGCATACTCTCATAAACCCTCGAGCACCCTAGTGAGGGTGTAGAGCTGGTACAGTGTACCACGGCCCGGATGAAAACCGCATTGTTCCTGATGGATCCCAGGTTCAACCCTTGGCCGGATCCTTATCTCCAGTACCCTGGCATAGACTTCCCCCCCCCTACTGAAAAAAACAGCTTAAACCAGCCTAGGCTGGTTGGCTGGTTTTAGCTGGTCGACCAGGCTGGTTTTAGAGGGGTTTTGGCCACTTCCAGGCTGGTTTCCAGCCATTTCCAGCCTGGTCTTAGCTGGTCAGGCTGGGAGATGACCAGCTAAAATCAGCTTGACCAGCCTAGCCAGGCTGAGAGCCCAGCCAAAACCAGCTATGTCCAGCTTAAACCAGGCTGGTCAAGCTGGTTTTAGCTGGATTAAGCTGGTCATTTTTCAGCCTGACCAGCTAAGACCAGGCTGTAAATGGCTGAAAACCAGCCTGGAAATGGCCAACACCCCTCTAAAACCAGGCTGGTCAACCAACTAAAACCAGCCAACCAGCCTAGGCTGGTTTAAGCTGGATTTTTCAGCAGGGCCAGCATAGACTTTTAATTTATTATAATAAAATTTAATATATTTTGCTTTATTTTACAGGGAAAAAAAGCTTCATTTTGGACGTGATTCCTCTCCGTCTAATACTTGTTGGCAGCTACATTTTAGAAGTTGCAGTTTTACATGTTAATAGATATCAAATGAGCCACAGAACATTTTCAACACTTGATGGTTAGTTTTTGAAAGCTTTATCGGGTTTATATTTCTTTATAACGTTAAAATTTCATTCTACATGAGTATCAATATTATAAAGCCTCTCACATATTCTCCGGCGGGCTCTTTTCTCAATTTAGGAATGACTTCATCCCCCTTGCTAATTCCGATTATCTGGCTAATCAGTCTGACCTCCAGACTAATGTTGCGTTTAACGTGTCATTAATTAGTAATACAGACAGATCAATAGTGTGAATGACTATTGACATTTTAGGATGTGGCCGAGGAAGCGTGCGGCAGTGGAGCGTTGGTGCTCTGCTTTCACGACTCGTTGCCTTCGGCACTTTATCAAATCCAGATAAGGCTTTATTCCTCTTTAACTCAATGGCCGAGCTCGAGCGTGAAATAGCCAAGATGTGCTTTGCTCAAGTAGGCAGAAAATATAACGCCAGTGGCCATATTTGCTTGCCAGATTGCACATTGGGATTTTTTTGGGGGGGGATCATGGTCTCTAGCGACTAGGGTTTTTGTTTTAAAGGTACGTTTTTGACTGTAATAAAGCATAAAAATACCATGATGTGTTTTCAGATATTTCAGAAACATGCTAAGTGAGCATATTCATCTGAAAAACAATGATGAAGTCAGATATTCTGCTGTCTTTTGTTTTGATCTGTAACACCGCCCACTGTCAGTTTAATAAACAATAAGAAAAAATAAATAAATCAATTAAATTACATCAATGATTTAAAAAACCTAGCAAAATAAATGATATAATATTTTGGCTGTGGAGGAAACCGGAGCACCCGGAGGAAACCCATGTCAACACGGGGAGAACATGCAAACTCCACACAGAAACACCAACTGACCTAGCTGGGACACGAACCAGCGATCTTCTTGCTGTGAGGCCACAGTGCTAACCACTGAGTCTAAAAAAAGTTTAATTAAATGAATAATTAAAAAAAATAATAAATAAATAATGTAAAATATTTATTGTTAAATAAATTAATAAATGAATGACCAAATAAATAATAATAAAAAATAAACAAGAGATAATGATAAAAAATTAGACAAATGAAATCAATAGTTTATAAAACAATAAAATAATTAATAAGCAAATAAATAATAGTAATTAACAATAGGGAAAAATAAATTAAATCAATAATTAAAACAACATTATAAATATAATCATGAATATAATACTTAACAAAAATAAGAAAATATATAATAGTAATGAAAAATAAACCATAAAAAACTTAATTAAATTAATAATTTAAAAACAATAAAATAAATATTTAAATATTTCATATGAAATCAATAGTTAAATAAGCAAATAAATAATAGTAAAAAAAAAAACAAGAAGACAAACTTAGGAAAAGACAACATAATAAAATAAATAATATAATATTTATTATATTAATATGATATTTATTTTAAGATAAATAAGCAAATAAATAATGGTAACAAATATAATCAATAAAAGTGAATTATATCAATAACAAAAACGTAAAATAAATAATATACTTAGTATAATAATATTTAATATAAAGCAAATGAATAAACGAATAAGCAAATAAATAGTAGAAATAATTTTTGAACAATAATAAATTTAATTAATCATTTAAAAAAACGACATAAATATATTCATATTTAATATAAGAATATTTAACATAAAGTAAATGAATAAATTAAAAGCCAATAAATAAAAGTCATAAAATATAAACAATAAAAATGTAATTAATAATAAACAAACTATAAAATAAATAATACATTTAATGTAATAAGATAATATTTCATATAAAATCAATTAATAATCAAAATAATAATAATAAAAAAAATTAACAATAAGAAAAAGTAATATAAATCAATAATTAAAACAACACTACAAAATAAAAAAATATTATTAACATTAATATGATAGAAAATAATAGTAATAAAAATAAGCAATAAGAAAAAACTAAATTAATTCAATAATTATAACAACATTATAAAATAAATAATATATTTAACATAAATAAGCAAACAAATAATAGCAATAAAAATAAACAATAAAAAAGGTAAGAAAGACAACATAACAATATACATAATATAATATTTAATGTAATAATATGAAATTTATTTTAAGATAAATAAATGAAAAAGCAAATAAATAATAGTAATAAAAATAAACAATAAAAAGTCAATTAAAATAATAATAATAAAAACAAAAAATATTTAATATAAAGAAAAATGAATAAATGGGCATCACGTTGGCGCAGTGGGTAGCACGATCGCCTCAGAAAGAAGGTCGCTGGTTCGAGCGTCGGCTGGACCAGTTGGTGTTTCTGTGTGGAGTTTTCATGTTCTCCTCGTGTTCGCGTGGGTTTCCTCCGGGTGCTCCGGTTTCCCCCACAGTCCAAACACATGCACTATAGGGGGATTGATGAGCTAAATTGGACATGGTGAGTGCGTATATGTGAATCAGTGTGTATGGGTGTTTCCCAGTGATGGGTTGTGGCTGGAAAGGCATCCGCTGTGTAAAACATATAATAGTTGTTGGTTCATTCCGCTGTGGCGATCCCTGATAAATAAGGGACTAAGCTGAAGGAAATTAAAGTAAAATAAAAGAATATATGAATATATAATAGCTCAGTTTTAAGGATCAAGATCGTTAGCCAGCAGACTATTAGTCCATTAGTTCTTCAGAAAAAGGTCTGTCTGCTTGGTTAAGTGTAAAGCTTTGCTCTGTCCTCATGTGTTTTCAGAGCGGGGGGAACTTACCTTTCTGAGTCTTGACTTCAAAAACTTCCGCCTCTTCCCCTGATGTGAAGTGCTTGAAGTAGGAGCAGTTCTTGACTGCAAAACAAGATGAAAACAGAGACTGTAGCTGCAGGTGTCCTTACCATGCACACAAACTGCCAATGAGTGAGTGTGTGTCCGAGTGTGCAATAGTTTAATAACTCATCTCTAATAACTGATTTCTATTACCTTTGCCATGATGACAGCACATAATATTAGACTAGATATTTACTAGTATTCAGCTTAAAGTGACATTTAAAGGGTAATTAGGCTATTAATAATAATAATTTTGTCCTTAAAATGACTTTAAAACAATTAAAAACTGCTTTTATTCTAGCCGAAATAAAACAAATAAGACATTCCCTAGAGGAAAAAATATTATAGGAAATACTGTGAACATTTTTGTACATGTTTGTGATCCAAACGTTGGAAAATTACATATGCAAGCAGCCATTTCTGCAATATTTCTAAATAAAAGTTGCATATATGACATGTTGCATCTCCTTGATGGGGTTTGCCTATATTTAAATGTGTCAGATGTCTATATGGGCATGTGTAGATCATGTATTTACAATGTGCATTTCAAAATATATATATTATTAATTTTTAATATGGAAAATAATTAATTGAAAATGCATTTTTTGCCATATCACCCAGCCAAATCATTGGGTTAAATTTAATTACAAAAAAAATAATCAGCAGTTGGTTTAGTCTGTGTTACTCCCTGAATTTGGTTGAAGTAACCCAGCATTTGTAGAGTGTATGTATTTGGAGTTCACATAATCAGAATAATTGTAATTATTTGATATTTTTCCCCAATTTCAGATTTTTATTCAGCACATTTCTAATCATAACAGTTTTAATAACTCATTTCTAATAACTGATTTATTTTATCTTTGTCATGATGACAGTAAATAATATTAGACTAGATATTTACTAGTAATCAGCTTAAAGTGACATTTAAAGGCTTAGCTAGGTTAATTAAGTAAATAATAAAAATAACAACATTGAGCTTAAAATGGGTTTAAACAATTAAAAACTGCTTTTATTCTAGCCGAAATTAAACAAACAAGACTTTCCCCAGAAGAAAAAATATTACAGGAAATACTGTCAACATTTTTGTACATGTTTGTGATCCAAACGTTGGAAAATTACATATGCAAGCAGCCATTTTCTGCAATTTTTCTAAATAAAAGTTGCATATATGACATGTTGCATCTCCTTAATGGGGTTTGCATATATGTAAATGTGTCAGATGTCTATATAGATCATGTATTTACAATGTGCATTTCAAAATGAATATATTATTAATGTTTAATATGGAAAATAATTAATTGAAAATGCATTTTTGCCATATAAGCCAAATCATTGGGTTAAATTTAATAATAAAAAAAATGACTCAGCAGTTGGTTTAGTCTGTGTTACACCCTGAATTTGGTTGAAATAACCCAGCATTTTTAAAGTGTATGTATTTGGGGTTCACATAGTCAGAATAATTTTAATAATTTTATATTTTTCCCTAATTTCTGATTTTTATTCAGCACATTTCTAATCATAACAGTTTTAATAACTCATTTCTAATAACTGATTTATTTTATCTTTGTCATGATGACTGTAAATAATATTTGACTTGATATTTTACTAGTAATCAGCTTAAAGTGACATTTAAAGGCTTAAGCAAATAATAAAAATAATAATACTGACCTTTAAATGACTTTAAAACAATTAAAAACTGCTTTTATTCTAGCCAAAATTAAACAAACAAGACTTTCCCCAGAAGAAAAAATATTACAGGAAATACTGTGAACATTTTTGTACATATTTGTGATCCAAACGTTGGAAAATTACATATGCAAGCAGACATTTTCTGCAATTTTTCTAAATAAAAGTTGCATATATGACATGTTGCATCTCCTTGATGGGGTTTGCATATATTTACATGTGTCAGATGTCTATATAAATCATGTATTTACAATGTGCATTTCAAAATGAATATATTATTAATGTTTAATATGGAAAATAATTAATTGAAAATGCATTTTTGCCATATCACCCAGCCAAAGCATTGGGTTAAATTTAATAATAATAAAAAAAAAATCAGCAGTTGGTTTAGTCTGTGTTACTCCCTGAATTTGGTTGAAATAACCCAGCATTTTTAGAGTGTATGTATTTGGGGTTCACATAGTCAGAATAATTTTAATAATTTTATATTTTTCCCTAATTTCTGATTTTTATTCAGCACATTTCTAATCATAACAGTTTTAATAACTCATTTCTAATAACTGATTTATTTTATCTTTGTCATGATGACAGTAAATAATATTAGACTAGATATTTTACTAGTAATCAGCTTAAAGTGACATATAAAGGCTTAAGCAAATAATAAAAATAGTAATACTGACCTTAAAATGACTTTAAAACAATTAAAAACTGCTTTTATTCTAGCCGAAATAAAACAAACAAGACTTTCCCCAGAAGAAAAAATATTACAGGAAATACTGTGAACATTTTTGTACATATTTGTGATCCAAACTTTGAAAAATGATATATATAAGCAGCCATTATCTGCAATATTTCTAAATAAAGTTGCATACTGTATATGACATGTTGCGTCTCCTATATGGGATTTGCATATATTTACATATGTCAGATTGCTATATGGGCATGCATTTACAGTGTGCACGCTTTCTTGTTGGCAGGATCCTGTAATAAGATAAGAACTCTGCACATGATGTATTATGTATTCCTGTTTTGTTTGCTTTTTTTGGGGCTAAATTAGCTGATGAAATGTAACAAGCTGAGTTTCCTACCATTATTTCTCCCTCCCTCACATGACAAAGCGGCACTTTATGTTGCACAACATCCCCCCCTTTGGGGAAATGAACAGAAATGAGCTTTTTTTCCGATTACCGCTCCACTAAATTACAAACAAATCTCAGCGCAGGTCACATTTTACAAGCGTCCACGCTGTAGGAAGCTCTCCTTTAGATTAAACTCATAAAGCAAGCTCCGCGACCCCCGTGAGATAAGGACGGAGATGTTTTTTATTTATATTTTTTGTTGCGCCGGACTCATGAGCTGGGGGTTGGGGAGGTCTATGCGTAGGTTACCTAGCAACAGGCTGGTCCTAGCTTTATTAGTAAAGGCAGACTGACAGCACGAGGGGATGGGATGCATCGCACCATGATGCTTTACCGTGATTTACTCTGTTTATTTGACCATTGCCCTCATCACAGGCCCTCAGAGGGTCTCTGGAAGTGTGTGGGCTAATACTTGGCTTGGGTCGTGGTCGGTTGGCTAAGCAGAAAATAGCCATGTGTTAGCATTTCAATAGCTTCAGCCTGGATTTAATTGTGTTTCAAGTAGGGCTGCTCGATTATGAAGGACAAATCAAACATGGTCAAGTTTATTTTGGTCAAAATTGCAATCACGATTATTTTAAAGTGCTCCTATTATGCATTATAAAAGGTCATGTTTTGGTTTTGGGGGTCTCCAGCAACAGGTTGATCTGCATGCGGGGTCAAACAACACTTTAATTGTCTTATAATCTGCATTTATTTTTACCTAATTATCCCAGCGACTCCCATATGATGTTTTCAGTGATTCATTTGTTCCCAAACCCCTCCTTTGCGCTGATTGGTCGGATGACCTAGTCTGTTGTGATTGGTTGACTGGGTTCAGCGTGAGACAGAGACAAACGCCCACCACGGCTTATCAACAGTGTAGTCATAGTGCAGAGTGTATGTGTGAGTCCAATGCAGGAGAGCATTAAAGCAGTGCAGTTAAACACCAGCATATTGCTCTATTCTTAACCATAAGTAAAAACCAACCCAAGCTCATTCTGGAAACATAGCCCCGCGGACGTTTCTGGAGGCTGTGATTTACGTGGCCGGTGTTTTCATCTAGCGAACGCTGCGGGGCGGTGTTACGCCGCTCCGCTCCTCCTCTTCGCACTCGCCGGCTGATGGCTCGCCTATGTGTGGAGGGTTTTCCCGCCTCAACCTGTTTGTCCTCTTAGCTCGCAGCGTTACGTTGGCGGAGCGGAGACCCGGAGGGAGGAGGAGCCGGCCCCCCCCTCCCAAGGAGTGTGATTTCCGCCACCATCACCCCCCCCCCCCCCCCCCAACTGAGCGGGGTTTACGCTACCCCCCCCCCCCCCACCCATTACGTTACGTCGGCGGAGCGGAGGCCCGGAGGGAGGAGGAGCCGGCCACAGCGTCGACCGGGATCGTGTCCGGGGAAGAGTGGTTCCAGAAATCAAGTAAGATGAAAAACAGAATCCAAATAAATAAAAGCGAACGAGTTCGCGAAGGGGCGAGGTCCGAAAACGCAGTCAAAATCGGACGACGGCTTTTGCAAATCGTTGTTTGGGTTTAGGAAATGAGGAGGAGGGTGGCTGGGTCGGCCGATTGGCCGATCATTCAGCCAGTCAGTTGGACGGACGGCCACTCTACAGCGGCCTCCGACGGCTTTTCACGCGAGAACAGCGCAGGCGTGAACGGTGCACGCTCCCGAGAGCCGTCCGAGACGCGAAAAAGCATGCACAGTGGCCTTTCTCGAATTCGCGAAAACAAAAACTGCTCTAATACGTACCTCCTGGGACATATTTCGCGGTCTCCAGAAACGTCCGCAGGGCTACGTTTCCACAATGAGCCCAGGGTGGCAAAAACTGATCAACATTCAGTATTAATCCACACAGCGGCAAAAGCTGAACTATTTTAATGATTGACCGGCGCACGTGTCGAAACAGCTATAGCAGCATGCCATGGCAGAGGCTTGCGAGCTCACAAACGCATTTAAATTGGTAAAGAATAAGCAGCACGAGTCGCCTTTCACTGTTGCCAAACATTTTCATTGAAAAGGCGCTAAGCTCCGCACGAAAAGTCGCTAAAAGTCATTGGATTATTTCATACGTCAATTTGCATATTACTGACATCATCACCTTGTGCCATTTCTGTTTGTTTAACAGCCTATGGTTAATGAAGGGGTAGTTAAAGTATAAATATCTGTGGATCTGAACAAGAAAGGAATAAACGGTCAAATAGTTAAAATGAAGG